AGGGAGTATAACAAGATAGAGCTAAGGAACTAACTTTATACCTAATGATTAAGACCAAATCACGTGCCTGTAAGGGTGTGAACAGCAAAAAACACCCACAAAATATGCGTGCAGGATATTACTATAATCCTGCATTACAAAATTTGCAATGTTTAATTTTGGGGCTCACGGATTTAATGTTAAATCTGTGAGCCCCAAAGTTAAACATTGCACACTTACAGGAACGTGATTTTGTCTTAATCATTAGGTATAAAGTTATTTCCTTAGCTCTATCTTGTTATACTCCCTGATGAAGTCTGTGTGATCAGACGAAACCGCTCAGAGAAATGAAATCAAGTAAACAAGATCCTCGCGTTGCTTTGTGCTGCTCACTATTGTTCATTTACAAAATTTAAAAAATTAAAAAAAATTGAAAAAATTAATAGCGGGGTCAGACCAAGATGATGTATTGGAACACTTTTGTGTTTCTTCAAACAGAGCTTGAGCCTTCTCGTACTCATTCTGGGCCCGGTTCCTAGAATGATGGTTAAGTTTAACCCAGGATTAAGCGAAATATTAAGCATGGTTTTCTTGCTAAGAGCATGTAACTCAAGCACACAAAGTACTGTTGAGCCCTTACTCTGAGACACGGTAACGATTTACACAAAATGTTACTATAAGCAAGGTAAATACAAAAAGTGGAACAAAATCTTAATCCTGGGTTAGCGCTAATCAGCCTCTCAGGAACCGGGCCCTGTATTTTTACAGATCTCAGAAAGAAGGGCTGACACGATATACATATGTTGCTTGTTTTAGATTCATCAATTGAATCTTTAGCATGATAAAGGTCATTGTGAAAATCAGTTTTATTTCCAGTTTGCTCATCTAGAAGGTTGCATGGTACTGCAAACAAGTTGTTGAATACATTTATGTTGTGTTTATTGCAGGGAGCATCACTGGAAAGACAGACTAGCTTCATTTCTGCACTGCGAACATTGCACAGTGCATGGACTGACCTTTAGAATGCCACGCTGGGCGTCACTTCGAGATTTTGATGAACTTTTACCTTTTGCAGGCTTATGACCCCTGGATGCCAAACTGGCATAGTGTTTATCTCACACCCTTAGATTTTTTACATTTTCCATGTCCCCAATAAGGTATTGAGGGCTACACTTAATTTCATATTTTCCAATAAGGCTGTCAAATTTGCATGCACCTGCATCATTTTCACACCCCTTAAAGCAACATTTAGCAGCTCCAGTTAAATGCCCATTCATAATTACAGCCCCTGATATCTCTTTTAATGACACAAAGTCATGCAAAGGTTTACCTCTGTTTGATAGCCAGTATAAATCACTAGTTATGTTAAATTTGGAATTCATCTGTGATCTCAAGTCAAAGACAGTTGCATATGGTGCAAAGGAAAAAGAGTGTGATTTTCCTGTTACATCTGTAACTAGAATAGAGGTAACAAACCTTTTTGACTTGAACACCATGCTGAAGAAAAAGCCAGGGTGGTGAAATTTTACCATTTTTAGACAAGAATAGCTTAATAACATACCAAGGAAAAGATACAAAGCAGGGAACAATAGGGGAAGGTCTGTAGAATGAATGGAACTAGCATCAAAGCTCTCACCAACTGTTACTGCAGTTACCAAATAAAAACCTGCCATTGATAGGGTAGAGCAGATATGGTCAGAAGGAGAACAGTGGCTGCTAAGTAAAAGGGAACTGAATTTCCCACTGCCAGAGATTGAATTGTTGTAATGTTAAACAAGATGCTGTAATACGGTAAAAGGCATGTAACCATAACAGTGGAAAGAAAACTTTTGATGCTAGACTCCAAAAATATTGCACAAGGGAGTATTTGGATGTTGACTTGAACTGTAAGCAGGTCTTGTAAAGAGGTTCAAGCAGATGTAAAAATAATTTTGTAATAAAAACAGAAGGAAAGAAATTAATCTCCAGCAAATAATTTAGTGTTTGGCTGTACTTTGCAATTTGCCTTGAAAAAGTGTTGCCAATGACTTTCCAGTTCATTAGGACGATGACTGTAACTACAACACAAACCAGAGTTAAAGTCGAATAGAGTAAATTGGATAGGAGGATGAGATGGAAATGCCTTGTTTTAAACTGTTGCAAACACAAACATAATAACAGTAACATTGCCCACTGAAGCACACCCAAATTTGAATCAATTTTAGTGACAAAAACTTGCCCCACTCCATTAGCATGCCATTTTTTAATTGGAGTTTGGCAGAAACTTGAAGGGATATAAAGTCTGTAAGGAAGCCTTGCAAAGTTTGGAAATGCTTCTGAAATAGAAGCCATTATGACATGACTATATAAAACAGATGCCACAAGATGCAGAAAGAAAAAGCATTTTTCAGGGAAAAAATAACTAATGTTGAAGACTAAATCATACAGAAAAATTGTTGTTACCAATAATACAAAAAGTACCACATGTCACTTTTCTTTTGATTATTATCGTTATTACACTTTATTCTTATTATAACTAAGTATTTTCCATTTACTAAAGACGTTTTTATTGTATTTTTGTCTTTATTTAATTGAAATAATTATCAAATATTTGGTGAATTAATTTAAGTTGTGATTTAAGGTCAATTATGTGTCACACTTATGTGTTGAACACCAGACTTTATTTACAGACACCAAATATGAAAACCAAATACAGCTTATTCCCGAGGGCACGCTGTTTTTGAAAGGAACAATGAAATGATTTTCAAGGCCACGCAAGCACAGCAAAACACGATATAAACAACAACACACCTGATCTGCAACAATATTTACCTCCCTGGAAGCAGCGATTAAAATTCAACACTGATTAAAACTACCACACAATCAGGAAGTTTATTTTTAAAAGCGATTAGATGCGTTAAAAGACAACAAACTCAAAAACAAGCAACCAATATAACTACCTTCAACAAAAGTAAGTATTTAGAAAGACACAAATCAATCCCACCGCTGTGTCAGGGCTGTGATAGTTGGAGGGAAATATCAAGAAACAGAAAGAAATCAACAAAAGCCCACACTCGAACGGATTGATATGAGGAACGGCTTATCCAATCCACAAAATAATAGGCGCACCTTAAAGGAGTGTAATCAATGAATAAAACCTCCTATCCTGAAGGCTATCCGTTGCGTAATTTGGATAAAAAAGGTGACTGATCGATGATGATCTGACTGGTCCTACAGAAAAGATGGCGGTCCCGCCAAACAACCCTCGGCACAAAGCGGCAAAATTTCACAGTTACGCACACAAAACGCTCTAGAGGTTTACACAGACAGATAAAAGCAACAATAAAGCACACACACTTACGATCAAATTAGCGAACAATAGCGATATTAGCCTAGCGTTTTGTCTTTCTTGGCCTCTGTTGTTCTCTCCTCGATGGCGTCCCATGCTAATCTGCAGAAGCAACGCGAAGCACTCACCCGTTGCTATGTGACGTCACACTGGCACGAGGAGTGGGTCAATAAACGTAATTCGAAAACAATAGAGTCGCCCCCTCCCTTTGATCTCAATTTAATTAACAACAAAAACAACAATAATTTAAATGATAATAAATAATAATAATAATAATTATTATTATTATTATTTTATTATTTATAATTTTTTTTTTTTAGATTTTCGTTTTCTTTCTTTTTTTTAATTAAGTTAATTAATTCAGTCCATACCCGTATACCACGCTTATCTCGCTGTACACTTTGATATAAAAAAGCAATTTCAGGATCCTTGTTGATAGCATTCAGACCATACCCGCAGTTTACGGTTAAATCGCTGTACACTTCAACATCAGATACTGATTTCAAGATGCATGCTATTAGTATTCAGGCCATATCCGTTGTTTACGCTTATATCGCTTTTCACTGTAACATCAGTAAACAATTTCTTTACCTATCTCTTTAGTATTCAGGCTATTCCCGTGTTTTTCGCTTGTCCTGTAATACACTCTAGGATCGAAAAAGTCTTCAGTAACCCATGCTTCTCACTTTTCCAGTATTAGTCTAGCAGCAGCAGCAGCAGTACTAGTAGTTGTTGTTGTTGCTACTTTTCATTTGTAGCACAATCATTAGAAAAATGAGAGAAATTGGTTTTGTGGGAATTTCTGTTGTTAGATCAAGTGAATAGCGTGTTTAACGTGAACAGCGTGTTTGCTTTTCCTAGGCTTATTTAACTTTAACGACCGAAAGAGGAAAGGGAACTAAAATTTTGGGGAATGATCATCATCACCATCATCATCATCATCATCATCATCATCATTATGTCCATTCAAGATATGGCTTCCAGTCTTGGTTGGGACCCTCGTAAGACGGGAAGAGAGAAACATATCGTCAAACTTGTCAAGAATTGTCTTGGTGGACAAGCTCCAAGTTATTTCTCAGATTTTTTTCGACGGCGAACTTATGATATTCATGACTATGACACTAGGTCTAAGGAAAGGTTATATATTGATAAAGTCAATCTCGAGTTGACTAAGAGGGCCTTTTTTTATAAGGGGGCTACCCTTTTTAATGATTGTATGTAGTTTTGTTCATTAGGAGGCTACTTTTTTTCGTTGATTATAATTATGTAGTGTATACCAGTTTCATATATAATTAATGTTTTGTTCTTCTTATTCATTTGTTTTTATACAGGACCCATATTGATAGCAGTTTTTATAACTGAAATGGTCATCCTCATCATCATCATCATCATCATCATTATTATTATTATTATTATTATCGTTATTATTAGTTTTTCCAGTGTTGATGCTGATGATTATTTATTTTGGGTCTGGAAAGGGACATATACACCTTCAAACCTCTTTAGCATATCTTTATTCCTCCTATGCTATGGTTCTACTGTAATTCACAAGCTTTATATAAGCGCCACACCCACAACTTTAAGAAGCAGTTAATCAACATCACATGGAGGACTGAAAACCCGAGAACCAGTTTTATACGATGAGAATAAGCTATAAACAATCGTACATGTACGATCCGAGTTAGTATAAGATGACTACTATAAAAAGAAAGATTATTGAAGTTTTTTTTTTCTAATGAAGAGCTGTTACAAGGTATTTTCAGTGTCACAAAAATCTCATTTCTAACACAATCCTTGGGCAATGATTCCACCAATTTTTTGTTGCAATGGGGAATAATTCTTTGCATTTCCTGCGGACAGTGTGCGTAAACTAAACACTTTCCATCTGTGGTTGATCTTACACAGACTGCACATGATAATGGCCTGAGAATGAGCTGCGTGGTCCATCCGATCACTGCAGAGCTGCTTGTTGGGTTCCTTGGCGTCAAAGAAGCGCAGGCTGGGATTTTTGTATTTGGAGATGTTTGCTGAGTTCCAAGCACTCAGAGTAAAGAACAACTTGTCAACAGAAGCCGGCAAGCTTTTCAGCTTCACATTTATGGTATGATGACCAAGACGCTTGGCGGCGTCCATTACATCGCCGGAGTGTGTAACACCGCTAAAACCACGACGCCCAAAATCGACTACAGTTTGAAACAAGCTGCCACTGTAAATAAGTACAGACGCGTCCAAGAAGTCACACCCGCTGGCAGGATAACCCCAAAACAAGTCGAAAATCACGTGATCAAGAGTCTCGGAAATCTCATACAACACCACGATTAGATGTAGCGTACTGAATGGCTGGACACCGTAATCTTGTAAAGTGGCCAATTTACTAGCACTGGTGTGCGTCTGAAAAAGAGAGAGTTCGTATATAATGTAAGAGCGTCGTACGTACTGTTGTTCTCTCATCCTCGACATTACGATCAACATCACCATTACATACCAAGCAGAGGCACTACAAAGTAGTTGAGAATAATGTTGTATGATATAGACTGCGCATGGAGCAATGCCGAAAGACAAACATCAAGTCAATTTCGTGGCTAAAATTAAAAAAATTGCCGAAAATCTAAAGATGATCATAACCTTTGCATATTTTAAGACTTCAAAAAGCAGGGCGCATAGCACTCGTTCGCTTGCAAATACTGCACCCTATCCCAGAGGCGAGTAGTTATGAGAGGCAGCTCTATTTGTAGACTAAAAAGACGTCACTGAATGTTTCCTATATTTTGCATGACAACAACCTGCAAATGAAGAAAGAGCAATCTGTAAAAAACTACTTTCAGGCTCCCTTAAAAAAGGCTCTTATTAATTACGGCTAAGCACAATTGTTAACTATTTTGTTGAAAAAGTGAGTGCATTATGTCTCTTCGTTGTTCCTATACCTTGAGCTCTTGTTCTTTGTACAGTAAGCGTTGTTTTTCTGGTTCTGGACCAAGCCTGCTTTTTATGAAGGCCTTCAGCGCTAAAATGGTCATATGCGGCTGGTACTCTACTACAGTACTGTCCCCACCCAACATTACAACAGATATCGTCTTGTCGCCTTCCGTGGATGGCCACTCGGCATCTTCCAGGACAGAAGACTCATCAATTTTTGGAAACAGAATCTCGAGCGTGGCCAAGCATTTAAGATAACGTGGGTTGTCGGTGTTCACGACTTGTGTACACTGAGAACACTTGTTGAAATCCTGAACATGCTTTGTTACACACTGAAAGGAAATATTTTTCTCAATTACGTCACTATTTCAAAAAAAAAAAATCAAAATAAAACTGAGGGGAGCGATTCTTTCTTGGTAACTAATGAGTTCAGTTTGAGCAATTAAATTAACACAATGGTAGCATCTAATTACCCTTCAAGGCACATATACTTAGACACGCCATTTCTTTAGTTTCTATTTTTTTCATGGAAATTGGTTTTTGAACCATTAAGCCATGAAATATGTCGCATATGCATTCACCAAGTAATCCAGATTCTTAAGTGTGGGCCGTTAACTCATTGTCTTCAGCCAATTATTTTAATGTATTTTGCCATGTAACTTTAAAAAATCATATCTCTGGTGTTATTTACAGTTCAATATCAAGCTATACCTCATTGGAAAGGGAAAAGAATACCCTTTCGAAAAAAAAATATTTCGGTCGTAGGAAACCCATAATATTCCGCCAAAAAAAAATTAAAAAGCATGTTTTGCATAAAAATTTTTTAAAATTTTTAAAGACTGTCATTTAGCTAGGAAACTTCTTTATTTTGGGTGATATGGTAGTAACAAATTGTTTTCATCAATATCTAAGCAAAAAAACCCGAAAATCGTTCTAAAATATGGAGCGACTACAAATTTTCCACAAATTTTTTTCTTCACGCTGTCATGATTATGCTAATTAGATTATCATAATTAGCATAATCCTTTGGCGTCACCTCGTGACCCCGTGTTTACTTTACTGAGACGCTTTGTTTCCTTCATTCCCAAAAAAATATCGAGTTACAGACAAGCAGACATGAATTTGCTGATATAATTCATCAAAATAAGCAAGAATTTGACGGCGAAAAGCGAAGCGAAGGCAAAACGGGAAGGAATCGTCGCCGTTTCAAGAACATGTGGCACTGAGTTCGGCGATCGGCGATTTGCATGCACAGATTCTAAGTGTTTCCTTACCTCAATTTTCGCGTTTATTTTGCTTGTTATCCTCTAAAATCCTTCAGAATAGTTTGCTTGACTTGTATTTGGTTGACATTCGTCGATACAAGCTTCCATTCTTCGCAAAACCGGCTCACAAAAATTCCCCGCGACTCGCCATAAAATTCAAAATTTTCGAAAGCTCCGTGTGTCACGGTCAAAAGTCCACAGGGGCTGGAACTAGGCAGGTGATTGGCTAAATCTATTAACTTCCTCTGTGCCAAATTTGGGAGCAATCGGAAGTAACGCAACTTTTTGCGAATTTTCTTACGAAATAGACCAGATCAGGTCTATTTGCTCCGGGGCTGAAGACATTGAGTTAAAGATTATACTTTCCACGCGGCTTCGAATTATGTATAAAGGTAAAATATCACGTACTCACCCTTAGGCAATGCAGAGCGGCATGTTCACATTCATCAGTAAGAGCGTCGGTGGGAAACTCTCTGTGAAGCTTTCTGGTTTCGCACTTGTCACAGAACATGTTTAGAAAGTCTGATACCCTCAAGACCCTACACAAAACTGCTGGTTAAATCATGATTTACCATTAATGAGAATAAATTATTTCATGTTATTTACCATTAATCATTATGTCACGAGTGTGGGACAGGAATAACTCAGTTTTCTGAACTTCATGATTTTCTTGTAATTGTACTGAGACAAGGGCTAGAGAAAAAGTTGCGCGTTGAAAACTCTGAGTGGGAAGAGAGGGGTGTTTTGAACCTCCTGGAATTTTGATGATGTTTATTCGTATTGGTCTTTATCACGCAAGTTATAAAAAAATCATCAAAGCTGACATGAAAAGTCTTTACATTCAGCTGAAGTTTTTGCCTCATAAAATTTGAAAGAATCATACATAAACTAAGAAATCGTCATAAAATGGACGGTCCCACGTAATATTTAACAATATTTATTATTCTATAAAATTAAGGTAAATATTCGTACAGCCACTATTCACACCGACATTGTAGGGAATGGTTGTTTAAATAAAATGAAAAATAGATATACACAGGAAGTGATCTCAACAGAATCAGAAACTGAAAATCATTAAAATTAAAAAGAATTGGATTGACCGGTTAAATCATAGGTTCACTCCTTTCGCAAACTATAGCGTCAACGCTAAAATCTGGTATCGTCAAAACTTTAAATTGCTGCCCCGATGTAAAGAAATATCGAGCTTTGTTTACTTCGGTCCCTTTTTAAGGGTTGCCGGAATTTACATAATATTTATCATAAATACTTATGATAAATACTTATCATAGCTGGCTAACTAAAAGACATGCATGGACATTACCAAATGGGTCATAAACTACATACAGGCAGAAAAGTGTTGTTGAAGATTGAAAGTCTACAGAGTTTAGTAGTGTTAACAGAGGTGTTCCTCAAGGGGCTGTATTGAGGTTTATTCTGATATTTTTTATCATGGTTAACGATATTACCGCACTTCACACTAAGCATTCCAATCAACCCATCAGCTCCCAACTCTCTTTCTATGGACGAGGTTTGGAATATCCAACAATGGGCCAGTAAGGACACTGAGGATGGAATTCAATCTAAGCAAGCAAGCAATTAAGGCCCTGAAAGGATCACCGTCTAAGTGGTCTACATCCCAAGCAGAGGGGAAGGTTGCTCCATGCATCCTCGCATCCACATTATCATTTTACCTTGCACTCGACCTGAACGTTTTAAGCGAATTTTTATTAAAAGGTGTCTCTCTAATCTTAATGAGATTACAATATATTTCCTTTCGTCCTTCCTTCCTTCCTCTCCCCCTCTCTTGCTCCCTCCCTTCTATCCTTCCTTCCTTCTCAATTCCTTCCCTCTTTTCTTCCTTCCTTGAGGGTCTGAATAGGCATGATAGGGTTACCTCGATAACACTAAAACACTTCATTTTTTGTCTTTGTAACATGAAACAGTTAACATGGCTAAATTTTAGGTATTTTAACTCTAACAGTAAAAAATTCTTTGAAACAGTAAATTTTTTCCAGAAAGAAGCAAAAACGGCTCCAAAAGAGATAGTATTTTCTTCGGAAACAGTAAACATTAAAAAATTGGCCAATTTAACAGCAAACACTAAAAATTATGGGCAAATGACACTAAACACTAAACCCCATTAAGACCCTCTTCCTTCCTTTGTTTATTCATTGTATATTAATAAAACGAAAACAGGGGCTGGGGAATTGCGAATAGCCAGTTCCACGCGTTCAGGTGGTGGGGAGTGAGTTAAATCGAACGCGTCTAGCGCAAAAGGAACACGAGGAAGAAAAAAATCGAGGGGCCTATTTTTTCCCTTGTCAATTTTTCGCCCGCTCCCCACCATCTGAACGCCTGGAACAGCGAACGGAAAGTTAAAAGATGAAATAGTGGTCAGCGTTCATATCATATTAAAAATCAGTTGGCGTTATTAAAACGACGCAACGGTGAACCGCGTAACTAGGTTCAATCTTTATTTACTTTTTTTACTCTGAATTATTGTAATAAAATTTCTGTTTAGGTAGCCTGAGTATCAGGCGTTTCTGGGGAAAAGGGGAAAAATGGAAGCGAAAAAGGAAGAGAGGTGTTTTGTGTCAGGCCTTCCTTTCTCTTCTCCCCCTCCCCCCTCCCCCATCTAAAATCTCCTCTCCCCTAACCCCGTAGGAAGGCCTGATACTCAGGCTATGTTTAGGCAATAAAGACAATCAGCCAGTGTTGCGTTACATAAACCGGAACTGACTGAGAACAATTTACGCCCACGTGATTTTGTTATATAATACGTTTTCCTTCAAGTGTGGCATGGAATGTACTAGGTTTTTCAACAAGGATTTTATGAAGATGTTTTTAAGTTGGCGAGTTTTTTAACTCTGTGTTTTTACGAGGCTGGACAAATGTAAGTTTTCTGCAATTTGTCTTCGTTTATTTGACTATCTTTTCGCTAGCTAAGGATTCCCATCTAATTCTGTATCATTTCGCAATTTCTAGCTTCAGATTACCACATTACTACGTTCTACCGCGTTGTTTTAATAAATACTGAAAATCCAGCCTTTGCCGTGGTTTTGCTCCTTTGACCCATCGGCCCAGCCAGACTCATCGATGAATGCAGTGAAACGATTCGCCGGTTCCTTGTAATATGCTCATAAATAAAAGCTGTTTGCATTTCTGATAGACGTATTTATTGAAAGCAATTTGTGATAACTGTTTGATGTATTAAAAAACCAATGAACGTTAAGGAGGATGGAAACCAAATAAATGCGGGTAAACTTGAATATCTGAGCACTGATATTAAAAGAGGTAAGTTTATTTAGTTTTCGGCATTCAATAACGCGAACGGAGCCGGATAAAAACAAACAAACACAATTTAAAAAGTCAAAGTTTTCAAGGGTTTTTAGAAACAGTTCAGACCAATATAGAATGATAATTCTTCAACCGAGTTGTTGTAACGTTTATAATTTGTGGTCTAAGGGTTCATCGCACATTTCTCAGTGAATTTAGACTGCTGAACATGAATCGCACAGTTGTTATGCTAGTAGCCGAAATGGTTAAATAAGTTACTTGCTGTTCTGGGTCTGTCCCTAAAAAAAAAACAAACGGTACCTTATAGTAAATTTTTTAGATACTGCGATGCATAAATGTAAAGGCTAATTTACACATAACTGTTCTTCCGGACCCGATAGAACGAAAACTAAGAATACAGCTAGCACAAAAGTTGGCCCGAGTTTACTTTAGGTCTTTCCTTTAAACAGAAATATTGACTCCAGAGATCGTAACCTGTAAATTGCCTGCTACTGATGAGCATCGTGCATTATTGAGTAAAACGATTTTTTTTGTTTGTAAACACAAGACTTTTACTGATCTTGCTGGTAGAGTTTAATTTCAGGTGTCTTTGCGGGATATTTTTTCTTTATCACCCAGCCCCTCCCTCAAAAGGAGGATGCCTTCTAGTGGCTTACATTTTATCATAGAAGATATAGATTTAGCCGGGGCTAAAAGCGAAGCTTTCGTTAATATCTATAGTTTACTCAAACAAAATATAAAATCGTGTAATACTGAGCGGCGAAGGCAACGAAAACAGCCAAAAAAATTAGCAAAAAACAACTTTCCACGTGCAGGACACTTTTTTGTACATTTCTTTGAAAATTGTTTTGCACGACTACTAATTAGACGTTTTATGGAGGAAATGTTGTATGTGTTCCTGTTCACTTTTTTTTTCGGCAATAAACGTAAGCATAGACGAGAAGTGACTCTCAGCGGGTAAGTTCAGTATTATAAACGCTCAGAACAGTCTTCCTCCAACGAACTTCTCAGACATATTGAAAAAGACAAATTGAAAAAACCCTTTCAGTTTCTTAGAATAATTAATCAGATTCAAATTATTTTTCAATCATGTTTTGATGGCCTATTTTACCATAAAAGGTATTTCCCACTTATTTTCTTGGAATCGAGTACTACAATAGGAGTTCCTTTGATTCTCAGAAATTACCTTGTCGTCAATCTAGTTGAAGACAATGAGCTTTTGTTTCTAATTCCTAAGCAAAGCATTGCTCATCACTCCGGGGGACGCCATACTTTCGCTTCGTTTTAGAATTTAGAGTTTACGAGAACTATTTCGCTCTTGTTGGTCTCTGGTTGTAGTTTGTTTGTACAGCGCAGTGTCGTAGTTAGGTTGCATTATTACGGAGGTTTGAAGCTGCAAATACAGAATCAGTGCCGTAGCCAGACCAAACGGCCAACCGAGGCAGGCGGGAGTTGCTAGGGGGGTTCGGGGGCATGCCCCCCCCCCCCCCCCCCGAGAAATTTTGAACTTTAGTCTCTCGGAAATGCGATTTGCAGCGTTTTCTGGGCCTTTCGGTAACTTTTTTTCGAGTTAATTTAAGTGGAATTTAAAAAGCAATAATCAGAAACAAGCTACATAATCTGGGTGACCGTTAACCTCGCCAATGGTTTTGATCAGTATTTGTTCAAAAAAAATTTGAGTTAACGTACGTAGCCCCTTGAGATCGATGATATGGTAATTTTTTCATAGTATATTGACTGAATTGCTGAATTCTTTGTAATATCATGATGCGTTAAAAATATCCGATGATCGCTTATGTAAAATAAAAATGATCGGCGAAATTCGTCAAAATTTTACCGAGGCGAGTGCCTCGGTTGGCCTCATACTAGCTACGGCGCTGATAGTAGAACGTACCTCAGAGCGAAGGATTTGAACGCTTCTCCAACTACCGTCTCCTTTACCGCTCCGTGTCGTCGGGAAATGAACTCAGCTATGAAACTTTCAGCATAAACGGGAAGTGGTTTCCAACCGGGAAGTTCAGTATTATAAACCGCGCGCCGATTAAAGTCTACTGTGACTTGCAACGAACGCCATAAAACATATTAAAAAGACGCAAGAACTTAGTTTTTTGATCGTAAACACATTACTGCTACAGGGAGGGTTTAATAATTTGCACTATTTCAGGTTTGTAATTATTTATCATAATTTGAAAGCCTATTTTGACCATAAAAGGTATTCCCCACGTAAGTTTCTTGGAATTTAGTACTATAAATGCAGTATCTTCGATTCTTAGAAATAACCTTGTTGTCAAACCAGTTCAAGAAAATGCGGAGCTTTCTGTTGCTATTTTTCTGAAATCAAAGCATTGCATGCATGGCTACCCGATAAAGCTAAAAACTTTATTGACTTGGAGAAGAAAGTACTTAATACTCTTTATAGAGACTCTAATGCGGGAAAAAGGTCAGGTATGTGTCCGAATGTGTTCTACTTTTAAGTTTCGTCGCATGGTTAGAGAAAAGGTATTAAAACACCGATGACTGCGGTTAAAACTTATTTTCCAGAGTGCCATGATTGTGGTTGAAAGTGATGTCTTTGGGAGTGTAGTACTGATAACCATATTTCCGTTAAGCCATCCTATTTTTTAGATAAATTTTAGTGTATGAAAAGCCGGGCTCCAAGTTCCGTTTCGTGTTACAACTCACGAAAAGATGCAAGGAAAGCATATCACCTACAGATGAACGCGAATAACGTTGGATGTGCTGTATCATTAAACGCAAAATAAGAATCATATCTTCATTCCCTATCAACAACTGATTATAATAACGTGGGTGTCTATAAAATCATAATAGAGAGCGGCCATTCAGAATGAAAAAATTGTCCACCTAGTTTAATTACGCAGGTTTGCCCTGATCAGCTTCTTCAGGTGGAGAGGGGGTGGGGGAGCTCTCCAAAAATAATGTAATGGCAATTAAAAATGCTCAAAGGGTTTTCTATATCAACTTCATAATAAATATTAAAAATCGTTTGTTAGAATTTGGCCTATCTCTAGTAGAGGGTATAATGTAAAATAAAACAACCATGTAAAACAGGGTTAAAACTTGGAGCCTGCATATTCGTTGGTGTTATGTACCCGACCAAAATTTAACTGAGTGACCTGAAATTGAGGCATCCCCAGCTCCCTATAAATATGTATTAAGAAAGTTATCATCAAGAGTTATTCTTTTCCTAATGAACAATGTTGTACACAGGCTAAAACAAGTTGTATTCCAACTTGTCTTGCTACTCGCCATGCATTTCTCATCCTTCGATCATTCTCCAATCTTCTACCTGACTCTTTTACCGATTCTCTTTGAGGCCGCGCCAGTGCTGATAGTACTCACTTAGTACTCGTATTTCTGGATTCATCCATCACATGGTCAACGCATCACTTGCGCAGGCATTGCTTCTCTCTTCTTCTCTGCTTTATCCTTAGCGGAACCATTGATATCACAATCGACTGTTGCATGTCAGTCTGAATTGTAAACCACCTGCAATCTCAGTATCTTTAAACCTCACGCAGGCGATTTTTTGGTGTGTTTTTCGTTTGTGTTTAAGTAAGAAAACGAGGAAACGATAAAGGAGGAGGCGAGAGAAGGACGAATTTAGAGAGAACAAGCCTGACCCTGTTTAAGGAAATAATTGCTTATTTTCGCTACCGCTCATCGCCAACCTTCACACGTTTAGTCCAGATAAGGGAGTGTCCCCCCGGAGGACGCGATACTTCTGCGACGTTTTTAGAACTTAGAGTTTCCGAGAAATCTTTCACTCGTGTTGATCGCCTGGATCTAGTTTGTTTGCGTCGTAGTTCGAGTGAATTGCGGAGGTTTGAAGCTGCAAATACAGGACAATAGCACGTACCTGTTTGAAGGATTTGAAGGGGTCTCCACTGACTACCGTCTCCTCAAACGCTTCGTAGCGTCAGGAAATGAAACCGGTAATATACCTTTTAGGATAAGTGAGAAGTGTTCACCAGCTGGTGAGTTCCATTATTTATTTATAAAATCTCATTGCAGTCTGCCTCCAGCGAAACTCCATAAACATATTGAAAATATGTAAGATCATTCGATTGCAAACACACTGTAGCCCAGGGGGTTTTATACTTTGGACCCTTTCAGTTTCTTAGAATGATCAACATTTTAACAAATTATATTACTTATCATATTTTGACCATAAAAGGTATTCACCACGTGAATTTCTTGGAATCGAGTACTTCTATTCTTAGAAATTACCGTGTCATCAGTCTTGTTGAAGAGAAAGAGCTCTTCGTTTCTATTTCCTAAGCAAAGCAATGCATGCATGGCTACCTGTCCTACCTGATAAAGCTGAAATTTATATTGAATTGAGCAGAAAGTACGTAATACTTTTATAGAGATTTTGATACCGGAAAAAGGCAAGGTATGTGTCATGAATGTGTTCTACTTTTACGTTTCGTTCCGTGTTTACAGATAAGGTTTTAAAAGACTGTAGAAGGCTAATAAGTTTTTTTCAGAGTGCAATGTAGCTTGAGACCAGACTCTGCAGTAGGGAAAAAGGCAAAAAAACAAAAATAGGAAAAATATCGGCGAGCGAAGCGAGCCCAGCGGTGGTTTGGGGAGGGTTAAAACTTGGAGCCATATTCATTGATGTTATACAACCACCCAAAATTAAACCGACCTGAATCCAGGCATCCCAGCTCTCTATAAATATGTGTTAAGAAAGTTGTCATCAAGAGTTACCCTGTTCAGCGGCACATACCCGTTTACGCCAAGTAAGTGCTCCTTCCCAGCCACCCCCCTTAATGCGATACTATCGCCACGTTTTAGAATTAAAATTTTCACTCATGTTGGTCACGTCTCCTGGTTCTGGTTTGTTTGTACAGCGCAGTCACGGAGTTGAGTGCTTTGAGGAGGTTTGAAGCTGCAAATACAGGACAATAGCTCGTACCTGTCTGAAGGATTTTAACAGTTCTCCAACTGCCGTCTCCTACCGTTCCGTACCGTCTGGAAATGAATCCGGCAATAAAACTTGGAGGATAATTGAGAAGTGGTTACCTGCGGGTAAGTTCAGTATTATAAACGCCCATAAAAGTCTACCTCCAACGAACTTCATAAAACATTCCAAAGAACATGCAAAAAATTCGATTTATGATCGTCAACACACTAATAATAGCCCAGGGGTTTTCAAGTTTTGCATTCTTTCAGGTTCAAGTTTCTCAGAACAATCAATATTCAAATTACTTAGGCTCATCATATTTTGACCATAAAAGGTATTCACCACGTGAATTTCTTGGAATCGAGCGTTACAATAGGCGTAGCTTTTATCCCTCTCTTTGCCTCCAGGTTCAAGAGAAGGAACGTTCTCGTTATATTTGCTATGCAAATGCATCGTATGATTACGGGCCTGGCAATTGAAAGTTATGGGTTAGAGAAGAGAGTACTTTCCTTTTATAACTAAAGATTTTGCTACGGGAAAAGGGAAGGTACGTGTCGTCCCATGACTGCTTTTATCTGTTGTTTTGGAGAAAAAGTAAAGCAGCAGAGTCAGTAGAGTGCCATGAATTTAAGTGATACTGACGTGAGTGTATTTAGTACTATGCCTGCGTGTAGACGTCTCCTATTTGTACATCGCTTGTTTGCATGCAGCAAACGAAACACGAGACGTCTCAATGCATGATATTCCGAACAAGGCCCTCCTAACTTTTAAGCTAAATTATCGTGCAAGTGCCCCGACAAAAATCCACAATTAAATAGTCCCTGAATTAATTTTATAACTCACGCAAAGATGCAGGAATCATTTCTTCAACTCCTATCAAACAACTAACAATAATAACGAAGTTGTTTATAACATCTTAGGAGGGGAAAACAGCCGAAAAGGTGAAATTTCCGCATGACGCCAGCATAATAGTTATGCATGCACCATTCTCATACAATTTCACACAAATACTAAACTTGAATTAGCGAGTCAAAAAATTCATACATGCTGTGCAGAAATATTGCCAGAAAAACTTGCCCAATTTGTTTTTGCAGGTTTACTGCTCTGATTACCATATTAATGTCCTTAGCCTCATGGAAAGTTAACTACCAATATCAAAATGTCCTTAAATCTGGGTGGGGTACAGACAATAAGATTCTAAGAAAGGTTCTAAAAATATACAAATTATACATTCTAAGAGCTAAGTGTCTTGATATCTTTTTTCTATTGTTAAAGGTTATTTTGATCAGGTCATGTCATCAATAAACTAGAAATACGTTATTGCAAAAATCTCGCGAAGCTAAAAAGGGTCAGCAATGGGAATAAACCGAAACAACAAATTCCGAAACAACTTCCTCCAGCGAAAAAAGAGAAATCTCTAACCACTGGGCCATGCGACCAATGCGTAACATACGTAGGCTATATTTGCGGCCGCAGTGAGCGAGCCTGAAGCGAGCGAACGAGGCAGCTCTCTAATCGGCAAAAAATTACATTATAGGGGCATTCAATCACTTTTTCTTACCAAACGCAAGGAATTGTGGTTATCCGCTACTCAAAGATTTGGGATGCGCAATGGACTCGCAACGAATTGTGGTTAAGTGCAAATGGAAGATTTGGGATGCGCAGTAAACTCGCAAGGAATTGTGGCTATGCTCGAATGGCAGATTTAGAATGCGCAGTGGATTACCACGTGCTTTCTTCTTATACTGGTTTTCAACTGCAATTTGAATAATTTGCAATCTCGTTAAAGCAAAGAAACAACAGGTCTAATTAGAAAACAAAAAATCTTTGTACGTGCTGCATACTTTTGCAGTTGGCCGACACTTGTCTACCGAGAATCGAAAGCATTCATGATAAATTTATCATAGTCGATGCCAAGGCAGAATGAAAGAAAAGTTCGAAACCTCTATATATTTAGGTTGGTTTTCGGAAAACAGAACACGCTAAGACCAGCAAAATAGCGTAGCATATGGACAAAGAAATAGCATCACTACATGGAGCAAGCAGCCGTTTAATATCTTTCAAGGATATTTTCACAAAATGCAATATTTTATTAGTCCGATATTTTGACTATAGTGATTAGGGTTAAGCACTGAAAATACTACCTGAAGCACTAACCAACTGAACTGATTAGGGTTAAGCCCTAAGAATGGTGATTAGGGTTAGCAGTTAGCTTCTATTTTGGGTGGGGGTTTACGCTATAATATTTGAATAAAATCGCCATCTTGCAGAGAAACCACGGTGGTCTAGTGGTTAGAATCAGGGCGGATAAAGGTTGGGCGGTGAAACGAGCGCGTCCGAGCAAAAAGGTGTGATGCAGTGGACTGGGACTCTGCTTAGAAATGTCGCTTGTTTTCGACTTCGGTCAGGGCTTGCGATGTGGTTTGACCATTAGACACTGCCGCTGTCACCTAATTATGGTGGCTTGATTTGTTTGCTTGCACTTCTTCCTCGTTCCCTTGTGCTGGTAAGCTGTCTCCGGGAGGCAAATGTTGCTATTTTTTGCGGGAGGTTTAGTTGGAGTAGACAAACATCTCTTTCAAAAGGTTTCTCTTGCTTCCATGACTCTTCCACTGAATTATATTTTCGTTCTACTGCTCGCCAATGTCGATGTTATTCCAAAACAAAAACAACTAAGTACTGTCTAAAACACGGAGGAAAATCTCATCCATGGCAAAACTAAAAGACAGCAGATCGTGTTTCATAACTAGATGACGTGTATTTTATAAATGCGTGCAGCTCGTGCAAGGTGACATTATTCTAATTTCAATAGCTTTCAATCACTATCATCCTTCTTTTTAATTTTGTAAAAAACATCTCATACGTCTTTCTGTTTCTTCCAAACTTCAAAATTAGTTCTCCCTCAGTTTTTACTGTTTACCTTGTTTTGTTTTAGAGAGAAAAACGGCGAAAAAACCTTACAACTAACCTCAATAAATTTTGTTTACAGGCGGTTGCCGGATTTGCGACGCATTGCGCGAATCGCCATGGCGCGTTGCACCCGAGAAGCTTTGTTTGAAGCAGTACAACGCCACTATATCAAAATATATCAATCTAATTTTTTGTTATGTTATATAAAATTTATCCCCCTTAAACATATGTAAAAATTGAGGTTAAGAAGTGTTAAGCTTTTGCAAACTAAACGGCAAAAGACGATTAGGTGATATTTAGTGGAAGGAGGAGGTATTCAACACTTTCAAATTAAACTCAAATTTTGGCATTATACGACAAACAAGTTTGACTTATAGGCATACAGACACAAACATATGAAACTGTTTATTGATATTGTTATGAAACGAATTTATCTATTTAACTTTGTAGCCTGAAATTACAGAAAGAAAATAGGATTTCCGGTTTGCAAAAAGGAAAATTTCGCCGGCCTTCAAGTGCACCGGATGCGCGAAAAGAGCGCTCGTGCCAGTTCTACTCCGCATCACGCATTAAATGAAGAGCGGAGCGCTCGTTTCACCGCCCAACATTTATCCGCCCTGGTTAGAATAGTGGTATGTAGACGCTATGTTCTGGGATCGAATCCGCTCTTATTCGAGTGAATTTTTTTCCTTTAAAATTGAAGAGACTTACACTTTGAAAACATTTGTTGATCATAAACTAAGTCTCTCACAGTCTATTCTTACTCGACGTATGATAGTTTGGTCTGGCTGGGATTCTTCGATTTGACAAAATTATTGAAAAAATATCGGACTGCCGTTCATTTAGTGTTTTGAAAATCTTGACCGGTTACGGCCCATATAGCCGCAGTCTTTACTATTTTCCAAGCAAATTGCCTTCTGTTCTAAGAGGGAATCACACAAGCAGCATTAGAGCTACGAGCCCGAAATTTATGTGTCATGTGTTTATCAAAAATTGAACATAACTGCCCTCCAAAATTGTTTGCTAGTGGTGTTTGATTCGTGACATGGTTGGCCAAGTTAATGTTGTGTTTTCATGGTCGTTTGTCAAACCTATCTTGTAGCGCACATCACAGTCGAACAAATTTCCTTAAACTTGGCAGATGAAATAAACAGTCTTTAACTCAAGAATTTTACGTTTCGTGGAAATCGCTCGATTTTTGTGCGAACAGAAAGACTGAACACCATAGTTAGAAAATTTGTTCGTATCGCCAAATCAAAGCTTCAAAATAAGTTTCAATCATTCAGTCACGGTTGAAAGCGAGAATGATTGATATACATATCAAAAATCGAGAATTATCTGGCCACTTCTGACGCGACGCGAGCACGTTAGAAAAATACTAAAACTGGCTCATAATTAATTAGTCACCTTTAACGCGATACTCAAAAGGAAGATAATTTCTAAATTTAGGTCATCACTGACAAAGATTTTGGATTAAGCCCTCTTAGCCTCACATCACCTTCTACTAAAAACTTTACACTTAATTTTCCATTTCTTCACTATTCCTTGCCTACGGCAGCATTTCTACCCTTCTAACCTAGTTATAAGTCTTAAAGCATTTTTCTCTGCCATTCACACCGTTTGAACCTTGTGGAGCTGTATTTACCATAAATTCAAAGATACTTTTGAGGAAAAATAGCTTTAACGAGTATTTCAAAGTCATTTCGCATTATTTTCCGCGTTTTTCTCTCTCGGGCTTTATAATAGCCTCCCACGCAGGCGTTTTTAGGGGAGCTCGTATTTCTTCCCTCCCCACAAACGGCGTTTGTGGGGAGGGAAGAAATACGAGCTCCCCTAAAAACGCCTGCGTGGGAGGCTAGCTTTATAACGGCCGCTCGATGAACGCACTCGTCTTCTTTTTCGTTACTCTCGCTGGAGTTCAGGTCGCTTTTCTTTCGGTGGCTAGAAATCCTTGCCGTGGAAGATTTAACACTTGTCAAATCGGCCACAGTCTGCTGTTATTCTAACAGAGGACGAATAAAATTACCCGGTGGTTAACCAGTTGTGTTGCCTGGAAACCTAAAATACTCGATGACGTCATGCCGAATAGCGTCTTTTGGAGTTTGTTTATGGTATGTTGCTAGGCAACTGCGGATACCAAAGATTTATGACCAAAGCGAAATCTAGCAAGCGTTTTCGCGCGAGTTCGTCGAGAACGTAGAGACGAAAGCCAAAAAAAAACAAAAACAAGACGCTACAGAGCGTACACTTCGGCGTCGTGGTTGTGGAACTAATTAATTGTAAATGCGGAGGAATAGTAAGAAATCAATTATGATAAGAGTAAGGTGTTAATTTGTGAAATTATGGGATTTGTCAGGATATTCTGAAAAGAGCAGCATCCAAGAGGCCTACTAGCCAAAAACTAGCATTTCGGGACAAATTGTCTCCGAGATATTAGCCCAGTTATGCTCTGATGACTCCATACAAATCCTTCTAAAAAACAATTCTCTATTTTTCTTAGTCACATCAGGCTTCAAAAACAGCATAGAAATCTCATGTACTGATTAAAGATATGTAAGGCATTGGTAAGGAGTCAACTACGTTGAGCATGGAATTGGCTAAAACTCAAAGTCACGAGTTCGATTGTTTTGAGGATAATTATTCACTGACTATGAGCACGCAGGGATGTCAGATTAACACAAGGAAGTTTAACACCAAAGGAACATAGCCTTTACAGAGCTTTAAAACACAGCATCCGCCAACACAAACTTGACTTGAACTTTGAGTAAAACTAAACAGCCTCTACCAATAATAACAAACTCTCACTTGAACTTCAGATATCTTACGGCTTCCGCCAACTTGTAAACACAGAACCTGAAAATCGACCTTCGTCACACTTGACTAAACACAGCAGTCCAGCTCGTGGGAAAAAACTTAGTTCGTCAAAAGAACTAGCTTGGAACTTGTATACCGTTTGACATAAGTTCTAGAAAATACTAAACAGGCGAATAGCAGTAGCTTTTCGACATATTTTATGATTTCAGTAACTGATGCAACTCTGCTGACTCATGCGGAAATGTAAACATGCCCTAATTAATTATTCATGAATAATCCAAAAACGTAGAGAACGTTCGAGAAAGTCACGCAACGCATGAAAGCAATTTTACTACGTAACACTCAACAAAGACAAAATGTCTTTGTGCAGCATTTTGTAACTTTAAATTCATCATAAAACAGTTCGAAGGGACAGCTCAATTGTGAAATGTTTTTCAACACTCGAAGAGAAATTTCGTGTCTCTGCGCGGCCACGAAATATCCTCTATTTATTCCTCGAGTAATTTAAGACTAAACTCGAAGTGATCTCAAGATATCACGAAGTAGTCCGGTCTCATTTCGTGAAATAGTTGAAACAAGCCGAAAAGTCACGAACTAACACACCCAATCTTGTCCCGAAACTAGTGCATAATTTCATAACTATTTTTCATATCCCAAACTACCTTGGGTTGCAGTAGCGCAATCGGCTAATCCCTCAACTTAGACCCTGTTTACATGGAGTGGGGGACCCCGGTCTAGTTGGGTAGGTTTCTTTTGTTTTGTGTCCCCCAGAGCGTGAAAACAAAAGAAACCAACCCCACTAGACCGGGGTGCCCCACTCCATGTAAACAGGCTCTTATAGTCTCCTCTTATCTGACGGGTCACACAGGTGAGTCGGTTCAAACCCCTGGGAAAGCCAAAATAACAGTTCTTTCTTCCTCGAAAAAGTTAAAGAATAAATCAAAGAAATCGAAGTAATCTCGAGATATCTCGAACTAATTCGGCTCTCACTTCGTCAAATAACCAAATAGAACCGAAAACCTACAGACTTTGCTCGCCCAATCTTGTCAAAAAATGGCAACTTTGATACATTCCTGAGCATCGCGAATCCTTTACTTCGCGCTCCGCCGAAGTAAAAAGCTCCCACTTTCGCGCTACAACTCGACTGGAAACGCTTGCCACGCAGGCTAAGCGAAATCGCACTCCGCTTGCGATCCGCACGCGACAAAATTATAAACTCGCTCCGCGAGAATTGTAAAATCACTCACTGGAAGTCACTAGGTACAAGCCGTATGCAGTGGCTTTGTCAAAGCGGCAGCACTAAACTAACACGGAATACGGAATCTGTGGTAAAGGTTTCAAGCGATCGATTTGAAAAAAATATGTATATTAGCTATAACGATAGAATAAATAAAAAGAAAAAATGAAGACAAAAATCAATAAATTACTTGGGCAGAGGAGACAGCTGCATGACTAGAGGAGTCGATTCCGGTGAAAAGACACTTTATAACACTTCGCGGAAATGAATACAAATTCGCCTGGGACAGCAAAGCGAGAAGAAAAACTATAGCTAAGACATCACCGACAATTAGGCGTTTAAGAAAGAGGTAAGTTATATATAACTTAAAGGCCTCGTCGTTTTTTCCCGGGTGTCTTTTCTGGGTTGTAGCTGGTTGTCTTCAGCAGTCTTCAACTTTCTTCATCCAATACAACATACTAGATAGATAGATAGATAGATAGATAGATAGATAGATAGATAGATAGATATTTAGTCACGGTAGTTTTATCAGCTAAAGCGCTGGTTTACATAAAAGCCGGATTAAAACTGAATTTATATATCTAGCACAGTTTCGAGTTAATTCTAATTGTGAAAAAAAAAAAAAAAAAAAAAAAAAAATATATATATATATATAAACATACACACCGTATGTAAAACTAAATATTAATTTAGTAACTAGGATTATAGTAAGGAATCAAAGAAGCTGGGAAGCAAGCGGTCCAATTTTAGACTGCAAAACAGTCCGTATTTTTGCGTATTCAAGTACGCGCGAGCAGTCAAACAAAAGGTCTGGAATGAGGCTGAAGACAGAGAGCTAGACTGGGGAGAGACGCTAAAAATACGGACTGTCCGTTTTGCATACGTGATATTCGTTCGAATTACCCGCTTCTCCCAGCCACGGGCAATTCCCATTGGCTAAATTTTGATGCAAGCTGTCACCAAGCTATCAAGTAATGTTTTCAACATGTCATTCACGTTGTTCGATACCGTGATGAATTGCTAAATCTTTCGCTGTAAAATGACAGATGTTGATCGCCTGGATTTGCTCGCAAGAATTGGGATTTGTTTTAAAATCGGAGCAGAGGGAAGCTTTGGAGTTGCTACTCAGGGGAAAGGAAGTTTTCTGTGTTCTACCAACAGGATTTGACAAAAGCCTTATTTATCGGATGTTTGTTCATGCAAAGAGTTCTTCAAGTTCAGTGCAACGGCCGACCGTCATTGTTATCTCGCCTGGCTAAAAAAGCGGGATCGGTAGGAAACACACAACTTTTACCTCATGCAAACATGCCGCTTGTTCCAATGAATTGTTTTCTCTGTCGAGTAGATTATGCTTTGGAGGAAAACGTTTTGACTGAGCAAATGTGAATTTTGGCCGCTTATTAAATATATTTCATACTGAGAGGTCGTGACACGCATATTGATTTTCTCTGGTAGGCATGATTTGCCCTCTGACGCAAGAGCATTTTCTTTCTTGGCCCCTTTAGAAATGTAAAGCTCTTCATTGCGGCTTATTAAGGGTTTAGGTTGTTTTATTTCTCCAAAGTGCCTCCTGGATTTGAATAATTTTAAGCGATTTTCTTTGTGTCCGTGAATGTGACTTTCTCCTGCAATGTTTTGTCACGCTGGGACCAGTTCGTTAGATAGCGTTTTTGGCAGGATTTTAAAGGGGCTATGTCACCCAACACGCATGCGCGAGCCAATGAGAACAAACTTGAAAAAGACAGCCCAACTTTTTCAAGTTGTGTCGGAGATTTTGGAAGGCTGTTTTTATCTGTCTAAATCTCAGCCATCGTTCGATAGTTAGCGAAGTTTTGTCTTAAGAATCATTCTATGGTGATTACAGAACAATTTTTTGGCGTTATTTTAAAATTGTTTGCCTGTGGAATGTTTTTACGTGGATTTACTGTGTCCTCTTATCAGCGGCCGTTGTAATGGCAGAGTTAATGACGGCTACTCCACAATGAGTGATGGAATCTTTGATGGAATCTTCCCTATAGTTAACAGGACCTTTCTATTGAGTTATTTTAGAGGCTGCTGGCTCTTGGATTTTTCTTGTGCTCAAAGTATGTGGACATATAATGAAGCGGCTATCGAGTTGGCGGCGGCCGTTTTTTGTAAACGATTACAAGAGCATCAGGCCATGAGTTTCGTGACGAAACTAAACTCCTGGCGAAGGAAACATTCTAAAATTCGGCTAGATTCCTTCTTGTATTTATCTCGATTCACGGCAAAGATAAACACGACCGTTTGCTCGTCCAGATTGCTCTCAACGGACTTAGAGAGGCACCTTGGTACGAGTTAGATCCTGTAAATGCCATGTTTTTGAACTGTTTGTGTTGGAGCATAATTTTGGAAAATAGCAGAGTTTACTTTCCCTTTTTATCAACGGACTGCTTATAGTGGAGTAGTATACCAATGATGCTGGGTTCTGTTTTTCTCGACGTCGCAGTGATTCGGCACGATCGAACAATTTTGCGCGATAATGTATGTTTCCCTAAGATCAAAACAAAGACTTGGTCTCTTGTTCTATCAGCATCTAAATTATAAAATCAATAGCGACAGACAAGTCTAATTGTTAATGATTTGAAACAGTCTTGGTCTTTATCTTCGGTCTAGCGTCTTTTGTAGCTCATTTGTAAAATACAACTTCCATTTATTTTGTTGAATAAGACAATATGTTGTTGTTGAATTTTTGTTTGCGCTCTATTTTATGAATGGCATGCGTTTTTACTTCAAAACTACAAGTAAAATTGTCGTCGCAATTTTATTCTTGATCTAGCATAACCAGAGAAGAAAAGTTCCATAAATTCTATCGAAATATCCCTTATCTAAACCCATTTCGCTAAACCTCTCTAAATTCGGAACCTTGGACGTGACAGAGAACATGAAGAAAGTCACGCGTTAAAAACAATAGAATTTTGACAGTTGAAAGTAATTTGCATAACCTCACAGCGCACATGGAGAAAGTCACGCGTTGAAAACAATAGAATTTTGACAGTTGAAAGTAATTTGCATAACCTCAGAGCGCATGCTCTCCAGCTGACATAGCCCCTTTAAATTCTCACAGATAGTAATTTACAGAGCTAAATCACCAAGACGTGGTTTGGAATGAGGGGATTTACTCATTCTTTTCAATCGCAATAATTGTTCATTGTCAGTTGACGTGTTCAGTTGTTCTCTAATTTGCGAAAGCATCGCCGTGTAGTTTCCCGGGGCAATTTCTAACCGTTGTTCCGCACGGAGAGCAAACTTCTCTTGTGGAGAAAGATTCTCCTTCCTCGAGGACAACGAAAAGTTCGTTTTTCAGTAGGTCGGCCCACTTTGGTAACGTTTCCCCTTTTCTGGTAGGCGCAACAAACGCATTTTCCGAGCTTATCCATCCATTCGTAAAATTGCCGAACTGTGTTTTGAAACAACAGCCGCACATTCTACAATTTGTCCAAAGCCCTCGGCTCTTTCGGCTTTCTCCCTCTTCGAGGAGCAGGCATAGGCTTAGTTGTCGTACTGCCACTTTCACTCATTTTTGATCCTCCACTATATATACCACATTTCACTATATACACTACATTTCACAGGGAAGCAACGCTAAAAACTGCTTTAGAATTACTGGATTACAGCGTCAATAATTAACACGCGAGTCTATCAAATTCACAAAGAGGGCGGAGTTGCGAACAGATTTTTGACAGCTCGACGACATTTTTGAACCCCCTGGTCGGAACGAACTCATTGTATGGAAAACGGACAGTCGGTCTCTCGCCTCACACGCCCTACGGGCGTGTGAGGCTCGCGCGCTTCGCGCGCGTAAGACTCTTACGCCATTCTTTACCGATTTCTTTACTGATTCTGAGGAAAAAACCGACTGTTTTGCAGTCTATCCAATTTAGATTTGAATAAGTTCATTGACTTGCATTCACGCAAATCGTCGGTAACTTATTCTAAATAAAAGCGTCCCAATAGCCAGAACGTTTTTTAGCCATGATTGAATAGAAAAACAAAATGATAAAATACACGTCATATTTTTAACGTTACTTTAGGTACATTGGCGTCTCCAATAAGGAGTGATGGGCAAGACATGCGAGAAGACCCCTGTCTAGATCCTACAAAGAATACTTCTGATTTTGTTGTGTTCAGAGTGAGTCGGTTTGCATATAGAGCCAGCTACACACATTTTCTACTAGGTCTATATTTCCCGGGCTATATTTATCTTGCGCTCAATTTCAAACTTGGAGGAGCCAGCTACAGTAAGGTTAGTTTCATCTGCATACATTTGTGTGTCACTGAATTCTTAACAAGTCGATAGGTCGTTGATATATATAAAAAATAATAGAGGGCCTAGGACAACACCTTACGGTATGCCGTAACGGAGAGTTTTTATCTTAGAAAGTTGACCGTCGACTAGGCAAAATTGCCCCTAGCCTGCGAGCAGCAGACGTTTCTCCTGCTATGAGCGAGGAGAAACGTCTGCCGTTCGCAGGCTAAATTGCCCCCGGTCACTAAGGTATAAAGTAAACCAGCGCACTGTGGAATCAGACGCGCCGTAGCTTTGCAGTTTTCGAAGAAGAATTGAGTGGTACGTATTAGATCTATATATACAATTGAATTTACTAGACGATTGTCTATATTTAGGGACCAGTCATCAACGGCATTTAGAAGACCTGTTAAGGTGGAATGAAATTTACGAAAACCGGAGTTGGCAGTTTGTGAGCAGCTTATTAAGCTGGAGATACACATACAGTTGATAGTAAATAATCCTCCCAGACTTAAGCAATTGCAGATATTACAGATATCGGTCTGTAATTATTGGTATCTGAACGTGTCCCACTTTTATACAAACGGACTGGGATAACTTTTGCTAATTTCTAATCCTTCGGGAAAACTCCATAGCGAAGCGTATTTTTAAGGCTTCAGCCCGGTATATTATCCTGTCTGGTTGAAGACAGACAGACTGTTGTTAGTGTTTTTATTATGCACTCTTTCTGCTGTCGTGCAAGAAAGCGGAAATGAAGTTGAACGGGAAGGCAAATATTTAACAAAATCGGGATTACCTTGGTCGGGTCCAAAGTTCTCGTCAGCCAACTGAAATGTTCCGGTTGAAAGCATCGGCGATGCCTGACGGGTTTGTGAGAGTATCTTGATTCTTGTAAATCAACTTCATGACTCGTTGATTTTTTTTATTCCTTCTTGTCACTTCGTTTACTGCCTCCAAGCATCTCTAGGTTTAGAAGTGTTACCGGTAATCTCACCTTTATAATGTTCCTTTATCAACTTCATTTCAACTTCATTTTTGATTTTTGCAGCACAGCCAGTCATTCTGATCGTTTTTTCTGATCATCATGAGTTTTCTTGAGATAGTCACGATAGCGCATTTTTGAGAGCACAGTTTGGTTGATCCAGGGGGACTGGTTTTGTATTGCACGTCTAGATCGTGTTGGCGCATGCATGTTTGTCACAATTTGATTTCCATTTTCCCACATGGTATCAGGATCGTGTACGTGTTTGTCTAAATTAGACGATGGTACATTCGTTAATTCTGCTACAAATGCCTGTTCATTAATTTAAATGTTTGTATGAGCGACAGCGAATGTATCTGTGGCCTGGCCGGAATAGAAATTACAACGATACGCATAGATTGATACGTTTTGGTTCAAGTTACCATGACATACTCCTGAACATACCACCTTATCAGGGACGCGTAAGAACATGATCGATTATAGATTCAGGGGTAAGAAAGTAAGTAAGTTACTCATTTGCTTGTCATGTCAGTTGTAAAGTCAAGTATTTTGGGAAGGTAGCGAGCGTTAAAGTGAGTTTTCGAGGGGGAGACAATGTTCTGTCATTTTCGCTGCTATGTCGTTCTATGAGCCTAATCGGTTATCAGCTGTGGATCATTGTGGATCACGAACACAATCAATGAAATCTGCTAAAAACGATTCAACTCAACAGAATCGTTTTTAGCAGATAACATTCCTGTTGTAGTTCACTACTTTTTCTAAGGAGATGAACGAAACAAAGAGGCGAACAAACTGTTACAATTGACGTCATTATCGTCGTAATTTGCCCCGGCAAAGAGGCGAATGAAACAAGCGACTTGCTTACCGAGGTCGGCAAACTGAATTAAGGTTTTCCTCTTCATTTAAAATACTTATTTGCATTGATCTCATGAAGTAAAAAAGTGATTACATCAGAAACGATATTCCGTGACAATTCGGTAAGTCAAAGATGCTTTCTGAAACCTCTCTTTTAAATATGTCTTTATTGTGTATTTGTCAATAAGAATCCAAACTGATTTTTGAGTATGCATTTTACACCAAGAGAGGATAAAGGGGACAGAGAAGGCATCCCCCATACACACCCTATTCCATAGGTAATTCGTCTCGAGTTAGTTTTAAGACCACAGATCCCAAGAGGGGATTAGACAACAGCCAATCACATCGCGCAAATGTGTTCCGCGTGGATGACACACGCTTAGAGCCACGCATCCTTCACAAATTGACGCCGAAAAAATGGCAGAAGACGCGGAGAGCGATATTGCTATTTGTTTTGTCGACGAAAACGACTAAAGAGAGATTTCTGCTAAAGCTGTGTCAGCGAAACGGAAATTAAAAAAGAATCACTCTTCCTCTCTTGTATAGAGCTAACAGTGCAGCAGGGAAATCCTTAACACACTGAATATTCTCTCAGGATCATTTATAATTTACAGTCTGAAGAGAGCAATTTCTGGTTTGATATTTATTCTTTTATTAGTCTTTTATTATTCAACAAAAATAACACTTGGCGTCCTACTTGCTTTATTATACAAACGACCGGTTTCAATAGACCCGGGAAATTTCTCATTTTATTAAAGCACTGAGGCTACGAAAACTTCGAGTTAAACTGATTTCACGGGTTTTCAAAGAGTCCGGCGAGGTGAGCGCCGACTCATTTCGCTTCAATATTCAGAAATGCTCTCGATCTCTTAACGCTTTCATTGCCTTTCGCCCGACATGTTTTGCACGGCGTTTAGTCATGCGAAACCTCCACGAAACATCCACGCAACGTGCGAGGTAACTTTATCCCGATTCTAAAAATAACTCGAGAAGAAATACCTATGGAATGTGTATGGGGGATGCCTTCTCTGTCCCCTTTATCCTCTCTTGTTTTAAATACAACCTTTCATTAAAGAACGTTTATTTTATAAACAAACGGATAATATGTTAGTGAGATATATTAATGCTTGTTGTTATTGATTGAAATCTTTTAGCCTGCGTAGCAGGCGCTTGGAAGTTGTGGGCGAAAGAAAGAACAGGCGCGCGCGAGGGAGACACGCGGGGGGTTGTTTGCATTATGCTCTGTGTTTGTTTTTATTTGAAACTAATTCTAAGATTAAGCAGGTTCCGAATTAAGGTCACACATACAAAGCTGAAGATAAAAACAAGCTTTAAAAATACAACATAACTCAACTGTGTAATTCACTATTTTTCCTTTTGTCTCGTCACGCAACGCTGGAGACAAAAACGGATGCGAGGGAGACAACAAAAAACTTTCTCCTCCCAATCTTACAACCTTGAAGACCATTTGATATCCTAAGGTCCCTAAGCTGAGATACAATAGATTATTTACTACCGTTCCACCCCTTGATCTTTCTACATGGGGCCGCACTTCACTTCCAATATCGAACCTTTAGTCTATACCTTAACACTGTACAAGATAGCAACGTAAAAAGGAGATGTGTTAGGTTTGCAAATCTCGGCACAAACACACTCCAAGTTGTCAGGTAAAAGGTCTTTTGGTTCATTATAAACAACCCCCCAGCAGCACGGTTTCTGTCCTTTCGTATTAGATCGTAACCTGGTATGTGAACCTTATGGTCAGATATACTGGGATCTAGTCTGGTCTCGTTAACTGCTAAATATCAAGAATATCATCAATATGTTTAGGAACGCTTACAGTATTAATTGCCGCTAACTTAAACCCCCTTACCCTAGGCAGCGCATTTTGGAAATCACCCTGATTTGAATCACCAACTTCTTTGATTACATTTGCTAATGTCGACGGAACCTCCTGTCTGGAGTTTTGTTGGTGGATAGATCTAGGAAAAGCCGGCTTAACTGACTGAAAATATTTGGGTTGTGAAAATCCAAATTGCTCCTGGGGTTCTTGGGTCCTCTTTTAGTGCTCGTAGCAAAATTGGATCTTAGGAAGTAAATGAAACGAACAGCAAGAAAAGCAGAGCCCTTTGCGTTCAGGTGCAGACAGCCTTGCACTAAGCAGGTGTTGTTGATCTTTGAGTTGTCTATGTAGTTTATATCGTGAACAGTTGCAAACCAATTCGATTGCTTCTAATTAACTACTGAAGAGAACCAAGGCATGGTGCAGTACAAAAAGAAGATAGAATTGCGCATACATTTGCATGATTCCCCAACTGATCAAAATAATGGGTCATGTTTAATAAGCCTCTTTAAATTTAGGGATATTCCGGACTGATAATTAGGGGTGACGAATGGTCTTTGCGAGCATTCGCGAGTATGCCGAGCACTGCGATTTTTTTGCGAGCACGAGCAGAGATAAAAAAAAATTGCTTTGCGAGCAGCGAGCAGTTTAAAGAGTACAACTCGCGAGCAGCGAGCACTTCTTAGATTCTTATATTTTCCGCTCGCAGCAATCCATATGGAAATCCTCTTCTTTAAAATAAAACAGAAAATATTTTAAAACGGGGTTTTAATCTTTAATTTAGAACCCACCAAGTTCTTTGAAGCTAGTTTGAGTGACTTTATCGAGATCTAACCAATTACAGTCGCGTTTGATGCCAAATGACGTAACATTTTCGCTTCACTTCATCACGCACGTGTTCGTATGGATCAGAAAGCAAAGGTCACAAGAAGAACAACCAGATGTAACAACCATATATGACCATGCATATATATAGCTAGATTAGCTAATTTATTATTTCGGCGTTGTCATTTATCGCATACATTTCCACTGAACTTGATAGCCATATGTATAGGAATTAAGCACCATACAGAATTACATTTACTTTAACCCAAAGGCGTGAGGATTTAAAAAATTTCGAGCAATACTGACAAGAAAGCGAGCTTGCGGGCAACTGCAAAAATTTGCCGGGAGCACGAGCAAGCGAGCACTCGTTTACATTTTGCGAGCAAATCGAGCAAAGGTAAAATTTTGCGAGCAGTTAAAAATTTTAATGGACCATTCATCACCCCTATAATTAATTCTTTCGTCTCCGTGGACAGTTCAGCGGCCTTTTCGACTCATGAGAGCTGAAAATGAACTCTCAGAAGCAAAACAAAAAAAAGATATAACCTTTTGTTAGCGACTTAACTTTGAACTTGATGTTGAATGACTGAGTAGACGATTGGGTGTCAAAACACAAAAAGCTCTTATTTCTCTTCTTTCGGGAACTAAGCAATTTTTTTCGCGCTCTTGGTCGGATGTTTGTTTCTTTCTATTTTTGCCAATTTTACCCGCCTTTATTGACCAAACGCGCGCCCTGCATCAAGTGTTTCTGTTGATAGTGAGCACAAGGGGGTAAAAATTTCGCGCATTTTTTTTGAAAGTGGCGAATGCTTATGTCCCTTGACTATAAGTAAAGTTTGGAGAATCGCTAGGCTTTTCGTTAACTTTTAACTTACCAAAACGGATCAAAGTTGATCGGTGGGGGTAAAAGGAGGAATTAGTTTGCAGAATAGCATTTGGCATGGTTTGCGGAATGACATAATTATGCGGAATATAAAATATGGAAAATGGCGCAAAAAAATAAATTAAACTAAAAAGCATGCGCGCGTCTTTGCTGCGCCTTTTTTTGGCGCCAATTTGAGCGAGCAACTGCTCTGCTGGTCCACTTATTACTGCTGGCTCAAACCAACAAGGCAGGGTAGAAAGTAGGCGATAAGCTTTACTGCATTCTTGTACGCCATTACAATATTGTCAAATGTCAAAACGCCTTACGGAAAAGAACGCTTGTTGAACGTGAAGTCGGGCTTGCTACAATTCTAAGGATTGTTAATTAATACAGTGGACGAATCAGATCATATTTGAGACTAAATGAACGCCCCGAGTCAAACATTAATCTGTAATCCAGAAATCGAGTGAAGCGAACTGCTCTCTGTCTCCTTTCGGCCTTTCCGAGTGTCTAGCACCTTCATTGTTTATGTGAGTGTGTGCGCTTGATCGTAAAAAAAAAATGCTAAAACGGTAGGAAGGGCCAAAAAAGAGAAAAAGACACACATTCAATTGCCAGGATTCGAAGTCGCCCTTCTCCGCCAGCTGTTAGCTTCGCGTACCGGAAACATAACCACGCAGTAAAGGAAACAAATTACAAGGTCCGTTTCATCTCTGAATATTATGTCACGATCAGGTAATCCACCGTCTGAAAAAGAAACACTACTCACGTGGTTTCAAGTACAAATATAGGTAAAAGGAAGCTGTTAAGTTAAACGTGCCAACATCTTTTGCAGAAAAAATGAAAGTAGAAGGGAGCGTGACCTCCCAAAACATCTTTTCTTCAATGGTCGACTTTCGTGATGTAGTATCGGTGCTGCCATGCAGCCCGACTAATATAGGCAAGAGGAATCTTTGTGGCTGTGCTGAAAAGGCTAATCCACATTAGTAAATTCCAACTAGTGGTCTATTATCAATGCTGCGTTCTGATTGGCTGAGTTACTACTAGGCTATATGTTATAGCTCACTAGTAGCGAAAGCACCGGCTCTGAAAACCAAAACAATGGCGGCTGAATCGTGTTTTGCTAGCTAAAGTTGTTTTGTCTCGATATTTTTTACTAACTAGTTGGATTTTACAAAAACAATTATTCCTCTCGCCCTCATGGCCTCTGAGTCAATAGCCCATTCGGGCTTGATGAGCCTTCGTGGCCATGATTGTCATCGCAACATTAAAACAGCGGCGCCCGCAACATTAAAACAAGGGTTTTTGTATATTTATCTTTTTTCATTTCCCAGTTTCTAGTCCTTCTGTATTGAATGGTTTGCATTTTTATTTTTCATTGTGTGACAGTGCAAGCCGAGAATTAATGTCGTACCCAGATCTCTTGTCAACTAAGCCGAAGGCGCGATTTAGGCAGTACGAGTTTGGCATACGACTTTTGCATGCGACCAGTATACGTTATGAGTTCAGGATCTCGTCGTGTAGATTAGTCCCACGACACCCGCACGACGGGTGTTCACGATTGGCTAGATTGTGAGGGAATGACATGAGTTTTGTCATTCATTCTTTGCAAAGCCTTCAGGTTTGTTGAAGAAATATTTTCGCTGAAGAAGTACAAATTTTCCTTCGCAATATAGTTTGTAAAACAATTTTTATCTTATCTTGAAAGAATTTTTAAAAAACTCTCTCTCGGTTCAAAATAAAGACTTTTGAAAAGGATATGGTAAAAAAAAATCGCGTTGAAATTAACGCTTAAGCACCTATCAATGTAACCCCGCGGGGGTGGGGAGTACCGACAATAGGCGGGGATTTGACGTGAAATCCATTCCCTGGGTGGGAGGTTTGATCGAGTACACGTGCTCGAGGGAAGAGACAGAGCATTTGACTGAGACTGTGAGAGAGTAGTGATTGTGGCTACAGAGCGTCGTTCTTTCTGACTGTGTATCTACTGAAAATAGTAAAAAAAAGCATGTCGTTTGTTAGTTTAATTGATGTTTATTTCCTAGTTTGGTGACATCTTAGTTGAGAAAAGGTGTTTATTATAATTTTGCGTCGAATTCTTTTACATCTGTACCTCTATAACGGAACAAATATTTTCATAAAAGCGCAAAGTCTTTGATAAATGAATGAAACAAATATGTCAGTAAAATCTTTTTTTTTATTTTCATTGTTTGCAACGTTACCAACCTCGTCCCCAGGGCTCCAAAGCCACCTCCAAAGCCAGGGAAAAGCGCCCTGGGGAGGTTGCAACGTTACTTTTTCATGGAGACAACATACAACATGTAGGGAGATATAGGTTAAATCAGGGTTGTGATATTCAACTTACCCCCACGAGGTTTACATTTATAGGTGCATGACTGCTTTGAGCTGTGCTTAAAGGCCTGTTTACATGGAGTGGGGGACTCCGGTCTAGTGGGGTTGGTTTCTTTTGTTTTCACGCTCTAGGGGACACAAAACAAAAGAAACTTACCCACTAGACCGGGGTCCCCCACTCCATGTAAACAGGGTTTAAGGTCACGGAGGACACCGTGGGCTCATTGTTAAGTCGACAGCTTTACGAGATACTCATCACTGGAAAAAGAGGAGCACATAATTTTGAAGTGTTCACGTGCACTTGTGGCACGGAGACTGCGAAAAAAAAAGTTTTTATTCAAAAGTAAGAAACGTGCTCTGGACGGTGGTATACCTTGTTTCAGTGATTTTTAAATCAATAAAAGAAAGGAGAAAATAGCGAAATCTTTAGAAATCTCAAACAAATTTGATATTTTAGCTGTTTGTTGTTTTTTTTTACACCACAGAAATGTTAGAAAACATGGCAGCTTACAAACAAAATTAATGCGTGGAATGTAATTAGCCATAATTACCATAATATTTATATATCTTGCTTAGAACTCGTGCTTTAGTCGGGCTTTGTGTCCAAGAATTCAACAGCTTTCAACGAAGATAAAAAACTTCACGTAAACGTGATAAACGGTGTATTTCATATTAGTGCTGCAAGATATCTGTTGTTCTTTGCAAAGTTTCGGAGTCATCGCGTTAAAAACGACAAAGTTATGACGAAAAGTTTGTCATAGCTCAACGAGCCTTTATTAATGAAGAAGCCACCTTAACCAGAATTTAGTTTCGTCTGTGGCACAGGCCAGTAATTACCGTGAATATGTCATTTGTGTTTTTTTGGCATTTTGGCGTTTTGGCCATCTGCCCATTTTTAATTTTCTTATGTATTACAGCCAATATTCTTGATAAAATGATTTAAAAACTATTTCATTCCCTCAAAATACACCCACAACCACGATCCTTTGTGTAATCTCGGCAGAACAATGACTGATGATATTATGCATCGAGGAGGTGGTGAATCTGCTGGTACAGCCAATCCAGGCTTTAATCCCTTGGGTGCAAGTGGTCTTGACGCAAGCTCAGTCAATAGCAACAGTTGTGGTGGTGACAAGATGCTGACTGACCCACTGTGTCCTGGCAGCTCAGCAGGTAGAGGAAGTGCTGCTGAGACGGGAGACGCTTCAAAGATTGTAAGTTAACGTATTGTAGACTCATATAAGTTATGTTATTGTACATTGTACTCAACATATGTCTTCTTATTGCCTAAGAACTTACAGTTAATTTGGGAAATCAGCGCAACCTACAGATTTGTTGTTAGTTATCTGCTACCAGATTAGGTTGCGCGCAAAGCATGATTTCTTTATTTTCTTCAAAACAATGTATAATAAAATAATTATTGGATTCGGTTTTTGTCATAACCGGAAAAATCAAGGTCTCGGTAAGTGTTATCAGCCACGGCCTTCGGCTCGGCTGATAACAGTTACCTCGAAGTTGATTATTCCGGATATCAAAAAAGATATCACAAAAACCTCATCCAATAATTGTATATGGAACATGCACTGGACAAGGGAGTGAACTAAAAATACTCTGTAGAAGTCCAGATGTAACAACCTCAAATTTCTCGTCATTAGAATTAATTAATTCTAGTTCTCCTCTTGGCATGGTTGCGGAGAAGGGGGAGGAGTACGCTGGGGCTCCAAGGCTTTTCCCTTAGAAAATGGGAGGGAAGGGAAAAACTTGATATGGCATTTCACACAGCAATAATTTGTTACACTCAGGATTTTAGGGTGTACGACGGGACAAGTGACCAGCCGAAGCAAGGGCCTTTTCGAGTCCCTCCCATTTTATTTATTTTATTTTATTTTATTCGCCTCACAATAATATTAACAACAATTATAGGAAAAGGAGGAGACTTAACAGAAACTATGGGAGCTTATGAGAGGTTAGGCCTCCTTAACTATGGGCTAGAGCTGTTTAACATCAATTAAAGAAAAGATGGCGGAAAGTTGAAGATGAAAAGATTCATGAACTGTTTTAATATATTCAACGATTTAATCTTTAGTACTTTTTTAAAAGAGGAAAGCGATTGAGAGTTGATGACCTCGTTGTCAAGTGATTTAAAAAACTTAGTCCTTGAAAAAAGGGCGAGAACTTCTTACTAGTGTTTCCTCGACTATACGGTAGACGGTAGGCCTGGGAATTTCTTGTATTGTAAGAGTGGAATTGATTGCTTTGGGAGAAATTGTTATTAAACCTTGGAGGTAACAATGGATTTTTGCAAGAAAACATAAATTGGCCCAGTTGAAGCAAATGGATATCATAGAATTTTAGTATACCGAGGTCCTTAAAGAGATGGGGTATGTATGAGCATTGAAATGTGATTAGCATTAATAATTCTGATAATGTGCTTTTACAGGATAATAAGGCGGCGGAGATTGGTTTTATAGGTCGAAGCCCAAACTATCTTGCAGTAGTAAAAATAAGGATAAAATAAGGAATAGTGGAGCATGCGTAGAGACGTTTTAGGAAGAAAGAAGCTGCATCTAGATATTATACCGATTGACTTCGCAACTTTATTTGCAACGTCGTGTGATATTTCCGCCATTTAATTTAGGTTTTCCTCCAAAATTACTCCTAGAAAATTTGTCTTCTTTACTTTAACAATATTTTGATTATCTATACTTATTTGAATATTACAAATTATACGTTTTTGTCGTGGTTTAAAGACCATAACTAGTCTTTTTAAGATTTAGAGAAAGCTGGTTTGCTTCAAACCAGATTGACAGTTTGTCCATCTCCAAGTTTAACATATCTGAAAGATAGTTCAGATCTTTATATGACATGAATACGTCGGTATCGTCGGCGAACAGAAAGGAGAAGCCCTGGGGACGAGGTTGGCTGGGATTAAATTTGAAGTGGAAACGACGCAACAGTCTGACGCACCAAATAAATTGTAAGGTGATCGTCTGATGTGGTGTAGTGCCGTCATGGCGTCACTGGCATTTTATCCACAGGCCTCTCCAGTTCTGGGCTCCCTGGATAGCGCTCTGAGCGACAACCCATGTATCCTCACATAAACTGGAAAACGAGGGAGAAAACGAGTGACCGGAAAATGAATTTGTGCATAAAACGAAAAACTCTTAAGTAGAGTCTCAGTAGCTTCTTAATCCCAATTTCAATTTTCCTCAAATCCCGTAGTCTCCAGTGTCTTTATCTTCTAATTCTAATAGCAATCAATCATGATTTAAACACAGTGCCTGGATAATTATGTTTTGCTCAGTCTTTTTTAATCGTCACAGTTCGAGGACACAGACACAGAAGACACAGATGAGGAGATTACGCCCCAGGAACCCGCTGATAATAAGGGGCAGGTACTTAAGATGTTTCTCTATTTTCCCTTAAGATTTGATAACTTTAGCTTCATCACTATGATTTAATTTAAAGGTAATTTCATTGATACTCCTCCTACTACTACCACCACCACCACCACCACTACCACTACCACAACCACTACCTACCAGTATCACTACTACTACTGCTCTACTGCTATTACTACTGCTACTCTTGCTGCTAATATTGCTGCTACTGCAACTGATACTGCTTCTACTCCTACTACCACTTATATTTGTCTGGAAACGAGAGTGATTAACGCTTAAAACGATTGGCCTAATTCGCTCAAACCGGCTGGCGTTAACCAAATTTGCGCAAAGTATCCCCTGTAAGGGATTAAATGCAAAACCACAAAAGAGTCTACTCAATTACAGTTTGGCCTCTTACCCGGAGAGATTGTTGCGTCGGAAATAAATAATAGGGACTTTACAATCCAACGAAGCGATGCAGCTAAAAAGCTGCTTAAAAGGTGAATTTACGTTCTTTCAGTCTTTATCGGCGATTATTCCTACCCATTTACTTTATTAAAAGTAGGCGAACCCCTCTGCAGTTGAATTCCTAGGATCTCTATCCACGTTCAGGAAGAGAAATAACATTTCGTCGTCGCTTGTTTACGTCCTCCATAAAAAGTAAAAACTGGGCATTTTCATGACGTAGTCGTGCAAAAACGGCAAAGAAATGTCCAGATTTGTTGTTTTGCCTTCTAAAACTATTTTTTTTATTTTCTCGTTGCCGTCGCGTCGTCGGATCGTAAGTCTCTAATTCAGTTAAGTCGTAAGAAATTCACTGATGAAAAAGAAGAAGTGTTTAGTTTGCAAAGGTAATATTGAAATACAGTGTACTTTTAACACTGAAGTCGTGCAGTTGTAAGGATAATGATATTTTAAGTTTATTTGTAAAGGAAAATAGACTCAAAAATCAACATTGATCATATGTAACTTCATATAATTTTCTAACAGTCGATAAAAGAGCCCATGTATAGTTTTGCAACAATTAAAGGTGCATGTTCTTTGCAGTATCCCATGTACGTTTTCCATCTCTATGCTGATGAAAGTGTTGAGTCCGTGAAGATCGTCACAGAGAAGCCCATGCTCCATGGTAGTCTGACCTTGGCCCTTAAGCCTTGTTCAGAGGACAACAAATATTGGAGGTCTCCTCAATTATTTATACTCCCAAATGAACAAGAGACTTTTCATTATCGGTATGTGGTGAAATACAACAAGGGTCTTGTGGATTCTTTCAAAACTTACATTACTAGCAAATTCACAGGAAAAAAAGATGAAAAGACAGTACAGGAGACACGTGCACGTAATTTGAATAAGGGGATGCAGCAGTATGACATTTTTCGAGATCCCAGTGATCATTCCGGAATGAGTCGCATCTTTCGTGGACAAACGTTCTTTATAAAACAGTTATGTCAGAAGCTGGAGAATGGTGGCGATCTCAAAGAATTACTGATGGAGTGTGAACACATAGGTTTTGGTCATCCATCTTATGACGTAGAAGACGTAAAAAAGTTTTTGAAGTGGTTTGAGGATGCGATTAACAAGTCCTGTACTCCTTATCAGGGCATCTTTTTCTGTTCACTTCTTGGCCAGCTAGTGGTTCAAGGGCGTAACTGGCCAGCTATATATGCTTGCAGTTTGCTAGGAAGAAAGTTCGCTGAGACCATTTTGTCATCTTTTAGCAGATGTCCTTATGTAGCATTACCTCAAAACAGTGCCAGGTTCATCGAAAAGGTAGCAGAAGAACTTTTCAAAGCTGGATCTTCGAAAGGCTGCCTGTTGTTTATTAAGTATTTCTGTAATCATCTAGATGCCAATTATGTAATGCAGGTGGTAGACAAACTTTCATCACAGACGTACATAGAGAACCAATTCGAAGAACATGTCTCTCTATTGTTAACCTCCCTCAAGAAATTGACAAACCGCGCCATTTGTACAATGTATTCGTCCTATGTTGTGAAATCTTCCCCAACTATCCGGTGCCTCTGGAATCTCTATAACTCTATGTCCCTCTGCTTCCCAGACTTGATACAGAGCCTGACGAAAGATTTTTCGGAGACTTACAGCAAGTTCATTTCACGCAATCGTAAAACAAAACCAGATCTTCTTGACCCCATATTTTGGTCACAAGTACCAGAAAACCTGAAGAATGAACTAGCTAGGCCATTCTGCAACGCATTAGCCGATCAAGTTCGTTTAGAAAATACATGGTCATGGTCACAAGAAAAGCTTGTTAGATTGAAGGATATTGCTGTTGATAGACGATTACATTCATCGGCTGACTTTCGTCATTTCGCAATGGGGATCACGACACACAAATGCAAAGAAGTAGTGTCCCTTCTCCCAGACCTTCTGAAATCAAATGCATACTGCTGTCTTTGGATGAATGCATTCACCCTTGAAGAAAAAAAGAATGTTTGCTCTCACTGGCTAAAAAAGTCCTGTGGAAATGAAACAAAGCCTAACGACAGGATCCTGGCTTTTGTGGAAGCGTGTGAGTTGCTATGTACCACGGAGGCTTTAAAATCCGATAAAAATCTTTGTGAGGCTATACACAAGGAGGTGGAGAATTTAGTCCTCAAGATGAATTTTCAGTCCATAATGAATGCTTTTCAAGATGGACAGAATAGTTCCCCTGCCGTTCACGAACACCTCATGTTACTTCTTAGAAAAGCGATAAAGCAGCAGAGTGGCACCGGAGACCGTCGCTCAAGATTTAGACAGATGATTCGGATGCTTGGCTTTGATATTTCCAGGGAAGGAAAGAAGGGGCTTATCAAGGCAAAGATAACGAGGTGAGTAAAATACCTTTTCTGTGTACTTTATTCCGTCTAGCCACCATGGCTGGTGAGAGTGCAAGACTGAAATATAACCATGGTGTGTTCTCGAACTGTACAAAACCTTGAGTTTGATGGTTTAGGGTTGTCTTTTAAGAACAGCAAAGAAATGTAGTTACCAAAATGTTAACTCGTTGTTCTCGCTGCTGTTGCTTGACAATGAATAATATCAAACTGATCGCTCTGCCGTGGATAAGCGTTCAAAACCATCTTGTGTTTATTTACCTACAATTTTTCTTGGTTATCAGAAAAGCAAATATTAAATATTCCTTTGATTTGATTAAGTTTCTTTTTGCAACATTTTCAGAAAGGGTTGTTCGTTCTCTCCGTATTTTAGCTTAAAAAAGTGAGATTACAAGTTTTTCACTGAAACCATAAAACTAACAGACACTAGCCTGAAGACCCACCTACAGTACATGCAAAAATGTAGTGCAATCAACATATACAAACTAAATATACCGACAGAAAATTAGGGCTAACTTTGAGAAACATGTAAAGGAGCCGAGTAGCTAAGTGAATAGGGCTATAAGTCTAGACAACAGCGAGGCAAAACTGTGTTAGGTTTTTCTCTTTCACGGAGAAACTAATTCCGTTTTTAAATAGTTCAAAAGGCGGATAACGCTGTGCTCCGGATAAAAATCTGTCCGGTGGATAACGCACTTATCCACTGGATAGTGATTTATAAGGTGGAGAGCGCTATCACTCTTTTACTGAACAACGGAGGCTGTCAACAAATTCATTTTGTTCACCTTATCTTAAACATTAGGGGCAGAGAAGAAGTTCTTTCGGCCATGTTGGATGACATAGCTATGCCAGATGATAAAGAAACAGCGAAAATCTTTAATGCTATGATTTCTGACAGTGACGTTTGGCTACCTGTCTTAAGCGCACTTCATCCTCAGAGCTCACTTATGGAACATCCCAAGGTTTTGACGGCCACAAATGCATTGCAGCAATTATTCGTCCCTCGACAGAGGTCCAAGTTGCCTGTTGCCTTTTTTCTGGATATCAAGGACAAGAAGACCCGTCTCCTTGCAAAGTTTTGTGTCTTAAGTTCTGAAGACAAAGAAAGGAACACAGATGACTGGGTCGCAGACTTCTTAAAGGATAAGGAGACGGCACAATCCTTCTGTGATCAATTCACTAAACTAGAGCAAACAATACGATTCCTTGAGAGAGTGACCATGGGCATCGTGGTGATGTCTGACGCACAGCTCCTAATCCGTGAAGTCAACAACAGGAAGAAAGTAAACACTTCGATTGCCCTTGAGGTTGCTGGTCAGGGTAGCTACTGGGGATTACTGTGCAGTTTGATCGACTCAGGAAAGTCAATTGCATGGGCTCAGGAATCGGTTGTATTTACCAACATTGCACGTATGTGTATAGAAGAGGAGATTGCAGGAAGTCAAACGCAAGTGGGGATGGCAACCAGTGGTTCAGAATTTTGGGAGGAATCCAAGGGAGACGGTAGCATAGAAAATACAGCAGCCGAAATATTGGGTCTTCTAAAAAGCAAAGGTTTGCCTAAGTTCGAAGAAGCGTGCAGTAACCTGTTTGAAACGAATAAAGATATAAGCGTCCAGGAAGTACAAATGCTTTTTAACGGAATTGCTGATGAAGGCGCCCTCAAAAAGGAATTAGTAGTGATGAGATCACTTTTTCCCACTTCTGCTTCTCATCGAAAGGAGAAAATGTTAATGAACGTCCTTTATTTTCCACGCGTCAGTGCAAAAGCTGAGCAGCTGATGTCGGTATTTTCAGCCCTTGGTTATGAAGGTACTGGGGACTCAGTGACTGAGGCCTTAGAAGAAGTCATCTCCTCCGCTCATGACACCGATATTACACTCACGCGTCTCTCTGAAGTTGTTGAAGATACGACAGTTACCATCATTGATCGCAAACTTGATGAGAATTTGACAAACATCTTTAAAACACTTCAAGAATCTAGCGAACTGATCTCCTTCATGAAAGAAACGGCTGGGGAAGACATCAGGATACTAATTGATGCTGTTGAAGAACATTCTGATCAATTCGTTTCGGAAGCTACTGTCTCAGATTTGATTGATGTTCATGGGTTTCTGCGAACCTTCTTACGAGAAGATCCGAAAGATCCGTTGGCGCTTCTGGACACCGTTGAGAAATGTTACTCTAAGCTTGAGAAGAAAGTAGAAATGGCAGCCAAAATCAAAGAATGCGGCTGCAATGTCCACAGTTTGAGAGGCCTCTATATGAATGTTGCCAACCGAGGAGAAATGACGAAAGAAATTATCAGTAACGCAGTGCAGAAAGGGTGTTACCTCATCAAGGCCAACTCAAATGGTTCATATGACGTTCAACTTAGCTATCGTCGCCTAGAAGGTGACTCCAAAGAAACAAGCTACAACATGGCAGAGCTTCATGACCTTCGAAGTCGAGCTCTTCTTATTGTGAACACTGACAAAAAGCAAGAAAAACATAGAAAATCCGATGACTGTGATGCTACATCAGCGTCTCTGAACATGAGCTTGTCTACGTTTATCCAACAAGTTGAAACGATTACCGACATCCTCAACATGGTCACGTCATTGCGAGAGTCGGGCCACCCGCAATTTGATGAATTATTTTGGCATAAGCTTAATTCCGTTGAGGATACTTTATCTCTGGCAAGTTCATTGGAAGCAAAGTTGAAAGAGTGGAGAAATTTCATGCATGATTTGCAAAAAGATCATTATTTCTTAAACTTCTTTCATCCTGACCAGCTTTGGATTCTAAGGAAATTTTTCTCCACACCCCTGTCCAAAACCAAAGAGGATGTCTCTTTGAGAAATCAAGTCCACAATCTGCTGCGATTTGTGGATCCCAGTATCCGTAACAATGACCTTGATGAGTTTCATCCACTATACAAACAGCCTAAAGGAAACAAGGGTCATGAAAATGATCTCCGCGCCATTGGAGAAGTCCTGGATGCCATATTCATTTCTCGTCCTACTTTAGAGGTACAAAAAGTTAGCAAACATAAACTTCAAAGTGCCGTCAAGCCCGGAGAATTGTTTGTGGCAGTCCTTGAAGAAAACAGTAAACAGACAGCTCATGTTGTTATGTCTTTATTCAAACAAACAACAGGCTCGTATCCTCAACCTAGTCAGATTCTTTTCTGTCATTCTGAGACCTCTTGGGAAGAGGTTGAACGACTTCTGAAACGCGTATTTGACGCAAATGAGAGTTCCACGACAATGAAGTTACACTGCCTGGCTAATGTAGAAAACCTGTCAAACGACATGCAGTTCGAACTTGTTTCCTCCATCAGAGCCTACCAACGGACGGCAGAAGGACGATACTTACTAAGCATAGTTTGTTGTGGAGGAATTCATCATCATATTGCCGATCAGTTTTCCTCATGCGCACACAACAATACTGGAATGACAGAGGTTCAAATGCGCATCGCATTCCAAAAAGACTTTCCAGACGTTCACATGGTCACCTCGGACCTTCCTGGGGTAGGGAAAACAGAATTCGTTCATGAACATGCTGCGTCCAAACACAAGAGAATTTTAACAATTCCTATCAGTGGACCCTTGTCTCGTAAAACTTTAGTCAAGGTATTGTGTGGTTTAAAGTTTCAGAAGTACGAGTGCATTCATTTTGATGTTGGTGAGGTAGACGACCCATCATTACTAGATACACTGATTTTTGAACTTTTGGTAGTTGGAATGGTGTCTTGTGGAACAGACCTCTTTCATCTTCCAACAAAGCATGTGTATATCGAAATTGCAAACACATTGAGGCACTGGTTGCAAGATTCCCTCCCTGTAACAAAGTGTTTTTTCCCTAAGCACATTAAACTAGATGGATACGAAAACCTTGTTGTCAGTCAGGAACCATTAAGCGCCTTGCAAGTGGTATGCCAATATCTTCATGCTTTCGAATGTGGAAAGTTAGAGAGCAATGAGGTATGTCCTGGTCATCTGAAACCTCTGTCTTCAGATCGCTGCAAAGAACTCCTGTCAAAGCACTTCTCATCAAGTGGTGACCTGTCATACAACATAATTGAGAGTTTTGTCAAGGTGTTCGCTAACCAGCTGTTGCAATTTTCTGCAAGTCCTTATTTCAAACCGCACAATTTGAGAGCCGTGCTTGGGCCTTCACACGATGTGCGGAACTGCTTGTTCAAAGCCCTTTTGGAAGTGTCCAGAGAGTTTGCAGCGCGCTCTGTTGTCACCTGTAAGAGTGTTCAGTCAGAAGCAATCTCCAAAGAAAAGGCTGTTGAAGTACTTAAGAATGTTCAGTTGCAGTTAGGCAATGTGGCTGAGAAGATGGTCGAACGCGTTGAAGGAATGATACAATGGGCCGATAACAACCACCTTGTGATTGTCTTCCACAGTCTTGAAGCCCTGACCATTTCGGCTTTGTATCGTGATCTGACTTTGGTCCCTTCAAATGTCCATGAGCTCTTCAAAACACAAGCAGTGAAGGGAAAAGGCATGGTTGACTTCACAAAGATGGATCAGAAAGAGCTCCAGGAAAGATTAGATCGAATTGTTCGAACTACTCCAAGGGAAAATGACGACAGCTTGCAGAGCCTGGACTATGCTCTTACCCCAGACAACATTCTAAAAATGGTTCTTATCATTCAACGTATACGAGCAGGAATCCCAGTCATTGTTATGGGAGAAACAGGATGTGGAAAGACAAGTCTTGTCAGATACCTTGCGAAGACGTGTGGAGTACCTTTTCACGTTTTCAATTTTCATGCCGGTGTCGGAAAAGAAGAGGTCGCCTGTTTTGTCCAAAACATGGAAAAAGAAGCAGCAAACGGCAAGGAAGTTTGGGTGTTTCTCGATGAGATTAACACTTGTGATTACCTTGGGACTATCAATGAGATGATTTGTCACCGTAGTATCAAAGGCAAGCCTCTCCCATCAAACCTGGTCTTTATAGCCGCCTGCAATCCGTACCGTCTCCGTCCACCCGGAAAAATTACAACCGCCGGTTTAAATGGAAAGACAATTTCCGATGAATTCTCAAGGCTGGTGTATCGTGTCCATCCATTACCCGAAACAATGATCGACTTTGTCTGGGATTATGGATCGCTAAGTAAAAAGGATGAACGTGCCTACATATGTCGCATGGTGGAGGGAATCACTGGAAACCCCAACAAGTTACTGGTTGATCTTCTGTGTACCTCCCAAGACTACATCCGAGACGTCGACAAAAGCCCTTACTGTGTAAGCTTGAGAGATGTCCACCGATGTATTGTTCTTGTTAAATGGTTTAAGAAAATCTTACAGCAGCGGCAGCAACTGCCTTTTTCAAAAATAAAGGAGAGTTGTAAATACTACCAAGAGGCTTGCCGTTTTTCAGACCGCGAGAGGTCCTTTGTACTTGCCTTGGCTCACTGCTTCCAATCTCGTCTTCCCACCACAAATTCCAGAGTGCGATACCGTAAGGAAATTGTTGGTTGCTTTCCAAACGACGGGAATGTTTTGTTTAGCGAATTTAGTTTTGAAGCGATTGTAAGAGCAGAGCAGGACGACTACCTGGAACGAATGGAATTGCCAGAAGGAACTGCTAAAAATGCTGCCCTTCGTGAAAACGTGTTTGTAATGCTTGTTTGCATACTCAACCGTATTCCGGTTTTTGTTGTTGGCAAGCCTGGCTGTAGCAAATCTTTGTCTATGCAGATAATCCGGAGCAACCTAAGGGGGAAGGATGCCAAAGACTCTTTTCTTAAGTCTCTGCCACAACTCTATGTTGTTTCTCACCAAGGATCTGAATCATCAACATCAGATGGAATACTTAAGGTGTTTGAAAAAGCGAAGAAGTACAAAGAACACAACAAATCTGGCGATGTCCTTCCAGTTGTTCTTCTTGACGAAATAGGCTTGGCTGAGGTCTCCAAGTACAACCCCCTAAAAGTACTGCACAATCTATTGGAGCCTGGTGACAGTATGTTTCCAGATGTCGCTGTCGTAGGCATTTCAAACTGGGCTTTGGACGCTGCAAAAATGAACCGTGCGATCCATCTTTCTCGACCTGAACCCGATGTTGAAGATTTGTTCGAGACTGGAAAATCATTGCGAGAAGCAGGCAGTGGCATCATTGAGTTATCTCGTACACGTTCAGGTCAACCGTTTAGTCACGTAGCCTATCCAGATGACAAGCATCTGCGTTGCCTCGCTGAAGCCTATCATAAGTACCAATCACAGCAACGATATCCAAATTTTCATGGGCTACGTGACTATTACAGCTTAATTAAGTGTCTAAGTACAGACCTGAATGTAGAATACACTCAAGTAGGTTCTGAGGAGAAAACCAAGGAAATCCAGCGAGCGTTGCAAAGAAATTTTGGCGGCGTACCTAACGACGTAAAGAATTTTCAAAGTTTGTTTCAAGAGCGAATCCAGCTGCTGGAAGTAATGGATCAAGACTACCAGTTTCCAGTAACCGAGCTCATTTGTGACAATCTACGTGACCAGCGTGCTCGTCATTTGATGATAATCACAAACGGAGATTCTGCGATAGGCATACTTGATCAGACGCTCCAGGATCTTGATAAGGAGAAGATCACGATTTTTGGCAGCCGTTTTGAAGAAGATCTGTCAGAAGAGTACAATTACCGTATATTAAGCCGCATCATTCTTTGCATGGAGAGAGACTGTGTTCTCATCTTGCGAGATCTAGAGAGTATCTATGGCAGTCTTTACGACATGCTTAATCAAAACTATACAGTGGTTGGAGGGAAGAGGAACTGCCGTGTAGCCCTTGGAGCTTTTAGCAATCCAATGTGTCAGGTCCATGATGGCTTTCGCTGTGTTGTGTTGATTGACCAAGGAAGAGTTGATTTCACAGATCCTCCTTTTCTTAATCGATTCGAGAAGCAGTTGCTCCGTTTTTCAGATGTCTTAAATGAGGAGCAAAGAAAAGTTATCAAACAACTGAAAGAGTGGGTGATACGCATCTCAACAATTCCCGATTTTGAGTCACAGTTTCAAGAAAAAGACATGTTCATCGGATTTTGTGATGACACTCTTCCCTCGCTTGTCCTTAAAAACAGTCGAGACCCAGAGGTGGAAAGTTTTGAAATTGTTGAACGGTGCAAAGACGATCTGATGATGGTAGCGTCTCCTGATGGCGTCGTAAGGAGTTTACAATCTGCACTGGCTAAGACGAATTTGGAGGAAGTTCAGATACTTTACAGTAACTATTTTCAGAAGCCTATACACAATGGTTTCAGGGATTACCTACAACAGGCGTTAGAAACTCTACAACTTGATTGTGAAAGTGAAGATTCCACAAAGGGCATGCGAATGGTGATAATGACTCACAGCAACATTCACGTGAATGTCTCTCAATGCCTTGATGGGTTAGTTCAGTGCCATTCAGAAAAGCTAAGTGCTTTCAAGTCTGAAAAGCAGTTGACCAAGGAGTTGGAACGATTCTGGGGATCCAGCGACTCTCTCTTGGTACTACAATGCAAACCAGAGCTGGATGCTTCCCACTTGCTACTTGCAAAATCCATTATTGAGCAGCAGAGGGAGACATATCTCAAACGAGCAATTGACATGAACGAGTGGCAAGTCAAACATGTTTGCATTGTAATACATGTTCAGAGGGAAAGTGAGACCAATAAAGTGGAAAATCAACGCTGGCAATTCAGTTTTCAAAGCGGGTGGAAACAAGTGACAATTGATGTATTGGAAGAACCAGTTTTGCCTGTTACGGAGTGTTTAGACATCAGCGTCATAGAGCTCCTAGAGTCAAAGACGCTGTCATTTGAGGACGTGGCTTCAAAGCAGTTCCTGTGGTGCTTTTTCCGAATCAAATATGCGCCCTCTGTCCAACCTCCATGGGATGAAATTCTTCAGCTGGAAGATCTATTGAGATCATCCCCCAAGATCCTGGCATGCCTCAAGGAGCTAGTAAGGCGTTGGCTGCAAAAGAGAGATACCCTCAATACACATGGACAAGATCTTCCAAGTTGGCAGTACTTCGTGGCATGTGATCGGCAGGCCTTGATTAATTCGTCGCATTTAGCAGGAGCTATTCAACATCATGTAAGTCATCTCATACGTCAACCACTTGCAAAGATTGTCTACTTCCTGGAGAACGAGTCTGCCTGGCCTTGGTTCCTGTTAAAACAGACTGATTTTCACGAGGAGGAACTACAAGTATGGCTGGAATTGATCATGGATCAGGATATTCTTAATTTTGATGATATCCCTGACCATCAAGGGGCTGAGTCCTACTTCATTTCTGCGCGGCGTGTGCAGTTGAGATTTCCCTTCTTCTCCGTATTTTATAAAAACGTTGAACAAGTGCAATCTATGTTTGTTGAAGACCAAAGAAAGCTTCTCTTGGACGAGACTTACTTAGACGACAATGACGAATTGAGCGATGCTGTAGAAGAACCTCAACTATATCGATTTGCTTCTGTTGTAAAGGAGAAAGTCCCTCAAGTATTTGAGCTCCACTATCTTCAAAGTCGCATTGAATGCTACGTCGAGGATTTTCTCGACATGAAATCAGCTCACTTTTCGAATTTTTTATCCAGAGACGAAAGAATTGACTTCTTAAAGTCTGCAATGGCAAATCACGTAAAGTTCCCCATTGACAGCGATCCCGCTCTTCTGATCACTCGGCTGCATTCACTATTCTGGCTGAACGAACCTTCCTACCTGACAGCCCTTCAGGTGTTCGTGACGTGTTACAAGATTGCGAATGTAGACTTCGCGCCGTTAGTCTCTGAGTTTAGTCCCGTGTTTGACAAAATGCTGTTTCAGGATAGCAATGCAGTACAAAACGCACCATTTGAAGATTCTCAAGAACTTGAAAGAAATCATTCCTTTGATGAAAACCACACTGAAGACGTCTGTGCGTTGGTGGAGAAGGGCTACGAAGTCGACACAGGGGAGGTCAGTAGTGAGACTTTAACTACAGAGAACGAAAAGAGACTTCAAAAAGACAAAAACGATGACGAAATGAAGGCAGTGGAAGAAATCGGCTCACAGATGGAAGAAAGAAAGGAAAATGGCGATGAAACTGTAAATGAAGTGGTTCAGGATCCTAAAGAAGAAGATGTAACACAGACAACGGGGCGAGATGATTCAGTGTTAGAGGACAGCGAAACTGTCGCTTGTGAACGTGAAAGTGTGGGTGGAGAAAATGACGTAACTGCTGTAGAGGAAGATAACACCGAATTGCAACCACAACAAGTTGTAGAAGGAAATCCGCCAGGAAACAAGCAAAATGATAATCAAAGCAATATGACAGAAGATGATGCCCCAAGAAGGCGCGTAAAACAAGATCTTGTCAAAGACAATAATATAGACATTTTAGACAAGAATGATAAAACAGGCGAAGAGGGAATCATTGAAACACCCATCACGGAAAACGTGGAGGAGAGTGCGTCCGACAATGACGAATCAAAGGATGATGACAGAGGCACGGTTTCAGAAGACAGTGGTGTCGAAGAAAGCGTGGGCTTCGACGAAGTATTATTAGAGACGCTCTGTTCTGCGTTACTTCCAACGGACGAGGTCGTGAAGAACTTAAAAGGCCCTGACGGGTGGCAACGAACAACAAGTCTCTTTCTGTCGACAGCAAACAGAATGCAAGTTCTGATTCCTGCATTTCATTTCCTTCGTGTTTGCTACGACTTTGTTACACTTTTGGTGCTACCAGAAGGTCTTGAGCCATATTTCCTTTATATGCTTGGAGCGCTTGGAAAAACGGGAGCTTCCGAGGGTTATCTCGATTCCCCAGACACTTTTGATCGTATTACTAATGTCATTGATGAGTTGGAGCAACGAGGCGTTGAAAAGAGACGTCTGGAAGACTTTCTGATGCTCTTCTATGGACGTTGCATCGATTCAAATCCAGACACACCAGTACTTGGTATCATACTGGCAAAGATCGGTTCTAGCGGAGAGAAAACACTTCTACGGCTTGCTGGACCGTTGCTGCACCGTATTTTTCTCACAGAAGAAAACTTTAGCCCTGGTGTCTTCCAAGATCTCTTGCACAGCTTGGACACCATCAAAGATCATCCAGGCCTCCAAAAGACAAGTGCTGCTTTGTCAACACTATCCGATGATGTTGTTGAGTTGGACTCCCCTTTCGCCGTGGTGTGTTGTGATCTCATTAGCGAGGTTGGGTTCCCGGAGGTAGACTTTACTACGTTGTCGCACTCAGAGGATCAATCTCTCGTTAATTTTCGCAAGGCCTTTCAAACGGTAACAGAATCTTGTGAAGACAGTGAAAACGGATTGTTCCATCTTCTTTGTGCCACCGCTTATATGAGGTCATTCCTGGCATCATTTGCGAAGTTTATTTTGGCAAGGCGCCACTGCCTTACTGAAGATGGGGAGTTTACGGTGCTTTTGAATGAAATAAATGCAGCCCTTTCCTGTGACCAACCCGATCCTGTTTCTTCCAGGGCACCAGAGGTACAGTTGTACTTCTTAAAGGAATTGAAGAAAGAGCTCTACATGTGTGAGGTGCGTGATGTCTGCAAACACAGCCCGAAACTTCCAGCGTTGAAGAATTTAGATTGGCATGATGAAGCGCTGGTGGGCAAACTTAGTTTTGATCCTCTGCGAAACTATACAGAGAATTCTCAAGCACAAGCAGCGTTAGCAACTCTTCTCGAGAAGAACAACCCAAAGCCTGTTGAAGATACCATTCTTGCTATGTCAAGTTCTGCAGAAAAGAGAATGGAGATGGCGGCCACCCTTGCCAAGTCGTTTTACCTTGTTCGTTCTACACGATCTCTAAAGGACAGTGAGGACAAAGCAATTAACTCCTTTATAGGGAAGTTTGGGAACTTTGAAAATCCCTATGTTCAGCTCCTCCAGGGAATTACGGGAAGGAAGGATTTCAAAAGTCAAAAGCTTCGTATTTCTTCAGAGTCTTCACCAGCTGACGTGCATAGGGCAACACTAATCCTACATCTTTGCATAGTTCTAGCCTCTCATTTCAGTGGTGTTGAGCAGAAAAAGCTGGCATTTATGTCATACCTTACTAGTCCTTTGGCCTCAAGCAATACATACGTCCTGGCGTCTGGAGAGGGTTGTCAGCAGCCGTATGAGGTACACCGCAATTACAGCTTCGATGAAACGTCCTTTTTCTTTTGCTCCTGTAGAACGTTCTTTGTTGCTGCTGGGGATGATGATGATGATGAAACAAAGTGTCCCAACTGTCGTTCACTTTGCAAAGCTGAGAAAGTACCTAGCAAGAATTCTGCAGCTGCCGTTAAAGCCATACAGGCAGCTAAAGTTCCTGTCTGTCTTACATGTCCTCAAGATCGTTTAATTCACGTACGGCAAATGGATCCAAGAGAATTCCGAGTTCTCCACTTGTTCGTACACGCAGCACTTTACGGAGGCTTCGCGATGGAGTTGTTTGATGAAAATAGTCTGACCCAAATACTGGGCACTGCTGTGACGGACAGTGATCCTTGCGAAGTGTGCTTTCAACAAATTGTTAACGATCTAAGAGCGTTATGTCTTCTTTTAGACGCAAAGGAAGAGTATGTCATCGGTTTCTTACACTGTGTTGTGCACGAAAGTATTTCCATCCTCACTTCGGGAAGTCTATGTCAAACAGAAGGAGAAAGGTTGGCATGGGAAAAGACGTTCGCTGAAACCGTGCGCCCTTTACTCCAAGAGTTTTATCCAAGGAGACTTTTGGCAAGTTCGCTAGACTTCATGAGCAAGTCTACACTGGCCGTTGAAAGAAGGATAGAAGAAATTGATGAACCCCAGTTTTCAGACACGACAGAGAGAAACCTGCACCTTCCTAGATTGTTGCGTGTAACGATGCCTAAAACGTTTTTGTCCCTCAGCGCGTGTTATATGTCAGCTGATCAGGATACTAGGAACCAACATCCGCTTCTTGGGTTATTCCTTGATTTTAACGACTCTCTTCCAAATGTCGCAAGCCTCCCCGATCTCCTTTCCTGGAGTCGTATTGTGGACTCACTTTTAAGTAGACGTCTGTGTCGCCACGAAGCCACTACAAATATAGGAGATATCATTCGAAAAGAATCCAAATCACCTGAGGAGAGAAAGCGATTAAGTGAGATCTTCGAGAAGTTCAGCATAGCATGGAAGAAGATGCGTCCTTTCGTCAGGGACCGTTTAAAACAGGAGGTGCCATACCTAAGCGAAAGCTCGCCGATTTCATTTTGCTTGATTGAGAAAAGAGACCAGGGTAGCTCTCTTTGTGCTGCTATCGAAATACTTCGGGAGATCCAGAATGAGTTCTTGCAGAAGATGCTAAGTATTGCATCGTCAGGAAAATGTTCACCGCTAGTCTTTCTGGAGAGAGAAGAAGGAAAATTTACTATTCCAGTCGTCCACTTACAGGAAGCTCGGGAGAAAGAAATTATCCAGTATCAATGGACAGATGAAATTTTAAAGCATTCTCAACGTAACACCGAGTACGGCCATGGCAGGGAGATCTTTTTTGACCTTTCAAAGATTGAAAAAGAGATGGCAGGTAGATTCTTGGTGGGAAAGTCGTTCCTTTCTACTCTCGAGGGATTACAAGAATTCATTTTCGCCCGAGAGCTCTTTCATACTTGTAGAGGCATTTTGGACGACTTACAAGAGCTGATTCCGCAGCAACCACTCACAGATGTGTTTCGAAGTAGTCTGTCGCGTCAATGTGAGCGGAGTCTGAAGAACGTACAAGATTTGCTCGAACACATGGAAATTGTCCTGTGCCTGTTAAAAAGACATCGCGTTGGAAAACCAGAGGACCCTTTGACAGAATTCACAGACAAGTGGCTGCGTGGACCAAGGCCGTTTCCGAAGGATTTCCTCCCTCAGCCCCACAGCGCCATCCAGCTAACACATGTAGTTGCCTTATATGAGTTTCTCGAAGACATGTTGGCTGAGTCGGCTGCCCAGCAAGTTTCCGACGTGTATCGCTTTCCCATACCTGAAGAGATAACTAACGAAATGACCAAGGGAACCCCTAGGACTGAAACAACCGAGTCACATCATTCTATCCTAAATGCCATCACAGTAGCGCTCAAACGCTTCATTTATCGTTATCTTTCTTCTGAGGAACTGAAACCTGAACCAACTGACAGTCTGAAGGAGCGCATGAAGGAGAGATCGCTTTGGCCAATCGATGCATTCAAGTCGTGGAACCCGAAAGTGGAATCTCCATCAAAATTCATCGGTGACGTGTTTCCCGAGAAGCTTGCTATAAAACATACGTACCAAGTTTTATGCTTTTACCAGGATCGACTTAAAGTAAGTGATCGAAAATGTTCGTGTCATTAGTTTTGCGATAATTCTCTCCCCAACACAATTTAAAGTTGGAATTCTCAGAAAAATCTCCCCCAAAAAATAATTGGGGGAGGGGATTTTTTTAACTTTTTAATTTTAACTCTTACATATCCTGCCTTTTCGACTGCTGAGACCCTAGTTTCTTATAACCTTGGCAATATGTAAAAGAGTTTTTATTGGGTTTCGCACCTCCCGTCATTGTTTTAGGTCACATGTAGTATCATGGGACTTTTTGTTGACTGTGACCCCTCCACCCCCATTCTCAAGGTGGAACGCAAATGTGTATGTGCAAATGTGCAAATTGTATAAGTAAACAAATGGGCAAACGCTTTGTCTACTGCCAAGTTTATCTATTTGAAAGATTCTGTATATGAACTGCACGTGACGTTCCCTTTTTCGACACTTCATGAAAACAAATTCTACGCAGGTAATCAGAAAAAGCATCGTGTTAACCTGCCTTAGATTGAAATTTGACTTCTGAAATTGAAATCTGCCCATACAGTTCTTTTCAGTCTGATGATCTCACAGTGCTTGAAACTCGAGTAACAAAATTTTATCCTTAAATTTGTATTGTACAGGCCTGTATGTTCTATTTGTTGAGTTCTTCACTTTGTTATATGTCAGGTGTTAGAAGAAGCAAAGCACGCTTCTCGGAGTCCGGCTCCCAAGATCAGCCGCACCAGTGTTTCAAGGTCCCGTCAGCTTAAAGGTCGCCGAAAGCATTTTAGCAACTTCTGAGGTGGACAGTAAATACTCTTTTGGTATTATACAAACAGTTGGATCCGCTTTTTGCAGATCATCAAATTTTACTACGGAATTCCAAGACAATGAATCCAACATTTTGGGGCGGATTTAGGGGTAGGGGTAGTTCGTGGGGTTCGGTCGAACCCCTAAGCTGAACCTGTAAACGTCTAAAATTTGCAAATAGGACCAAATTAAACCTAGTGAAAAGTACACTAGTCTACGCAAGAAATTCGCTAGACTTTGATTTCTGAAGGCTGATAATTAACAATTTCCCCAGGGAGCAAGCCTCCGGATCCCCCTAGGCTTTCAGCGATTATTTTATCGAACCCCTTAAGAATAAATATTACTGGGCCAAACAGTAGATCCGCCCCAGATATCGCTATTGTGAATTTTTTGTACTCGTTTACTTTATTTTTGTTATGCATGTTTTGCCATTGTTTTTGTACGAATACTGTAAATGTTTTGAAAAATGCAGTCGCTCGAATCGGCGTGCTTGTTTCCCTAAAAAATCACTCCGCCCAGCTTGACCCATCCTTCCCCACTCACTCTGCTTTTGTGCGACCACATTTCGCAAAATTAATCCTTCATTTTCTGAACCAGTAGTGGCACTCATTTGTGCGAGATCGTTTAAATAAGACCAATCAAAATTTTTTTGTACGAAGACAAGAAAAACGCTACTTAACCGCCTTCACCTTGTCCTGTATAAGGCTGTAAACAGCCTGCCTATTTCCCCAGCGCAAAAACGAATTAACGCGACAAAAAGGCAAAGGTGGCGAACACGACCAGGAAGGAGGGGGCATCTTTAAGGAAATCACTCCCTCGTAAAAGCAACCCACTCGCCTAGTTGGGCCTTCGTGAAAATGCCAAAAAAAGAGAGACTTTTAGGGTGCTTATTTGTTGATTTACGGTAGCAGAAATAGTAAGGGTTGCTTTTCATAAACACTTTTCGCTTTATTAAATCGGATAGCACTTGGTCAGCTTTTTCTGCCTCATTCATCATCTCTGCTTTTGGGGAAATGTTGTTTGCCTGATTGTTGTCAGTAACACAAGAACGACCCTCTAGCTCTCACTTCCCACATGCAAATCTGATTAGATTTCTCATAATCTTTTTCCCGATCTTGAAAAATCAGTTGTCCCGTGAGCAGGCGTCAAGACGTCACTGCAGGTGTATTATTTTGATCCCAGTATAGTTGGAAATTATAAAACTTTCATCCCGTGGGAGCCGAGAAGGTTGCCACTTTCGTGTACAAGTGAAGATTTAAGAAGACTAGAGGGAGAGATCTCTTACTGGAGTGATCGCGCAAAGCATTGTTCAGGGAACAAGTAGCGTTAAGTACTAGATTTCGTAATTGTAAATTAATAGTTACCTTCTTGACGAGTTCAAAAGCGCTTTCCAGTTTTGTTAAGGAACAAAATATAGTCTTATCATGCATGGTTAGTAGAGGAGAATGGCTATGAAAGGCAGAAAGTATCAAAAATCAAAAAAAAAACGGTGCTGCGGTTTATGTTGGAAGCTCCCTGACCGTGCATAATCCTTTGTTTTTTGTTCACAAATTGTGACGGAATAAATTACTGCCACGTTCCTATTTGTCAATAAGATCAAAATGGTGCCATTGAACGTTTTGCACCGACTAGACCACCACAAAAACATATAACAAAGAGTTTGATAGTCTTCATAACCAATCCACTCTACTACCCATAGTCTTACCGATAATATTTTGGGGTTTTAAAAACCTTGTAAATGGCCTAAATTTGACCAGTCTTTTCCATTACTAACAAGATTAGTGGCCGATATTTAAGTACGATATACGCCAACAATATACATGTCACTATTAATCTGTAAGTGATATTTCAGTGTTAGCCTTGTGTTAATTTTTAGGCATTTGCAAATCCTACTTTGGACAACCAATTTTACGGTTGGCTATGCACATTATTTCAGAATGGTGGCAAATCCTTCTTTTGTTTTCATTATAGTTTATCCTCATTGCCTAGTTTCAGGGCAAAGTTCTTTTGAATTTGGCAGATGCAATCATTTTGGATTAAGGTGTATGCTTTGGCCTTCTCAGCGTTTTCCTTAACATTTGTTAGATATTCAGTTAAAACTAAAAGTTAAGTATTAATTTAGATTAAACGATGTAGTCCAGTGGAGTGAGATGGTGGAGAATTTTTGTTTCTATGTCAGATTTAGTTTAGTTGACCACAGAAGTGAGCCGATTTGTGAACTCAAAACCTTTTCCACCGTTGTAAATAGAGTCCGATCTCTAGAAACGTACTTCGTCCCAAAAGCTTTCTGAACCATAGCATTCCGGTTGGGGGCAGGGCCAAAGCAAAAGCCTCAAGCTTAAGAATGGGGCCATGGTGAAAATGAGGTCCTGTTCAGTAAATGTCGAGAAAGAGGCCCTTGGTTCGATTTTACTCTAGACTGCGAACAGTCTCTTATTTTTCTTTGCAAAGTTACTACACGTGAAACCCAAGAAAGCGAGCGGCAAAGCCACGAGCCGCGAGAAACGAAGGCGTAAGCCCGAGAAGAAAAAATAAGAGATCTTTTCTCGTCTGGTCCCAATCCCTTATTGTAACATAACGTCGTGGTTTGCAATCGCGCTGGCTGAGATAAGAACTAGACGGATTTTAGAGAAAAGGGGGACAGCAAGCAGTCTAATTTGATTCTTTCTTGTCGCTGACGGCGGGTGTTTGGAATGTAATTGCTGGGCCCCTTGAAATTCCTCACGGTGGCGATTTGGAATCCCGCGGGGTACCAGTCTGTTCCTGGTTCAGATAGTGGAGTGCGGGCGCGGAAAATTGACGAGCAAAAATAAGGAGAAAATTGCCCCGTACGATTTAACTCACTCCCCACCATCCGAACGCTGCGCCCTACTTGCTGAACGTTGGAACAGGTTGGCGAGGACTTCCTTGAACTTTACTTTGGGGTGTGTCGCTGAGTCTTTGAGACCGTCCGTGCCTCTCTCAGTCAGAGATGAATTTGCGACTCTGTCCCAGACACTACTTGTAGAAATAGAAGTCTTTCTTTCACGGCAACAAGCAAGGAAAAAAAAAAAAAGAAAAAAAAGAAAAAAAAGAAAAGAAACCAAAGCTTGACTTAGAAGAACAAGGGGATTATGGTGGAAAACGAACCTGTCCCAATATCAAGCCAGAGTAAAATAAAATATACCCCTCTTCCAGAATTAGGTGACTTTTTACCCTGTTCCAGAGTCCTTAAAGCAAAAACCATACCCTGTTGAGGGAGTAACCACCTCCCACCGCGGGAATAATCAACCCTGGGCTACTCGCCTTTCAAGTGACTCGGCAGGTCTGGAAATCATAAGCAGTCCCTAAACAAAAGCAACGTTTACAATGGCTTATAAAACGAGGAAATTTATTTGAATACCATCCCTAGCATTAGTTTCCGTCATTTTACCCGATAGTCATTAAGTCTTTAGGTGACAAAAATCAAATGGTAATTAAATTTATTAACAAAACGCCCGTTTAACAGCGCAAACTAACGACATAATGAAAACCAACAAATTTTACCACTTCACGATGAGAGCTGAATGCCCTTGCTGCACATGAATCACCTCAATTTGTCACTGATTCATGAACAGGCTTAAACTTCAAAACGCTAATTGAAAAACGTGGCCAACTCTTCCAAAAGTTTAAGTTCGGAAGTGAAAATTGCGATATGATCATCACATACGTATCAGTCATGTATTTCTCATCTGGTTTCTTGTCAAAATACGAAAATTGTCGTCCTGATTCTGTTCCCTTTCTAATGTCCATTTCCGGCTTCGGTTGTTAACTAAGTCCATAAAAGACCGATAACTGTATGAAGTTCCACTTAGCGAAACTCTTCAGATTTTCAGTTTATAACCAAGCCGTCTTTGGGTGTTGATTTTGTTTTCTTTTTTTTAATCTTTGTCTTTTTTTATCGTGAGCAACCAAAAGCTAGCGAGAAAGCTAAATTACATTCCAGTCAACATGAAATTCCGCAGACACTTACGGTACGTTTCTATAGGAAAACCCAACATTAAATTATTTGGGTCCGTTACGACAAAAGAAAGGGAAAAATTCGAAAATAGATTCTTCGATGCACCCTAATTTGTCATTCTCTTAAGATAGCCGTAGTGTGGTTGCCTTCGCAATGGTGGCGTTACGTGTTACGAGGACACTGAAACGTAGGATTTATCGCCAGTTTTTGTTTACTTACGTGTACCTTATGTGTTATTTAATCGTTATTGATTCACATCTGAGCCAATAAAGAGACCGCATTCCTCGTCTTTGTTGAAAGTATGCCCTAACCCTTAATCTCTCCACAGGCTTATGCCCAATGGGGCAGAGCACGCAAAGCCACCCGGTAAAATTTGAAGATATCATGGAAGAATAAATGACCGCAGCATTTTTCGTACTATGGATAAAGTTTAATTGCAGTAGTTTTTTTTTTTAACTTTAAGGCTATTTATCTTGCAAGTAAGAATAAGATCTAGAGCATACTTTTCCTCTTACATATCGCACACTAATAAATTATTAACAGTTTTCTAGGATATCACTTCTTTGAATAGTTATTTATATATCATCAGGGGGTTTATCTCGAATGAAAAATAAGATCACTGTCCTGATTATTTTGCATCCTAAGGCTCGGCTAAACATCGAATGTATTTTCGTGCAACATCATGTTTGTCACGTACACATAATTTGGCGGGGCTAGAAGGGGCGCCACAGGAACAACTGACAAAGTTTGACAATACATACATCAGAGAAAGTGAGCCATCAACACTGTAACATTCTTAGTGGTGCGGAGTCCCCCCGCCCCTTTTAAAGCTTGGTTTGCTTTGTTGGCTGAACGCTCAAATATCTGTTCGTGACAAGGACGTTGGATGAAGATGTTTTTTATCCACAGATCAAACATGGGAAAAATGCAAAATTTTGCTGAACGGTCCAACATACTCTCTCCACATGATATTGGACGAACATATTTCATCGTTTAGCCGAAGCTTTAATATGAACTCGCTAAATTTTACCCTTATTACCAAAGGGTTTCTTATGGCCTTATTCCAAAAGTGGATAAAGGCCTGGTACCAAGGTTAGAACTAACAAGATGTGTGATCACTGTCTCCTAGCAAAAACACCACTTATCAATCACAAGGGTGTAAAGATGTGATCACACAGCATCGAGTAACCTTGAAATACATTTCATTACTGTTTCTATAAAAATACACAAGGAGAAATTAAATTTTGAAAACCTATCACCTATCTGCAGTCAACTCTCTCAAAGCCCTTGTAAGACACCTTTCTCTAAGTTGCACATCAGCGAATAGTTGGCGCTAGAGAGTCAGACAACTGAAGTTAGGGTTGAGGTGTAAGGACTGGAGCAAGTTCACTACATGCACATGATTGACAAGCAATAGGCCATTTGGATGATGAAATCAGGCTACTACTGCTGCAAATTAGGGATTGTGTTAATTAAACCTTGCTGAAATTACTAAAAGTACTTTAACTACGAAAGGAAATGCCAGATCAATTCTGGTCATGCTGGTGACATGACACCATTCTGCAAATAGCCCATAAACCCTTTCTGACCCCAAAATCATCATCACCAAGTTACTGTATTTTTTTAGATATTTAACCAAAAATTATAAACAACTAAGGCTAATTACAATTATAGTACAATAGACATGATTTAGTGATGAATGAGTCAACTGCTAAGCCTGGTTTTATATGATGATCACTTTGATCACTGGAAGTCAGCTATCTTTGCAATAATCATTGCATCCATTACAGAGCCTCTGTACGGGTACCTTGAGGAGGTAGTTTCTGTCAGGCCTTTTTCATTAGTTTTTCAACAAAATCGTCACATATCAAGAATGGATTTGCAGCATACTGCTGCTGCCAAGCTCCAGCAACCAAGACAACAACAAAGGAAGCAAAAAAATAATTAAAAAAAGCAACAGGACTAAACTGAACATACAGCACACTTCTTTCTGCTCGTCAAAGAAAATACTGTAATTCAAGATTTTTTCAAGTGCTTCACTTGCCACTGTTGCTACAATTGTTGAATTATTTCAGTGGTTGCTGCAACCTTATAGAAACCAGCCTTCAGCAGTTGATGATGTGTTAAAGGTATGCACATGAAGTGTGCAAACAGACATGCATGACTGTGTTTTATTTCCATAATCTGGAAATAAAATTATATCTCTCAGTTGCACTGCACACCTAGGTTGATCATTCTAAGGGCTTTTTCTCCTGAAAAGCCAAAAGCATTCTTTCTCGCCTAATGACCATACTCAGAGATACAATAAATATCTTACTAATCTTAGGTTATGGGACCCTATTTCTTCCTCTGGATTTATGACCCACACAACTGGGCCAAGAGACAGAGGGAAAAACTTGGTCCATTACTCATAGTTCAAATCTTGAACTTTCTTAGTGAGAGGCATGCAAATACCTGATATTTTGCAATTCTTGGTGTTGTAGATGGCAAAACCCAAGTCATTCATAGAACTGATGGAAAAATACTTAATCTACCATAAAGTGTTATTGAAATTAGTGGTCAATAGCTAGGAAGTGCATGAAGTCCTTCTTATTTTGGATTGGAGATCTTGTTGGTCGCCCCAGGTCTTTTCTTCCACCCTTGTTTGTCTTGATCTCCAGGAGGACTGGACCCTCCAGACTTCTCATGAGTTCAATAGCTTCAGTTATCTCCTCTGGTTGTTCAGCTGCTAATACCTGAACAAAGAAACAGAAAAACCATCTTATCAGTTTTACATACACATGTACATAATTAATTTTGAGAGGAGACCATTTGACAATAACATTTAATTTAATATTTTAATAATAATAATAATAATAATAAACTACATTTAACGAGGGTAACATGGGACAGTACTTCAACTGAATATAACTAGTGGCCCTCAATACTTAACCCTTTAATACTTAAGCTTCAAAAGTAATATAGGGACATGCGAGTGAGAGTAAAGAAGGGACGTAACAACTAAAAAAAATTTGAATTTGGGAAATTGAGAGATTGATTGGTATTGTCAGAAAGAACAGGAAGAAAAGTGTTCACTTGCCAAAAATTGTGCAAATTGGTGGTGAGATGGAAGTGACGTTATTCAGCCTCTAACGCCACCATAGAAATCCTTCTAAATTTGACCTAGACTGTACGCCTTGCAATCCAAGCTAATTTTAAAAGAATTTGTATTGGGGAGGACTCATCAAAGCATAACATCCCTACCCCTTATACCTCAGCACCATTTTACAATGACCCAGTGATTTTTTGGCAAGGGGGTAATCATCATCATGTTCTTTCTTTGACAAGCCTAGCCATAATCCCATCATTATTTACATTAATTTGGTTTTTGTGAAATCATCACTCCTCCACTCTGCATCCATATTTTGTGGGTGTTTTACCTCTGTTAACAGCCTCAGGGTGCAAAGAAAATCATTTTTACAGCTCGCAAAAACCATTCGGGCAAGCTGAAGCTAGCATTTATATTTACTAGCCCAGACATCATTATATTTCAATTAGCCCAAAAAACTTCTTGACTAGCAGAATTGATTTCAGATCTTCTCTTAGTTGAATTCCTAAAAAAATATCACTGGCCCATCGGGCAAGTTAAAAACAGTATTTACTAGCCTGATAGCAAAATCCACTATCCCCGGGCTATTGGACACTACTTTCTTTGCATGCTGAGTCTAACAGGAATATCATGTTACCATAATCATTAGGTATTAAGTTAGTTCTTTTGCACTGTCCTGTTAATTCCCTGATCAGTCAAGTCCGTGTGATTTGATAAAACTGGTAGAAGAAATAAATCAACTTAAAAATTAAAAAATAATAATATTTTGTACACTGCGTCCTCAGACTTACTGATCTATATCCACATGCTTTGCCGATTTCCAGAAAATCAAAAGTGTGACTAAAACCAACTGTGGGTTGTCCTCCTACTGAATCATGGCAGCCATTGTTGATTAAAATGTGTTTGAAGTTTGGTACTTCACTTTGTCCAATAGTGGCAAGGGCACCCATGTGCATGATCACAGCACCATCACCATCAATGCAAAATATCTTACCAATAAAAAAACAACAGTAACAATTTAGACCTCTTAATTTACATGTTCCTGCTATTTATTTAGCATCAACTACTCGTACCAATAACCAAAGGTTGGGGAGCGAGGGTGAGATGAAAGGTCAAAACCAGTGCTCAAAAAAATCCTCTCCAATAGTGTGACAAATTTTCTTGCTAGGCAAGTAACTTTCAGGCCTTCTGATGTTTCAGAAGGACAAGCTGAAAGTTTTTTTTTTTCAAACCCTGAAAACTCTGTTGCTCCAAATTTTACTAATGTAACTTTCATATGATAGAAGGTTGAAATGCACATGATAAGATTATAAGTGATAGAAGGTCCAAATGCATGAGATCAGATGAGATGAAAGTCCAAAGCTTTTGTCAACAAATGTTTTGAAATAGATAATGAATGGCAGAAAGCAGGTACATGTATTACCTCTACCGGTAACTTAGCAAAAGTGACAGAATTGATTTTGAAGTGTGAAAACTCTATGTTAAAATAATTATTCCTTCAGCCTTAAGTAATTCAAGTGCTACTGAGCAGAGAAAATAATCATGATACCTGTCGTTTGGGTTTAAACTGGGCAATACCCAATGCAATAGCTGACGCATGACCCATAGATCCAACAGTCAAAAAGTCCTTCTCATGGCCATGACCCTTGGCAACCCTGTATTCAAAGAGCTCCCGCGACAGCATGCCAGTTGTACCAACAACCACATCACGGTCTTTTAGGGAATCCACAATGACTTGCAAGGCTCCTTCCCTGTTCAATGGGTAACTAACCAAGAGAAAAACAAAAATGATCGCAAATTGAATACACTCAATAGGAGAGGGTAAACTTCACTCCCAACTGATTTTTGTTAAAATTAAAATTTTTGTAATAGAGCTTTTCTTATGAATTTTTATCAGTAGAATGCCAAAAAAGGGTTTTGTATAATTATATGTAGGTCAAACTGAACTTCACATCATAATTGTTTCAACCTCAGTATGTTGATTCTAACGTTGACTTCCAAACCCCAATTAGTTATGATCATGAATTATAAGGGCTAGGAGAAAAAGGATAATTTGTGAATCAATCTAGGCTGAAATCATTTTAAGTTAAATTTCATTTTGACCTACAACATACAAGTGTTCAATAGTTGGCCTCTAAATGGCTGTTGTAGAAAGGTAAATTTCAGCCTTTGACTTGTGCTTTAGTCCCCACACTACATTTGATGACAGGATGCTGTTGTGAAGAGCTTTATACTAAGTAAAGAGTAAATGTACCTAGATTGACTGTTAGCACAAATTAATAGTTTCTGAAGAGAGGTTTAACTGTAACATATTATGAAGCAGGAGTTATTTTGGGGAGTTTAATTCTGTGGATCAATGTTTTTTTGTGCTATGTGGAAGCTATAGTGAACCTTACTAGCCACCCCCTTGTCACCTTCTTTTTGGACTGCTATTTTTCTTTCACCATATTTTTAAAATAAAGCCAAGAAATTAATGAATCAAATGCATGATGGCTGCTTAAGCGAGGTGAAAACAATAGGGGAACTGTTATTGGGATGGCCAAAAGGTGGTAGTTTTTATGTAGTTTTGTTGCTGGAGATTTATTTTGGCAATTTTCAGAAGGTTGTGTTTAGTTGGAAGTACAACACTTTGTTTTCTTTTATTAAACTTAACTTCAGAGGAGAACATTTTTGTGGAAATTTTTTTAGGGGGAGTGCCTTTTTTTTACCATAAAAATATGTAAATTCAAAAACTAGATACAAAAAAATTACACACACACACACAAAAAAAATGGAAAAACAAGACAAATTGCAAAAATGTTAATAAAATTTTGTGTCACATGGTGATTTAAATTTGTAAGTTCCTGTTCTGTAGGTTCCAGTAACAATTATCATACTTTAAAAAAATTGAAAGTCAAAGAACTAACAGATCTGGCTCTTTTTCAAGCTTGTATGGTATGAAGTTTTGCCTCCGCACTAGAAGACAGTACGGCCCCTTAGATGTTTCCATATGCTTTCTGGCAACATACAAAGCCTGAAAAAATGTCAAATAATGTGTTAGTCAGCAAACATCATGGCAATCAACAGTTTTCTTTCTTATATTTTAAGTCAAAGTTTACCTACCGGTATGTAAAATAACTGAGTACAATAAAAAAATTTTGCCATGCAGTTAAAGTAAATAAGATTAAAAGAGGTGGGGCATCAAAGAAACCTTACATTAAATCCTATAATGCTGATGATGGAGAACTGGTTAACAGTAAAGAAAGGATCTCTCTGGCCACCCCAGTATACATATTCTCCTGATTCTTGCATTACATTTTGATGCAAGAATATCATTAACAAAACTCACGGTCACGTTTGGCAGATTATCACTTCAGACACCAGTAACAGACCCCTTAAAAGCCCCTTTTTAATGGAAGTATGTGTAGCTTTTTTTGTTTGTTTTTTTTTTTGCTGTTACATACTCTTCAGATGAATTTTATTTCAATTTCTTACCTGTTCAGCACCTTCCTGGTAATCAGGTAATACTTGGAAAGGAATACCACAAGATGCTGAAAAAAAAAAATAACGAAAAAACAACAAAAGTGAAAAGGTCTCAACAGTTTGTTCAGTTTTACAAACACTGTCACATGATAATTATAGTAAGAATAGTAGGGGTACCATGGAAATAACAGCCTCTGGAAAGTATCTCCCAAGCTGTTCAAATTGAGTTAATCTCATGCATGTAAATTAAAAGGGTATTATTTTCACATCTGCCCTTACTAAAAAGTTATTATAATTTAATATGAGAAAACTGTAATTTGTTTTCAGTGAACAATTTACTGTGTTCAGTATTCTTGGAGTCTGTACAACAGTTAAACCATGTCACTAGCACACAACTAAAATACTGTGGACTGTAAACACAACAGTTACCAGCATTAATTTTCAGTTCTTTGCCTGTGAAGTTGACATTAAGTTTTTTTACCCTAACAATTTAAATAAACCTGACACTAGCAGCTCCTTAAAGCTGCTAATCTTGAAAGTGAGGAGAGTCATAACATTAGAAACGTCTTAAAATTCTGAAAATAAGCCGCTCTTAATACAAGTGCTCCAAATTCAAACTTTGAAAAAAGCCTTGTATAATGACATTCAAACTTTGACAGAATACAGTAATTTTGTAGGGTTACATGTACATGGATAAAGAGAAGTTAGCATACCAAGTATGCCAGGTGTAGCTTGCCCTTGTATCATGTGCTGTGGTTCGTCTCTTTTTCCAGGCTCTCCTCTCCACCCTACTAACAACAGCATGGGGATGCTGTACACATTTGGCACAGCTAGGGACATTAGAGGATTGACTATGTTTCCTAGTCCAGAATTCTAGTGGAAAGAAAAAAGGTTACAATAGGACAGTGCTAAGTAACTAGCATCTATAACAAACTGCTATAAAAATGACACTTACATGCTAAGAGTGGCCTGTACATTATACATAATGTACATATGGCCATTACTTGCAACCTGTTTACTGAAAAAAAGCAACCACACCCCTAAAACCACTCCATTCCTTGACAGTTATTACTCACACCCAAAAAACTGTTTTTTTTATTTCCTCTAATCTTAAATCTAATAGTATGCTGCAGTTATTAGTTAAAACTCTTTAATCATTGCTTCCATGCACCTACAGATACTAGCAAAGTTCAAACTGGCAACTGTGATGTTTCTTCCCATGATGTGAATATCAGTTTTGATATTTGACTCACGATGATGCAATGATCTGATACAATAAATTGTGCTACCACAAAAAATTTTAAGAAATCACTTCTTAAAATGTTTCTTAACCAAATCCGACATTACTATATAATTTACAATAGAAACAAATGAAAAAAAAAAAAACAAGCCACCCTAATGCTTCGGATTGTTCCCATCATATTCAATGTAGCAGACAAGATGGGGAACAAAAATTTCCTTGGTACTTATTTGTTACTATCACCCGGTTCAGACGCTGAACTTTTCATGAGCCAAACCTAAATACATTGAATTAAGTACATGAAAAGTTTGATGTCTGAATCAATTAGGAAGGCCTAATTTTCATTTAGAACAGCTCAGCCATTCTTCCCGCCTAGTCCAGCCAGGAATAATTGACTTTGGATTGACTAAATATTATTGGAACAGCGCTGATTCAGATGGCAAATTTGTCATGCACCCTAGTTTATAAATCAGATATAAAGTATTTTGTAAGAAGTTTGAAAAAAATAAGCATTTTTTTTCCTCTTGGATTTAGTTCAGCTGCAATTAAGATCAGCATCAATTCAGCCTTAATTTGAATTAGGTTCGGCTCATGAAAAGTTTGGCGTCTGAACAAGGCCAGCAGTAAAGTCTTGTGTGCCTGACAAGCAAAACATGAGGTCTCCACAGCTTTGAACACAGTGCAGTCTTGTCAAACACAGTTATAAATATAATAATTTTTATTGCTAATCATTTTGTGGCCCTTATATTACAATATGTATCATATTGTTGCGAAGTATTTTATAGGATGTTTTTAGTTTATTTCATTTTTACACTTGAAGTTTCACATTAGAGTTTTGTTGTTATTAGGTTTGAAGATCAAGGTTAATCGGTGTTTGAATCAACAGGTTTTTTAATTTTATGACCTATTTTAAGTAGTTTTTTAACACAAGTGTCAGTCCTTGAAGGGTGCACCTTTTGGGATGATCACTGACCTTGATTTTTACCTACATCAGATCACAGAGTTCCTGTTTTGGTTTAAGGTACAGCCTTGTTAGTTTAGCTATCTATTTTCCATTGGTTTTCTCGTACTTGACATTATTAAGCTTATAAGTTTGTTTATTTCACTTTGGTCATCAACAGGAAATTAGTTTAAGTCACTTAAGGAAGCAAGTTTGTAACTCTCATGTTCAGCAAGCCCAAAGTCGAACCTACATTCACACATTACATCACTACATTCACTACATCTGGCACAGTTTTTTTGGTAGTGGTGTGCAGTTGGGATGTTGTAATTATGTTAAGTAGAGGTTGTTATAGCCAAATTCATTGTATCGGGCTGCGTGTTTTTCAAACTTCAAACGAGTTTTGGGTTTTTCTGTTCCATCAATCATCTTAGCGGACCTCTTAGGAAACACATGTTTACTTGTGATTGGTGTGTTTCGATCAACTTGGTTTGTTTCTGTGTTTCAAGGTTTGCTGATTGTGATCATCCTGTTTCGCACTGTTTCAGGCAATGATTGACTAGTTCTCTTTGCAGCTTTTTATGATCTTTCTTATTCTTGTCTCTTGCAAGAAAGCAATGTCTGCCTCCTGCCCTCAACAAAAATTCCACTCATCATCGCAATTTCCTTCGCTTTTCTTGAGCAGTTTAGGGTCATTCTCAATTTTGTTTTTGCGGGCCAAGCTGGGTGAGTTGCGTTGCATTGTGATGTGCATTAACTCCACCCCCACTCAAATGATTGACGGAACAGAAAAACCCATTTGAAATCTGCAAACATGCAGCGCGATATAACAAATTTGGCCATAAGTGATGCAGTAGAAGAAAACATATGAGCTGCTGTGAAGAATAAGAATACCAAGAGATACCTGGTACCTCTAAACCTAGCGAGCGAGGTGCTGTAATACCCCCACAATATCATAGGAAATTGTATCATTGTAACCCAAGTTATACATGTACTTTAAATAATGAGATAGAATATTCTTGAGTTATCTTATCTACATATGTATGTATAAAGAAACAAAGGGCAAAATCAAAGAAGGAAGAAAGAAATAGGTGATCACTATTACCTGAAGATAAACCACCCCTGCTTTTCCAGTTGCCATGTGATAACCAGCGGCCAGAGCAACTGCCTGTCCTTCATTACTTGTTATGACATGACGTGACTTTGGAGTGACAGCTGTCACATAGGCACAAAAGTCTTTAAGCAAGGAGTCAGGGACCCCACAAAAATAATCCATGCCATGCATACACAAGGCATTGTAGAAGTCTTTTGGGTTTAGGAAGTCTCTCACTAGCTCAGTGAATTGACCTGCATCTTCATTCCGTGCCTTCTGCTCAGCGACCTACAAAACGACGTGTGGTTGCATAAATTATCCAAAAACACAAAACACTCAAAGGAGGGTCAGTACACATTTTGAGGAGGCAAAGGGTATAAGAGACGTTGGTTGGCTCAAATCAATAAACTCTCCTTAGCTCCATGAGGGAGTAAGAATTTTCTGGATGGAGTACAACACCATCAAGAAACAGTGTAAAAACGCCAAGTTTCAGTGTTTTGGAAATCTGATTGGAGTATTAAAACGGTGAAATTATTTATTAATGCCCAGCCAACCATCAACTTTTAAAAAAGGAAATTACGCCTGAGAATCATGAAGTAAAAAACTCTGCGAAGCCCTCATGAAACTGTAATATTTCGTAATTCATTTGCGAGTTCTCTTGCATGACGTTTGTTCTTCACGGAAAATTAACAAAAACGAAATGCTGGAAGAGACGTAAAGCTTATAATGCTTCAGTTAATTCTTGCGATGGACGCGCGATCATCAGCTGTTATTCACGGTCACACCACGATGTCAAAGTCGATTATTCATTGCACACGGAGTTTCTATATTTGAACGTGACTCGATTTTATTTCTTTAAAACGTTTGTAAACCAATATGTCAAGCGTCACACATGACTGCTTTAGCACAAGAAATACATGTATAAGTTTAACCGAATACACTTCTAACTGACTGTTTCACAATGCAATTCAACAATTACTCACGAGAGGAGTTCACTGAACATGAAATAATCCCGGAAACGAGCCAAGTTTTAACGCAAATCAGGAATCTGTGACTAATGGACGAGCCCAGACTCACTGTGACTAAATATCAGTCCATGGAGAAGCAATCTTGAAAGTTTGTAATGGTGTAAGATTAAATGAGCTAATTAAAACGCATACTGACCTGAGTCTCTGGATTAACCACCTAAAAAATGTCACAGAAAAAACAAACGAGTTAGTCTCCGAAACATAAGCGCAGGCTTAACACAATCAAGAAACAGGAAAAGAAAAGACACCACAGAGGAAGCTTACATCTGAGGATTTCAAAGATCCCAGTGACAAAGAACGCACCCGTGAAACAACCTGCGAGAAAGATATCAAATTATTTTTCTGTAGTTTGAAGATTAAGACCCCCTCATATCGCACGATTTATTCCTTATCTCATTTGCAGTGCTTACGTTGGTTGTAAGAAGGGGTTTAGGGCGGCGAAAAAGCGCAGAAACAAGCGAGACACTAAAGGCCATGTACACGTTGCAATACACTACACAAATTATGAACGCTTATATGAACCCAACGGTAGGAATGCTAAAAAGTAAAATTACGACATATATTGCGCAAGAGCATGGATTTTAGACGACGCCAACTGACCAATCAGGCCACTCATGTTCCAATATAAAAAAATGATCATGATCAGCACATACGACAGAGCCCCGACAGAGCTCTCAAAATCCACCGTATGCGACATTGAGAAAGCTGTTAACCCCAGAAATATTTATCCCCTCATTTATGGGATGTCATTGTGTTGCCAGAAGAAAGCCAATGGGAATAAAATATCTGCTATGCAAAAGGATCTGAACTCAAACAAGAACTGGGTCAGAACTGGGCAAGAACTGGCGAGTCAGTTCATGACAGAGCAGTACGTCTTATGTATAGCGCATTTATGGCCAATTTTGTAACCGTTTTTAGATAACTTTCACCGAGTCTCACCCAGCTAGCCTGGGTTGCAGGCGTTTGAGGGGATTTGAGGTACATGGGAAGCTGGAAGGGCTCGCGAGGAAGGAGGGAAGGGAACCCCTTGTCTCTCTCGCGCTGCACTTGTTAAGACAAAAGCCACAAAGACAAACCAGTGAGGGTCAGCTGGATCTTAAGTAGACCTGGATCGGTAAAATCTTCAATATCAAATTTTAAAATTAAAACAGTAAACTGATCCTTACGGCAAGAAAAGAGATAGAAAAAAATCAAGACAGCAAACCAAAATAAAATGGTGAATTATATCTGCCCGATATTTCGGTTTGCAACACAAACCTTCAACGTCTTCGACGGAGGCTAAAACAGTAAAATGAAATCTTCCCTTACGCTTGTCACGCAGGCTACACTTAGCCTTTTTTATTGTCACGCAAGAAGAGCGTTGCGTGACGAGAAGGCCTCAAATGACATAAGGAAGAAGAAGAGCGCGCAAGCAACCATTTCCATCTGAGGGTCGATCCGCACTCGCGAAAAGCTGTTTATTTAAAACAGCAACTTTGTCAGGTCCTTTACTCCGGACAATTCTTGCAAGGACCACTTGGACAATCAGCAGCTAGGGAAAGCCGGATCTTGTTGAAGATCAGGATCAGCAGTACAAAATAACACTCGATATTGAAGGCAAGGCTGATCGGACAGCTAAAGGTTACAAATTTATTTGCCCAATATTTCGACTAAACAAAGCTAGTCTTTATCAGGGGCTAGAAAAGCTCAGTGAGAATAGAAAAAACGGTTACAGTATTTAAAATAATAAAAAATACGATGTGACTGGTGGAGGAATACTATAGACAAAAACTTGCATAAAGAGGTTATATTAAAATATTTGTCAATAGATTAAATTTCATCTCGTCTTTTCATCCCGTAGGGTTCAAGTGTTTTGCCTTTAGATAATAAAAATCCTTCGGGCTTGTTTCCAGGGAGAATCAATCTAACTGTCAGCAATGAGAGACGATCAGCTGATCAGTGGTCAATTTTTGAGGACAGATGGATGAGTGTGATCCCTATGAGTTTGTTCAGTCGGTCATTAGCGTGGTTGGTGCAAAGACATTCCTAATTCTGGGTTAGTTCATGATCATCAGAGCCCAGAGCTGATCAGCGGCTTGCCTATAAACGTCAGCCACATACGTCGATCACTGCTACATTTTCGTCGATTCATACTGAGACATATTTTGAGATTGAAAAGTCCATTTAACTCATGAACGGCACGAAAACAATTCGGCGTTTGTTTTACACTTGGAATTGAATGTCCTAATTTTGCTGGTTCTGCCCTTTTTTCCGGCACAATACATTGACAGGACTTTAGCATTAAGTAACCGATCTGTGGAATGTACCAAAGATTAAAAAAAAACAAGGTCTAACGTAACGTCACATGCAATGTCTGCTGACTGAAAAGTTACAATCAAACAACATTTAACTCTGAAAATAAAAAGGAACAGAAAAGAATGAACATGATGGAATTTTTCTTGACAAGGTTGTGACTTGAAAAGTATCTTAAGACTTTCAGGTTGGGTCTTCAATGTAAAAGCACTATTTTAACTATGTAATTAATGAATAAGTGCTGACTTTGAGAAGTTATCAAATATGACCTTGGTCTTTAATGTCGCTTCGTATGACATATACGACTAGCTAAACATCTGATCATACCCTTGTTTGTTTCATGCTTTTATAAGATTCAGAGGAGATCTGCAGGGACAAGCGTTGGGGACGAGGTTGGTGGGAATCGAATAACTTTTTCTAACAAGACTTAGGCCTTGCCAACACTAATACGTTTTCAAAAGTATGCGTTTACGTTGTCATTGAAAAAACATCGATCGATTCGCGTCCACACTAACGTTTTGATGCGTTTTAGACTGTCCACAGTCAGGCCTGGTCCACAGTAAAACGTTCTAAAACGGTAGAATTGCACGCTGCGACGTAAGTTGAACTCTATGGACATTCTACAAACACACGCGCCTGCGATATTTGACATATTACAGTCATCGTTTTGATTTTGAAGCGTTTTCGACCGTTTTGGATCGGACGTAGCCTGTAAACAGACGTTCTTTTAGTTTTTCTTTTCGTTCTTTTCAAAAAAATCGGCGAGCTCGCGAGCGAAGCGAGCGCGAGAAAAAAAAAAATTTTCTCCTTCCCCTACACCTCGCTGGCGGTCAATAAATCTCCCGTGGTTTATATTTTATCACGAGCGCTCGACGGACTTTGAAGAGAAAATAGAGTCTGTGAACAGGCTAGATCGGACTGTCCACACTGATAGGATATGTAATACGCGTTTTCGAGGAAAGCACTTGGCGTATCCCCGTATGAGTGTGGACGTAAGGCTTAAGCCTGGGCATCGAAAATGTATACGTTTTCAAATAAAAACGCATTAGTGTGGACGCCAACGAACCATCCGAGCGAAGACGTGAGGATTGCGAGGAGGCGGGAGAATAGAGCCGCGCAAGACTGGGCTATAGGCAGAAAAATTCTCGATCGAGCTTCAAAAAGTATAACCTGGGGTGCTCTCCATTATACCGGACCAACAGTCTGGCCAGAGACCACTCGGACTAACCAAGGGAAAGTGGAACGCGTCGGAACCAAAACTCCGACCGAATTGATTGTTGGTATTGACGTAAGGGATAGGGTCAGAGACTGCTAAATCGGAGAAGCCAGTAATATATTTGTCTTCAAAAACTAATGAAAACCAGAAGAAAAACCAAATTAAGATACACTGCTGTACCTGAGCCTCGTGTGCAACTGTGGATAAGGAGAAAGTTTAGGTCTTGCGTCTGAAGCTTACACACATTGCACTAGTAAACACTTCCATCTGAACCATCCGCCATTTTGACTACTATGTGGAGTGACGAGCTGGAGCGGGACTGGAAACGAAAATTTTTGAAAATGGAACGGCAGTTTTCGGTCGGACCGGACAGACCGGTCAAAGAGGACCACTTTGACCTGAAAAGTTCCACCTGGGCCGAACCGTTCCATCTACGTTTGGACCGAAATTCCGATGCATAACACCTTTTCAAGAAAATTTTCTTTGCAACAGGAAGGGCCCAAGAAACTGTCAAATGTTGGAAAAAAGGGAATTCCATTCCTATGCAAAATACGCATGATTTGCTCGTTGGCACTCTGTCGATAGGTATATTTAGTTTATATACGAATAGTTTACAAAAACAGGGAAAAAATAATAAATATGAATCGTTAAACAATTAGCGCCGGTGAACCACTTCAGAAGCAGTATGCATGGTCTCCTAGTAACATGCAATATATTGTCCAACAGAAAAGTGATGGGTGAATAGGAAGATGCAGTGGCCAGAGGATGCGCTTTTTATATAAACTCAAATTCTCTTAACTAATGTACAATAACATGTATTGCAGCCCGAGAGGAGAATTACTATCTCGGGGGTTAAAGGGATAAACCGTCAAATATTTTTAAAAGAATTGTTTACATACGTTGCGTTCTCTAAATGTACCCTTGCAGCGCAGTCCAAACGTTTGCAGAGAAACGTCACAATGCCCCCCATCTTTGAAATAAATGTTGGAAAACAAATAAACCTTTGACTGATCTTGTCGTGTTTCTTGCGTGTGTGTGCGTGTGTAAAGAATATTGTCTGCGAAATGACGTCACTTCTGCACGTAAAAAAGCTATTCCTTTTTTTCCAGCTGTCAGGCTTTTTATATATGATGATTGATCTTTGGGCGATTCGTGAAAATGAGGTGACAGTATATCACGCAAAGACATAACGTGGGTCAAAATAAACTGGAAATGACAGAAATCAACCCCACTAGCTTGACTTTCCGGCAGAAACCTTAAAACGTCGAAGGGGTATATACCGGGGTACTGCCATATATGGGCTATATAGGTATGTGTCGCTGTGAAGAGTATGGTTTTCAAGCAGTTTACTCTAGGATAGGGTATATAAATCAGAGTGTTTGGGTCTAGAATAGGGTATAATTTTTCAGGAAACTGATCAGTTGGTTGAAGATTTTATCTAAACTAGGGAATGTGGTATAAGGTTTTGTTTTGGCTAGACTACTGTGCTAGCGACCTCAGTAGTTTCTGGAAAACAGCTACTCTAGGATAGGGGGGATTTGGGGAGTTTACTCTAGGGTAGCAAAATTCAGCTGAACTAGCTCTGGTATAGGTTAAGGGTTTTGGCACATTCCCGCCTAAAACGGACCACCCGGGGTATACAGTAGTAATTCAAACCCCACTTTCGGATTATTCGGCCACCTCATTATTACAGATAGTTTGCTTTGTCCCTGGGGAAAGAAAGCCCTCAGTACATTTCCTTTGAATTCAACCCGCTTTACGCAGACACCCCATTATTTTGGACACTTTCTATAGCCCCCTCAGTGTCGGTTTTGACTGTAAATTGAAAACCTGGACAAGTTCTTTAATTTCGGCTATGCTCAGGTCATGGATCGAATAACTTTTCAAGTTTCTCATTTACTAGAGCGAGTTTTTCCCTTGTAAAAGGCTGCTTGTGCGACGTGGTTCTTGTTGTTGTTTTTTTTTTGACAAGGACGCTTGTCATGACAAATTAGCCAATGTGGAGGAGTCGACACGTCCATTGGCCAAGAAGAAAAATCAAGGGTTCGTCGGGATGATAGAAAGCGATTAAACAAGATTCGGAACATAAATTAAATGAAATGAAAAAATAGATATATCTAATATGACTAGAAATTTTGGCACAAACTTAAGAAGTGTGATGCCCTCAACACTTTACGAACAGGATTGCTAGCAAATTCATGATTTTCTCTTCTTTCCTCTAGTGAGCACAGGTGAATCTATCTATCTTCGGCCTTCCGTGGTTCTTTTCATTTGCATTTCATGGCCCGGCCTTTGCATTAGCAAAGCTCCTGTGGCCCCCAAAACAATATTTACTCCTTTTGATAAGCAGCTCTTCATTAAAAGGCGTCATCGCCATGACCTTTATTTTTTTCAGTGTTATTTTCAAAACTCGCGAGAATTCGGCACGTCACGTGTAGTGAATCTAGTAGTATCTAATGAATCTAGTATCCATCACACCTAAAATGTAAGCTTCTTACAACTTATTCGTGAAAGACACTTTTCGGTGATAGCCTTCGTAGCAAGCTTTTCCGCGCGAGTTCGTTGAGAACGGGTTGCTACAAGAGCGAAATGCATGACTAGGTCACAGTACTCGATCGGAAAACGCTGGCCCTCAAGCAGGCTGAGGAAAACGTGTTCACAGCTTCATTTATTTATTGATTGATTGATTTATTTATCTTTTACTTCTTGGACTGGGTGTTTGTCAGAAATGGCGGTGAATGTAAGAACGTAAAAGGCCTTTGTTCGTGAGTATTACACTGTAAAAGTTTCATACACAATAGTCCCGTGGAAAAAAAAAATGGGGTTGAGATATACCTTTATCATGGATCGCATGACTGGTGGCCAAAAAGAGAAAAACCAGCATGACACATTAAGAATAGAATAGTTGTGATCATGAACTATTCTTCAGGAATTTAAAAAAAAAGTTAGTTAGAAAAGAGAAGGTAGCAGAAAAGTCGAGAGGTTCGAATCTTATCTTTAGAGTCAATCAATGATTGTGGCACGCAATAGTTAGTCTCCTATTTTCGCTCAGTGATGTTACCATTCAAAAGTAACCTTCTTAGCAGTCGTTTGCTGTTTGGTATGTTACAGAATTTTTCTTGGGATTTCATTTCCGACACTGGGTTTGGCAATGTTTCATAAGTCTAGTAGTCCGGATATTAGTTGAAAAATATGCACATTTTAACCTTTAATAACAAATTCGGTAGACTCAGGTTTCCACAGATTTCAAAGACGTGGTTAAGAGAATATGTTTAAATGACCGAAGGAGTTATCTTAAGTCGATCATTTATTCAATTCTCATAACCTTTTTTCTTGATTATGTATGGATATTGTTGGGAGAAAATCAATGTTGATCAACCCTGGGACTTAAAGCGTTAACCCTCTCAGTCTCAGACACACTTACGGGATATAACTACGCTATTAAACATAACGTAAAAAACATCCCTTGTGTTTGACGTTTTTTCACATAATAAATATCCCAGTATGTGAAGTTTTAAACGACAAGAATCTTGACGTATTTTAAATTGACTTGACTTGAAATGTCTTTTCCTAAGTTTGTTTTATAAGATCTAGACTACCATTAAATTTGAACGTGACTCGGTCTAATCCTTTGATACGTAATTCTTGAAAGCTTCGTAACCCAATACGTTTAACGTCGCAAATGATTGCCTTTGCACGAGAAAAATAAATATCATTGAAATGGTCTCTTCAATGAAGCATTGACGCTTGCATTTCTAAGATTCGGAGGCCGCCGGATACGTAAGACTTTCTGAAAATCTTTTTACAGCCATAGCCGATGGACAAACAATGAATTTAGAGCTTTTCAGCTTAAAACCAAATAAAAAGGCTATCACTGTTGATCCCTGAATGAGCTTACAGCTTTTGCAATTTTGGTATAAAATCAACGGGTATGGCCTACAACGCACCAGCAACGTATTTTCTTTATGATAAATTTCCTTCTTCTACTTATGAAATGAATCAATAAATGTATGCTATTTAATCCATTTCCTTCATTAATTAATTCTTGAAAAGTAGAATACAAAGATACCTTAACTCATTAAGGCTTCACTTACTTGAATTATCTTAAAATTCTTATTAAAGTTGCGTGGCAAACTTGCGTTGTTCAGTGGAAGGTAAACATAAAAAAACAAAATACAAACTTAACGTACCTGACTTTCTGGGTTAACAGCCTGAAAAATACCACAGAACAAATAATGAGTTAGCTACCATAATTTACGTTCAAGCTTGTAGGCAGAGGAAGACAACAAACACTGCAGAGGAAGCTTACATCTGAGAATTTCACCGATCCCAAGGTCAGGCAACGCACCCCCGACACAATCTGCGAGCAAAATCAATAAACTTTCTTTAGTCTTGATATAATTTCACCCTTGAATCGTAACATTTATTCCTTATTTCATTTGGGGTGCTTACTTCGGTGATAAGAAGGGGCTTAGAGCGGGTGAAAAGCGCAGAAACGAGCGAACAATTTAGAGCCATCCGAACGTTGCATGTACTTAGCCGAGAAAAGAGTTCCTTGCACGAGAGATTTGGTAAGTAAACAGTCCGGGAACGCCGGAATTGTTATCGTGAGCCAATCTCTCTTCAGATTTAGGTTGACGTCAAAAAAGGGCAGGTCAGAAGGCGCGAAACATTATCCGTATTCTATTGTTTGTCAGTCGCTGTAACGGACATGAAACAGAACGCTTACGCACGTACAAGTCTCATGTGATTTAAAAATTTACACGAGAACGTTTGCGAATCATATTTTTCCCCCGACTTTGTCAATCAAGTTTGGCCCGCAGAGATGAGTTAGAGGCAAAAGATTAAATACATGATCAAAATAATAATATTGTAATTAAAAATAAATAATCTAAATAAATCAATGCAAACGGAAAAAATAACTTTTGTACGATCCAACAGAGAATGTTGATAACGCACACTTAAAATTGTTGCTGATTATGAAGAAGCATTTACTTGATGTATAAGTCGAACAAATAAAGAAATATTTTTTGTTGGTATTCTATACCCCAGACACGAATTCTAGAACGGGATATAAAAATTGGCCCATTTCTAGAACGGGGTATCAATTTAGGGGATTTTTTTTTTAGAACCCCAATTACGCAGCCAATGACAGCGTTTGGAAAGCTCAAAACAAATGCGTAGCTACACGGAAGGTCAAGAAGGACAAATAGCAAATGAATCAAAATAGCAACTGTCAAGGAAATTTAGTAGTTCTACTTATTCCCTATTTTTTTTTTCCACAAAAAAAAATCGGATGTTTGTCCAGTGAGGATTCAACCTTCACTCAAGAAGACATTCAAGCGGTGTGGAGTCATCACCCTGGGATACTTTGCACAGTGCAACGCCAACGGCATCCCCCCCCCCCGCACGGACGGTTTCTCTGCATTGGTTTGCTACCCGAACACCTACAGTGTTTCTTCATCCGAATGCCAAAAGACCCTTCACCGACTCTTCACCGTTTTTTAAATAATTTTTTGGCATTGTGGACCAGTTTCATCGACACCGCTGGAAATACCCTCTTAAAATCAGTCAAGTTACCAAGTTTGAGAGCGATTTGTCAGTCGAAAACTACGTGAAAACTAACTTAGATAATCTAGACCTCCAAAGTCACAAAATTTGACAGATACTTTGATTGTGGAAGTAGGGGAGGGAGTTTGTGCTCCCCCCCCCCCATCACTACTAACAAAAAAAGTTGCTAAAATTTCATTTCGACTTTGTGGAATAATTAATATCTCCACATCGCATTAGATGTATCACTTTCAAATAAATAAAAGGAGCTATTTCCGATGTATAATCCCTAACTTGTCCTTTAATAGAAGAACAAAACAAAACAAAATCTGGTGCGGAAGGTTCTTTTTACTCGCTTGTATTGCCATCATGAAAGAAACAATTCCGCAATCTAGGAATGATTGCACAAATACAGAGATCTCTACCGATCAACAGATAGAATATCCAAAACTAGTTGATTACTCTTTTCTCTATGTTAGTTATTAACACAAACTGTATTTTATTCATCACTTGTTGACAGGCCATATTGAGTACATTGTGAGAACTATTGTGAGTAGTCGAAGTCTCAGAAGCCTTTCCAGGTTTCTTTAACAGACCCCCCTAATACCGACTGAAATGAAAAACTCAGGCGAAATTACGATAATGACATTAATCAGGGGCACCCGACGACCGAATGTTTTCAGGCAGCGTCAGAAGTGTCTCAAAGCAGTACTGTCAAAGGGGTTTTAACCAGTGCTTTAGAAGCCTGTTTGGTGCTGCCCTATAAACTGTTTATCTGTTCGGATGTCTTAGGGGAACTTCGGCAGCCTCGAAAGTTTTAGGTGAATTTTTCGTCTCATTCTAAACTGTTAGAGTTGTTGTTCGAGGACAAGGAGCAGCCGTAAGTCCTGGCGTAAGTTCATTAGAAAAATTCTAGGAGACGTTTTTTCTTATAACGAAATTGTCAGGCAGACCTTTCCTTGAAAATGATCCTGATATCTTGGTAATAAAATGTGAAAAACATAACCTCTGAAATCGTAGGTTACGGTTTAGTTACTAGAAAACACAGGGTTCCCACACAATCTGTTTGTGTAGCCGTTTGTGTAAGGAGCAGTCAACGGCGAACTCAAACTCATCCAAAATCGCTCAAAAAAACCGCTTTTGAGGCAAAAGGACGACTATACACCACAGGTAAGGTAATTCAACGTTTATTTGTCATTGATTTATATACATAGTTAGCGATATATCGCTATAGGTGAGGTAAAATAACAGTCGGTTACACAAACAGATTGTGTGGAAGCCCTGTGCTAGATTATCTAATCATGAACAAGTAGAAGGGTTATTCAAAAAAATTTTTCAGCTTTTTCGAGCTTTAGAAACTGAATTTCTAGGCAATATATGCTCCTTCGAGCAGCTATTTTACAGAAAAAAAAATCGTTGGGTTCCCTTGATTAAATGGCTACAGATTCGTGTAAAAGGGATAGGAAAGAACTACCACTAAATTATACTCAGGAACATATTCAACGATTTGTCACGGCATGCTGCAGCTGAAAAACTGGTTTGACTGGACTGGACTGAATGAAACTGAAAATATTTCTCTTGATTAAAACAATAATCCCTTGTTCAGAGGACAATGCAAGTGCCCTTCTAAATTCCCAAGTGAAACATATACACTAAACGTCCGACTTGCCAACATTGATACTAAATAAATGTTGCAGTACTTTTAAACGAATAAAAGTTACAGCTTCCTGTTCAATATAACGAGCATCTGACCTATTTCACGTCGTCTTTCGGCATCCATCTTTAGACATGCTTTGTAACCAGTGCTTGTCTAGACAGTCACTGAGCGAGGAATATCAGAATTCCTGCCTCTTTTTTGCGCAGTGAAATATCTAAGGTATTATTTATTTACCCCGAGAGCGCGCGAGGGGAGCAGCCAAATGAGGGAGTAGGCTTCCTCCCCTTTCCCCCATAGCTCGCGCACGTCCTCGATATTTCTTCTTTTCGCTCTAAAAAAACACGGCACCTGCTACACAGACTACGGCAGTAATGGCAAGGAGATATTGTAAAAGTTCAAACAAATGTCTTTCATTTTTGTCACATGCTTCGAGAGAAACTTTAAAGAAGTAAGTTAAAATTTCTGATTTGTATTGCTCTTAGTAACGTTGACTTATAATAGCTTTCAAAAAGAACCATAATAGAACACTGTCCCATGATGATCTCTTGCTTCCAATAGTACATGATATACTCCATTTTTGTGCAAGAAACTATAATACTTTTTTCAGGACCGCGGGAAGAGAAATTATCATTTCATTGAGGAAAACCACATGCTATGCAACCCAGATTCTATGGGAGTTCCTGGAATTCGAATTTTATAAGAAAATATATGGGAGTAAAAAAATACATACTTAAAATATTCGAAAAATAAATGACTCACCTTGTGTTTGTGTTGTGTCTTTTACTGTCTGTCTGCTTCAAGAGCCTTTTCAAAGCCGTTTTGGCGAGTTTTAGATTTTGAGTTGTACTTACAATTATATAAAATACACGTATAAAGGAAGCCGGGGCCCTTATTTCTTATTGTAAGTACTGTAGCTTATGCCTATCTGAAATTCATTATCATTTTTTTAAAAAAGTTTTAAACAAATTTATTGGTCCAATACTATAACAAATAAATAGAAACAAGACAAATACTAGCATGAAGGAGACCAAATACTAGCATGAAAGAGGCCAATGCGAAATAGCGCGAACGGGACACGTGACCCATGCGGCTATAAGTAAAATCTAAAAAACGTTCTCTTAAAACGGTAGTTAAAATGTAATAGTTAAACGGTGAAATCTAATAAAAATGCACAAAAGACCGCAGTAATTTCGTCATCAGGAAAATTTTCCTTAAATTTAAAGGGCCCGAAGAAATTGAGTTTAAAGTGTAAATTATGAACCTGGTGGCACGGGCAATTGCGAGCGAGGAACCAGAGACAGGACATGCCAATATCACTGAAAAGTAGTATCTAACAAGGAAAAGTAGGTAGCACGCAGATTATTCTTAAAAATGCTTAGGGTGGAGAATTGTCGGAAATAGCTTGTCTGCAAATAGTGTTCAAGGGTTTTACAATCCGATCAAAAAAAGAGGCCTGAAAAGTAATGGTTTTACAATAGGCAAGTTTTAACATAAGGGCAGGATTCTGAGAACGAGACCGGTCATGTGAGACAAAGGTAACGAATCGATCGATATTTAAGTCAGTAGATCCAGAAATGCAATTAAAAAGGAATACAAGATCTCTAGTTTCCCTATCATAAGTAAGTGGAAGTAGTCGAAGAGTCAGCAATCATTGTTTGTAGGAGACCTCGCCGATTTTAGTTCTGAGTATCGAGCGAGATGCACGCCTCAGGACTCTTTCTAGGATCATTCTCAATTTGAAACTTCCGAGAGACCACACATCTGTGGCATAAGAGAGTTGTGACTTCGCTAGAGAGGGATAAAGTGTCCGCCTGACTTTAACATACGTAATAAGTGGACAGGTCCTCCTCAGGAGACCTAACATTCTGTTATTCTTGAGTACAATATGCATAACATGCGAGTCCCACGATAGATTGTTTGAGATGATAAAGCCGAGGTCCTCTTCTTCCAAAACACGTTCTATATAAGTATTGCCAATGTAATACCGGTATTGATGAGTTACAGGTGATTTCTTCCGCGTGACTGTTAACACTTTACACTCAGGGGCGTTTAATGTCACGTTTGATATATAGCTCTGACGACCTCAGGAAGGTCACTCACTCTGATAAATATCACAGAGCAGGGGCCAACAATGGTACCCTGAGGTACATTGAGGTATATTGTATAAAGTTAGGTTTTATAGGAAACCACCAACTCAAAGTTGCCTTAGGGAAGGCATAGGTGAACAGTTTCCCAGAAACCTAAATTCATCCATCTTGTTTTCGTAAGACTTTAATTTAAATGGAGCAAAATATAATTAAAATCTCATTAGCATACGATCCTGTCGCCGCTTACTTAATTTATTATTAATTTTTATTAATTTTTTTCATGTAAGTAGAGAAGAAGGTACCGGGGTGTGTTTCTTTCTTTCTTTTTTGTCAGTATGTAATTATGTGTGAGTCTGCGATGTATCTATGTTTAGCTTTCTTTTCCTTTTTTTGCATTTTTCCTACGTGTTCGTGAGTAAGTGTGTAAAAAAATGTAATACATAACACTAAAATTCATTAAAATACCCCCCGCCCCCCCAAAATAAGACTTTCCTTTTTCAACATTTACTTCTTCCTTGCTCTTCCTCACGAAAGAAGGCGGCGAAAATAAGGTGAGTATAAGGACAAGCTGAGTGAAAGGATTTTGACTGGTTCATTGGTTCATTTTCGGCTAAAACCTTTTACGGCCCCAAGAGTGACCAGCATCAAATTTCTCTTTGTTATATTTTAATGTTTCTGAGGGGAGGGGCGTCTGTACACAAGCTATGTTTTATAAAACTCATTCCTCACAAGAACTAAGGACGCAACCACACAGGACAAATTCAATCGCTACTTTAACAACTTCCGGTCTCACTAAGTTTTCTCTCTTCCCCTCATCCCGCGCTCCACGCAGGTCTCTCGCGCTTCGCGCAAGACTGTATTCTCCATTAACTGGACGACAAAATTTTCATGGAAGAAAGTTCACAAAGAGAGATCTCACGTCTTACCGTTTAGCGTCCCATGTTTTTCTCAGTTTCAGGGCTTCGACGCGCCTAGGAGGCTAGCTTTTCCACGACTTGAGAATTTCTAGTTGCAAAAAACCGGGAACGAACACTGCCGTATTCTTTTCTATCACCGCAAGTTAAAGGTTTGGTAAAACTAGGGAAAATATTTTTCATACAGAAGTGACTGATCCCTCCCAAACAATTTGCATCTCCCGCCATTTGATTGCTGGGGATATAGAGACTTTTATTCAGAACGGGCAGATCGCATATGTGACAACTCCGCCATATCCCTGACGAATCTTCCGGTTTCCTATACAGGTCAGTTAATCTTCCGGATAAAAACGTCTTCCCAGTATTTTTGCTCCGTATTCAGCCTTAAAAATTATAAGTTCATTTGCAGTTTCTTCAAGTCAGTGGTTTGGGGTCTTTCATCATTGAAAAAGAATATTTTCTTCAATGTGGAGACAAGTGTTTCTAAGATCAATGTACTAGACCATAAACACAATCATTTTGGGACTGCGTCGAGTTGTTTTATGGTGGCTTTAATTGCCTAATAACGATGAGAGGAGGGTTGGGCTACAAAAGGAAAGTCTAAAGATTTCAGATTATCAGAGATTGTTATCCCTCCGATCGCTTTCACGGCTCTTTTTCTGTTAAGGGTGCTTGTCGCAAATTAACGCTAAAGGAAAGCCCTAACCTCGTTCCAAGGGTTTTCTCCTACCAATCCCTACGTCACTCCATAGGGACGCGCAGGAGAGAACCCTGGCAACGAGGTTGGGAAAGCCCTTTCTCCCTTCTACTTATACTTCGCCTATCAGCTTCAGTGTCATGGCTAAAGTTAGTGAATGATTTGGGCGAGATAAAAAGGGTAGGAGTTAAAATGAGGGGAGATCTCTACACTGTGGGTCATTGCTTGGAATTGGCGAATCCAGTTCAGATATTTTTTGACGGGTGCGAAGATAAGAAACGGTTTCCCTCTAGGGTTGTTGTTTCATTCACTGTGGTCTTTCGCTATGCCAAGGTAACAAGGAAAGCCGCAAAAATTTAGAACAATCAGTTACCTTCCAAGTTGGAATGGAATCAATATGAAATCCTTTCATTCAACCGATTTGTGCCTGGTTTCAGAATCCCAAGGCATTGACCACGCGCCATTTTCGCACTAACAACTGGTTAGTGCTCAAAACCTGAGCTTTTCGATCTCTTTATGGTGGTACCTCACCTGATAAAACAGATTTTGTGCGCTTTACTATGACAACGACAAGCACTATATATATTTCGTAGGATTTTTCAAAAAGAAATTTCCACTCCTGTATCAGGGGTAACTAAGAAAGGGCTAAAGAGAGAGAAGAGACTCTAAGGCTGACACTTGCTGGTACCAAAGGGCGGTCCTTCTTGAGAGATTTGACTGTTTCATCAACAAATTGCACGGTCTTTTATCGCTTTCCTCTTTCTTTTGAAGACTTAAAGACTGAATTAAGGGATTAAATAAGCAACTCTTTCATGTTCGGCTGCATTCCACGCACAAATCTCGAAATATGTTAGTTCTTATCTTATGTTGCGTTGCCAAGTATACTATGAACCTTATTTTAAAACGTCTTTGCAATGCCTAAGGGAAGGAAGTGAATTATACCCGATCAAATTAGATGTACCATTGCAAAGAATTTTAACGTTTATTTTTTAATTATTTATCTGTTTGTATTGCTGCACGATAACAATCACATACTGCTTAAAACTACAGCTGAAACTAGCGTGCTGAGAAAACACCATATATCAGTCGCGACATTGCTCCTTTAACATTTTAAAGGCCTCGTTGCTTTCTATAGTAGCACAAAAACTCACAGATTTCAGCCTTGTAATTAGTTTTCTCTACAAATTTTAGGGAACAATTGTATAGTGGGACATAGATACAATGAACCTCTATATAACGAAGTCCTCGGTATAACGAATGATTTTCTTTACCCAGTAATAGTAAAATATATGCATGGAAAAGAACTTCGATATAACGAAACCGCGTGAAAGCGAACAAATTTTGCCAGTCCCTTGGCTCTTTGTTTTGTACGTTCCACAGTACTTCATTTGTCCGAAAAATGAAACAGAACATGATACATGAGATTGAACTTGCTACAGTTTATTATTGAAATAAATTGTCCACTCGCTTAGACTGCTAGTCTCCCTCGCAGCCGTGATTTGTTTCTTCGCAGAAGAGAAGACATACCGTTTCTTTTACTCAAAAGGGCATTATCTGGGTAACTTTAGGCAGGCGATATGTAATTCTTATTTACGTTTCTCACAGTCAGATGACGTTGTGGGAAGATCGATAAGACTTTGTTTCATACCATCTCTCTGTCTTATAGCGACATAGTTCCTTAATTTATTTATGAGACCCTGATTTCTTCTTGTTTGTCGAGAGTGACGTCATCGCCTATAAGTGTAAAAGGCGCCCAGTATTTTAAATCGCCGAACTTCTCGGATTCTCTGAGACATTTCATTGCGCGGTTAAGGGACTCGCTCGCACTTCGCCCTTTAACAAGGTTGTGGTAGAAGCTTTTCATGAACTCCAAGGTGGCTTCGTCATCGATGGCCCACAGGGACACCAGAACAGAACGAGCACCGGCACCAATAAAGGCACGTGCAATACCGACCACGCCTTCAGCTTTGATCTCTCCCCGACCACTGTGACAGCAACTAAGTACAACTAGCTTGGCTCGCAGCTTCACACTCATCACATCTGCCATTGTCAACATGTAATCCTCTTCTGCAGGGGTTTGTGATTCCCTTTCAGGATTCGGGCTCAACGCTATCTCTCCGGTTTCCATGCGTCCATGTGCAGCAATGTGTACTACGGCAACCGAACTAATCTGTTTTAGCACTTCACATTTGGTGGCTAATTTTCCAGTGAGAGGTGCCGTATTAAGAATCTGTCCGATCATCTGTGCTTCTTGTCTGGCAAAAGGAAGCTGCTCCAGGATCTCATCTCCTTGTCTGTTGGTAACTTCACTCATGTCTGGATCTCCTACAACTAGAGCTCCACTACTGCTGTGGAATTTTGGACAATGAGCAATAATTTTCAAACTTGTTAGTGAAGGAATTATTCTGACTTTGAATGATTCATACAGGTATTTGGAAAACGGATTCAGTAATGCAGCAAACGGAGCAAGCCATAATGGACCATCCGGAACAATTATTAGCTCATCGCCATCAATTAGATCTAATATCGGGGCAATCACGTAGCTGTACAAAGCTGACAAGGGATGAATATCTTCTTGGAGAATGGGTTGTGAGCTCTTTTTGGATGACCGCTCCACAGCAGAGCAGTTTTCGCGAAACACATCTAAAGACCGATTTTCGCAGTTAGCTTTAGTACGAACACCAATCTTTTCGTAGGCAAATTGAATCAAGGACTGTAATGTTTCAGCTGAAAACTTTGTACAATGACGGCCAAGTGTCTTCTCTTGGTGAAGTAGGGGTTTCTCTTTTGAAATTACCCAGATATTTACTTTGTTTTCGACCACGTCTACAGCTAAGAATATGGTACTTGATAAAGTGTGGTTCAACATGCCAAATTCCTGTTCTTCTAGTGGTTTTCCTTTGTATTGACATTCTTTTAAACCATACTGGGATGTCATAAGATCAGCTAGTGACTGGGCCCGACCTTCTTCGGCAGCAGCCAGAGCTTCAGCAATCTTTTCTTGTTTTAACAAAACTCTCCAGAGACCTGTGTAAGTATGGTTATATTCGTTCCGAAATCCAATCTTCCACCGATCTTCAGACTGGAGGAGACTTCTCATTTCATTAAACACTTTAACGCTTGTTTGGTAACTTTCGAGTGCTTCAGGTAAACCTTTCAGCATCTCAAAGCAATGTCCACTATTATAGTAGGCTATGCCTAGCATTTCTTTGTCTCCTATTTCTTTACCAATTCTAAGCTGTTGTTTGTGCCAATCTATGGCTTTCATGTAGTCACCAATACTTTTGGAAACTCTGCCTAAATTGCCACAGGCAACCCCTTCCCCAGCCTTGTTTCCAAGTTCTTGGGCAATACAGAGACACCGGTTGTTATAGACCATGGCTTTGTCGTAATCGCCAATATGTTCATAAGTGCGGCCGAGATAGCCATACGCACGTCCTTCCCCTGCCTTATCTCCCAGGTCTTTTGCAATACTGAGGCGGCGTAAGTAGTAGTAGTTGGCCTTCTTCAAATCACCAAGACTGAGATAAACGTTGCCGAGATTGCCATGCGCAAACGCCTCCCCTTCCTTATCTCCAATATTTTTAGCGATATCAAGATGTTGGTTGTGATAGTAAACTGCCTTTTCGAAATCTCCGAGGCTGTAAAAAGCATTGCCAAGGCCACCATACGCGGCCCCTTCTCCTTCCGAATCTCCAAAATCTTTGGCAATTTCAAGGTAGCGTTTGAAGTATTCTATGGACTTCTTGAAGTCTCCAAGACTTTTATAAATATGTCCAAGGGCGCAATACGCATCTCCTTCCCTATATTTGTTTCCTAATTCTTTGGCGCAGTTAAGATGCAGATTAGAGTATTTTAGTGCATTTTTTGTATCTCCAAGGTTGCGGAGAGCGTTTACTAGACCGGCATATGAGTGTACCATTGCTTCTTTGTTTCGTTCATCTTTGGCAATGCTAAGGCTTGAGCTGTAATACTCTTGGGCTTTTCTGAAATTCCCAAGGCCCTGAAAAACGTTGCCAAGACCTCTGTACGCTTCTGCCTCTCTAGACTTGTCTCTCTTCTCTTTGGCATTGCTAAGGTGAAGCCTGTGGTAAGTTTCAGCTCGTTTGTAGTCACCAAGGAAGTCAAAAGCATGTCCGAGATTGCTATAGGCAATACTTTCTAATGACCATCTGATTGTCTTGTCAGACAGACCTTTGGCGACACTAAGACAACGCTTGTAGAAGCCTATTGCTTTTTCATAACTACACAAACCTCGAAAAGCATTGCCAAGACCGTAGTAAGCGTAACCTTCCAAAGGTTTTTCTCCCAGATCTATTGCTATACTGAGTGCACGGTTTTTGTACTCCATGGCTTTTTCGAATTCACCGAGCTTTTGGAAAACATCACCACGACGATGATACACATATCCTTCCTGTCTCTTGTCGCCCAATTCTTTGAAAATGTCAAGAGCAAGGTCGTTATATTCTATGGCTTTCTTGTAATCGCCATGACTCAGAAAAAACAAACCAAGAGTACTACACACAGCTCCTTCACTAGCTTTATCTCCTGCATGCTTGGCACTACTGAGCTTTTGGCGGTAAAAGTTAACGATGTCGTTGACATTCCCAGAAAGATTTGGCACATCATCAATATTGCTCATGACGCCTGCAAATTCATCATCTTTAGTTTCAACGGGTTGGTTTTCTTTGGGCAATTTCGTTGATGATTGATATGGAGTAAACACCTGTAAAATTGAATTGCTCTTTGTTCAGATATTATTCAGACATTTGATTGTATAAGTTTGCTGGTTTTTACGTACGTCTCTAAAAATTGTGTGCCCAACCATGCAAACGGGGTAGGTTTGAGGTAAGTCTCATCTGAATGTCTTTCTTATCAGAACCATGTGTATACTTACTTCAAAACGTATTTATTTCCTTTTAACAAATTCTTTTGGCTAAACATTTACCCGTAAGCCCAAAATATAAGAGCATCGACCACTAACCGTTTTTTTCACAGTGTTAGATTCTGACTTTGGAGTATCCCTTTGGCTTATCCTCCTTTTTTCAAAGAGCTCCTTGTTAACATTGTCAATCTTACGACTGTCAAGTTCGATAAACAGGTTTTAGAAAGTATCCTACAATGGTCTTGGTAAACGATATGGATATGGATGGATTCCAGCTGTTTCTTTTCTTTGGTGGGAATGGGGTTGATTTAGGAATGAAAGAATTACGAGTAGAAAACGGTATAAACGTAAACCAGTTGATCCACTAATGAGCTCAGGGGAACCTTGTGGTGATGGTGGACCATCTTGTATTTGCCTGCTCATTATTTCCTTCATATCCTCATTTCTCAAAGTCATTAATAATTCATAATTAAAATGCAAAAGAAAATGATGTTTAACGAGTGTTTGGAAATAAGATGAAAAACTGCTCATTTTTTCATCCTTGATTTCTCTTTCTAAAATCATTTTGTTTGAGAAGCAATATCAGGCATTCGACACAGTGTTTCATCATCAGATGAAACACCTCGAAGTTCGTCAAAAATACTCTGCTGCGCGTCGTATTTTTAACTCTCTTCTCGGCGTTTCATCTGGTGATGAAACACTGCATGTCATGCTTGATATGTTACATCCAGTATTTTCCAATTTTACATCCCCCACTTTTATTCGTTGAAAACGGTCAAGAAATCATCCAAAAATGCCAACCTTTTAATTATGGAGCCACTTTTTGATTGGATGCAATCTTGGTCAGATTTAGAAGAAAATATTTTGAAATAGACGAGAAACAAGGTTTGTAACAAGAATCACCCCTTAAAAACACTGAGTGAATATACGTGAAAAAAACAAGCCCCACATGGCTATTTGTCAAAGCGAGAAAAATTCCCAAATCCTTGAAACCTGAATGGTTCCGAGAGCGCGGATTCGCCAGCCGGGAGGAATCGTTGAGGCGTCTTCATTTCAAGTATTTTTGTTGTTCGTGAATTTGTGAGAAGTAGGATTTTGTGCAACATTATCCTTTAAACGGGCCCTTATTATGAGCACCAGCTAAGTTTCATCATTCAAACAAAACATCTGAGTCGAAGTGAGAAACGAGCATGCTACTAAATAAATGCAAAACGGGCGATCATATAGCCGTATGCAAACAATGCAATATTGCCTCTATACACTGTTTATACGACATTTTTTTCTCGGTTTCTTTATTGTTATGCTTTTCCAACTCTTGTAACCTGGGACCAGGCTCCGCATTGGGGGAAGAGGAGAAAAAAATCGGCGAGCGAAGCGAGCCCAGCAGTAGTCTGGGTAGGGAAAGGGTGGCTGTGGCACCGCCCATCCCCCCTCCCCGGCCCACCCATCGACGCACTTCGCTAGCCGATATTTATTTTTCCCATTTCACTTCGTGTTTTGCCTTTCCCCCCACTTCGGAGCCTGGTCCCAGGCTAATTTTTTGCTGAAACTGCAAACTCTGAATTTTTCCTGGAACGAATTTGCCCCGCAAGACTGATTTTCTTACTTAGTCTTGAGTTGTCTGAGTTATAAACACCTCAGGCAGAAGTTATCCGTCTTCAGTTATCAAGACCTAGATCATGTTATCCGAGAGGCCCACATAGGGCCTCCTGGAAAAAATAAGAACCGTTAAAGACTTTGACAGGAGATCCAAGAAAGGATACTGATAACGAAGATGAAAAATAATTAAAAAAAACGTTGACGTAGCAAAATTGAAGTATTAATAACGCGGTCAGGGTTTTTGTATTTACTCTTCTAAGAAAGGATAGCCTGTCCACACGTACGTTAGCGAACTAGTTATTTGTCCAGTGCATTACGAATTAATAAATCCCACGCGGGGATTATTTTTTGTACGCAGACTAGAAGATCTGAAAAGAGAAAATAGAAGGTCTGTGAACAGGCTAAAGAAAGGATACAGCAAGTCCTTTATCACACCAGATGATGGCTTCTTCAAACTGCTTCAACTTTAAACAGGTGTTCGCTCCTAGTGAAAAAAGTCCACTCGTTTGAAATCATTGTTTTAGGAAAAATTCAAGTTTTCAACTGAGATTCATATTCACCCCGGATAATCGCCTTGAGGTAAGACGGCTGTAGTGCTGTGGCAGCTTTTACGTCACTTAGACAATCTGGATAATTTCCTGAAAAAGAGTTTTATTACACCCACATTAAAAAGAATAATCGGCACAAACTGAGGGGGCAGCGGCTACTTTATAGACTCTACGTAAACCTTGCGTACGCTCGAGGTGTTATCAGATCCGACACGATGAAACACTTAATGTGATCTAAGAAAAGTTTAGTGACCCATGAAAGCAAGATTGTGAGTATTTTATAAGATTTCTTGCGAATAAAGCGAAGCAAAAATTGGCGGAACTGAAAAAGGGCAAAGATGCAGAATAGACAATAGAATGTTGGATACGAAACAAAATGCAGTGTTGACAATGCGTTGAGTTAATATAATATGAATGATACTTTACCCAAGTGATAATGGGCTGATGCCCTGTTGTTGTATAATTTGGCATTCAGATCCTCATCCTTGCATTTTACTTCAATTCCCTCTGTGTACAAGTTAATAGCCTTGACAAAATCACCTTTAAGAAATGCATCATTGCCGGCATTTTTGTGAATTTCTGCCATAGCTGAAATAAAAATACAAACAGAGTGGTTTTGAGTTCCGCCAGTATAAATGAGTGAAAGCCAGAGATCAAAACATAACATTTGATGCCTGGTAAATTGTACATCCACTTGACGTAAAGACCGTGGCCATGATTACAAGTGCGCTTTCTGTTTGGATTTTACTTACTCGTGCGATCAAGAGGTCTTGGGTTTGTTGGTGGATTGCTCTCCTCTTTTGCTGGTTTATCACCTTCCTGTGTTAAAATGTGTTCGCATTCTATGGAAGAACAAGTCTTTATCTCCAACAGATCCTGGTTGTTCTTGTCAATCTTACAAGAGTTAAGGGGGTAGAAAATAATAATAATCTTGGCTGGCGGCAGTGGTAGTAGCAGCAGCAGAAATTGGAGAAATGGTTCATCGGTAATCCGTTTTGTACGTGTATATAAATGGCTACTCTTTGTGTGAGACGTCAGGACGCGTCACCAACAAACCAACCGACTGTATTAAGAGATATTGACCTAGTAAAATAAAGGATTACGACGTAACAATTTGCCCGGTCAGCGATTGTATTTACTCCTCTAAGAAAAGATAGCCTGTCCACACAATTTTTTTCCTTTCTTTTGGTTTGAGTAATTTATCCAGTGCGTTACGGCTTAATAAATCCCCCACAGTTTCTATTTTCGTACGCGCACAAGATCTCAAAAGAGAAAATAGAATGTCTGTGAACAGGATAAAGAAAGGATACGTCTAATCCTTTGTCGCACCAGATGATGGCTTCTTCAAACTTCTTCAACTTTAAACAGTTGTTCGCCCCTAGTGAAAAAAAGTCGACTCATTTGAAATGATTTAATGGAGGAAATTTTAAGATTCAGGTGTTCTACTGAGATTCTTTTTCACCTCTGATAATCGCCTTGAGATAAGATGGCTGTAGTGCTGTCGTAGCTTCTACGTCACTCAGACAATCATGGTAATTCTCTGAAAAAGAGTTTTTTGAGAAAGATGACTTTTCAATCAGTGACGCATACAGGCGGCCCAATGGGAGTCGAAGCTACGACCTTCAGGCTGCTAGTCCGGATGCTCTACCACTAAGCTACAAGAGACTAGCGGGAGCCAAGGCAAGGTTCAAGTGACAAATTACCCTGGCACATACTGCTAGGTCAAGAATGTTGATACGTGCTTATGCGCAATGATAGAGGTGTGATGGTGAATTTGAAGTCTGTTGAATATATGAGAAAGATGGTTTTACGATCCGTGACACAGGAGGTATTGAGAGTACTCGGATTCTTCCTTCCGAGCCGCCTGTTTCACTAATTAAAAAATCATCTTTCCAATATATTTACAAGGCTTACAATTCACTATCACATCTCTATCAAGAATTTTTATCTCTTAATTAAATTAAAAAGAATAATCCTCAAGTAGAGTTGATCAGAAAGAATTGCACCCTATTAACTCGAAAAAGTGAGCGATTAAAATTCATATTTTATCCACTGGTCACTTAATTTAGGGGCAGTACCTATTTTGTAATTAAAGGATGGGTACAACCGAGCTGTCTTCATATTCGAAATGACAACACTTTGTGCGATCTTAGGATCCTTAAGTAACCCAAGGAAGCAAGATTGTCAGTGTTTTATAAGATTCCTTATTGCGAATGCAGCGTAGTATAAATTGGCGGAACTGGAAGATGCGTGCATAAATTGAACCTATTACGGCACATAAAACGGACGTACGCTTTTCAGGGACTACAGACTTGAGCTATTAATGAACATGCAAATGAGACCAGCCACTACGCTCTTTGGGAGATGAAGTTAAAAATTCCCTATAGAGACCCCATCCCCCTTCCCACACTGTTTCTCCCTTAGGCTTTAACAAGATCGTCCGCATAACCAAGTGATGATAATAGGACATAAGACTTCACCGACCCTGATAACATCAATAGGGCCAAGAGAGACAGTTGAATTGGGATTCCAGGAGTGTCTTAACGTAAAAGGGCAAAGATGCAGAATAGACAATAGAATGTTGGATACGGAACAACATGCAGTGTTGACAGTGCGTTAAGTTATTATAATATGAATGATACTTTACCCAAGTGATAATGGGCTGATGCCCTGTTGTTGTATAATTTGGCATTCAGATCCTCATCCTTGCATTTTACTCCAATTCCCTCTGTGTACAAGTTAATAGCCTTGACAAAATCATGTTTACTAAATGCATCATTGCCGGCATTTTTGTGAGTTTCTGCTATGGCTGAAATAAAAATACAAACAGAGTGGTTTTGAGTTCTGCCAGTATTTTAATGAGTCAAGGTCAGAGAAAAAAACATAACATTTGATGCGGCTGACAAATTGTAGAACCACTTGAAATAAAGACGCTCGTTATAGGTACGCCTTGTGTTTGGAGTTTTAACACTTACCTGTACAATCAAACGATGTTTGGTTTGTTTGTGAATCGCTCTCCTCTTTTGCTGCTTTATCGCCTTCCTGTGTTAAAATCTTTTCGCGTTCTATGACAGAACAAGTCTTTATCTCCAACAGATCCTTATTGTCCTTGTCAATCTTACAAAAGTTAAGGGGATAGAAAATAATCTGCTTTTACCTTAAACTAGGCTGACGGCAGTGGCAGGAATGACACGTTTTAGTAGCAGCAGCATCAGTTGAGCTGTGTTTTAAAACGGTTCGATAATCTGTTTTGTACGCTACTCTTTGTGTGAGACGTCAGAACATGGCACCAAAAATTCAATTAATATTTAAACCAATTTTATCGATTCAAGCTTAATTTACCAAAACATAAAAAAAGAGACATTGACCTAGTAAAAGTAAAGGAGGTAATAATCTGTGCGGTCAGGGATTTGTATGTGATCTTCTAATTAAAGATAGTCTGTCCGCACACGCTTTTTCCTTCCTTCTTTTTGAGTAATTTATCCAGTGCGTTGCTGCTTAATAAATCCCCTGCGGTTTTTATTTTCGTACGCGCACACTAAGATGTCAAAAAAAGAGAAAAAGAAGGTCTGTGAAGACGATAACATAGAAAGGATACGGCCAGTCCTTTATCACACCAGATGATGGCTTCTTCGAGCTTCTTCAACTTTAAACAGGTCTTCGCCCCTAGGGAAAAAAAGGCGACGCATTCGAAATGGTTAAATGGAGAAAAAAATTCAGGTTTTCTACTGTGATTCATTTTTACCTCTGATAATCGCCTTGAGATAAGACGGCTGTAGTGCTGTCGCAGCTTTTACGTCACTCAGACAATCATGGTAATTCTCTGAAAGAGAGTTTTTAGAGAAAGATGACTTTTCAATCAGTGACGCATACAGGCGGCCCAATAGGAGTCGAAGCTATGACCTTCTGTCTGCTAGTCCAGATGCTCTACCACTAAGCTTCAAGAGACTCGTGGGAGGTAAGGGCACTACCGAACAAGGTTCAAGTGACAAATAACCTGCATACTGCTAGGTCAAGAATGTTGATATGTACTTATGGGCAATGATACAGATGTGATGGTGAATTTGGAGCCTGTTTAATACATGAGAAAGATGATTTTCATCAGTGACACAGGGAGTATTGGGAGTACTCGGATTTTTCCCTCTGAGCTGCCTGTGTCACTAATTGACAAATCATCTTTCTAAGGTACTGAGCAGGCTCAACGTTCGCCATCACATCTCTGTCAAGAATTTTTTCTTATTATTCGTGAATTAAAAAGAATAATCCTCAAGTAGATTAGAAAGAATTACCCTATCAGCTCGAAGAAAAATCAGCACTTAAAATTTATGCTTTATCTAGGGGTCTCTTAATTGAGGACCAGTGCCTGTCTTGCATTTAAACGATGCGTACACCCGTGCTGTCTTCATATTCGACACGACACTGAACATTCTGTGCGATCTAAGGATCTTTAAGTAACCCAAGGAAGCAACATTGAGTATTTTATAAGATTCCTTGCGAATGCAGCGCAGTATACATCGGCGGAACGGGAAGATGCATACGTGAATTGAACTATTAATGAACACGTAAATCAAGAGACCAGGCACTATCTGCTTTGAGACGATGTTATCGAGGTCTATCGAGAACCCACCCCCCTTCCCCCTCTGTTACTTTCTTAAGCTTTAAAAAGTTCGCCCACCTAAGACTTTATCCTGATTCATCATTGGGGCAATAGAGACAGTTACATAGAGATTCCAGAAGTGTATCAGGGCTGGGATGCAAATTAGAGAATGGAATGTTGGATACGGAATTTAGTGCAATGTTGACAATGCGTAAATATGAATATGATATTTACCCAAGTGATAGTGAGCTGATGCCCTGTTGTTATACAATTTGGCATTCAGATCCTCATCCTTGCATTTCGCTTCAATTCCCTCTGTGTACAAGTTTATAGCTTTGACAAAATCATCCTTATGAAATGCATCATTGCCAGCATTTTTGCTAGTCTCCGCAATTACTGAAACAAAAATACATACAAAGTTTTGCTAGTAACTGAAGTAGCGGAGGCCAGAGATTAATTTAAACTGAAAATGTTGTCTGACATACAAAATGTAGTGAAGAGCCAGTGAAGACCCTGGTTAATAAGCCCGCTTTTTGTTTGAAGTTTACTTACAACCAAAATTAAGATTTTGGGTTTATAGTTCCTGAATCGCCTTCTTCTGTTGCGCGTCTTCTGAACTCCAGTTTATCTTGATCTTTCTATGTTGCCGATTTGCTTTAATTATCAGCTCAGTTGATAAAACTAAGTCTTTGTGTAAGTTTTACTTCTCTACCGACGCAACACCACAGTTTCTTTACAAACTTACCCCTTTAATTGATAAAAAAATTTCATTGTTGTTGATTGAGAAAAGAACTGAACTGGTTAAATTTTCGCCTAGACAAACGCAAGATGCATGTCTTGGACTCCTTCGTCGATCCCTTTACTTGCACAGTGACCCCTGCCCTTTCCTTACAGTCTGTACAGCGTTCGTACGGGGGGGCGTAGGCTGACGTCATATTCAACAACCTAGAACTATTTTTATTGAGTGATTAAAAGTATAAATGATCGAGAGTTCAAGTGATATAAGACTTCAAACAGATGGTGGATAGTCAGTGTTAAAGTAAACTTGCCATTCCATATTTTAGTTAAGGCTTAGTATAACTCTACCCCGCGACCAAGGTTCGTTCCTGGGTTTAAAATAAGACTGGTCAACTGTCTGAGATAGGAAGCACGTACCGGGAACGAACTGTAACTGTTCGTACCTTCCTTACTCACAGTTTCTGACAAACTTGTTCATTCTTTCCGGCTATTAAGAGACGTTTTATGCAAGGTTATGGTAGTCAATCTAACCTGAGTTGCTGGCGGTTTTCAGTGGGGAGCGTGCCTCTGAACGAGCGGAGAAGCCGCGAGGGGAATGGGGAAAAAGTGCGCGCTCTACAGGGGGGTACGGGGCGAAGAGATGTGCGCAGGAAAAATGGCGATGGGGTGGGGAAGGGGTGAGAGTTTTTCTCCCGCATCCTCATCTCCTTATTTGTCTCCCGCTCTCTTATTTTGTGCAGCACTCCACTATCTGAACGCCTGGAATAGGCTACGACTACAAACAAACCGCTAGCTACACAGGCTTGCCAAGAACGACACTAAACAAACTTAAAAATTCTGTACTTGTTCTCCAAATAACGATTATTACTATGTTAAACCTATGTTATAACGTCAACTACTATACTAAAATCGTTTTATTCAGTTTATATACACCTCTTAAAGTGTCCTTCTCAAAGTCATTGTCAGTTTCATTGTCCTCCATTGTTTTCTTTACAGGATGGTGTGACATTCATTTCGCCTGTAGCTTGAACTGAACTCCTTACTACAGCTCCTGTGTTAAGAAAATTAGTATTCACATAAAATATAATAATAATGATAGTTACTTACTTAACACAGTTGTAAATTAATGGGGACACCTAACTTACTACACACCAAGTTACACAGGGTGATTTTACTTGACCCGTGTAATAGATACTAACAACTACTACAAAATACCTACTGGTGAACAGAAGAAGACAATGGAATTAGTACATAATACAGTGATAATATTGCGTATTATTCTACTACCTATTTCACGGGTTAGGTAAAATCACTCTACTGTACTTAACTAGGATACATTACGATGCCTAAGATATCAAATTAATTTGCAGTCCTGATAATCGCAAATGTAAATTTAGCTAGAAGAGTTGGGATTCTTAACCTGTTATGTTTGATTTGAATTATTTGTTTCAGGCAGTTGCCCGGCCCCACTAGCTTAGTTAGGGGGAAAATGTTGATTTCACTAGGTTTTAAATTTATTTAAAGGCACGTGAATTACAAAATTATAAGCCTGTACAGATATTATAACCAGGAATGTTTATCCCTGTATATAATTATTAGAACAGTGTACCTTAAGTAGTTTATATACACATATTATATGTATCCTCGAAAATTGCATTTCCTAGAAATAATGATACAGCTTAGTGGCTGAAAAACTGGACCTTTCCTGTTCAAATACCAACTGTTTTTAGTTTTGACAATTCAAGGACTCGAATCCTGAGCAAAGGAAACTCCAATTCTTTTCCACAGCTTTAGTGGCTGCTCAATCTTTATACGTTTCCGAAATTCATTTGCTCGACTGACATTTAATTTTGAGTCAGTTAGTTTAGGATATGAAATTTACAGCTCAATTTATCCAGATTAGTTTTCAGTTTTCAGCTGATTTTATTCAGCCTCCTTTCCATTTGTTTTGTGATGTTGTAATAAGTTGATCGGTCTGTATAAATGGAGCACTGTTATCCCTGTTTCTCGATTCACGTGCCTGTGTGATTTACGTCCACGAGCTGAAGATTAAACTGTTAAAGTCCAAGTTTGAGTCCTGTCTTGTTTTCAGTTGTAGCAGATCCGCAGTACTGTGGAACAGTGACGAATTCCAGTCTTGCTAACCAAGCGAGTTACAGAAGACTGAGTTAGTTCCCCTCCTTGTTTTTGATACGCCGTCAAAATTCCCTCAACGCTGTTTTCCCCGATTTGCGCCTGGAAAGGCAAAACCTATCGGCACAGCATTACTGCTATAAATATTGCCGAGGGTAAATAACGGAATTATTATTATTATTAGACACATTGAGACTCTTACAGCTCTCTGTAGTTACATCTTGAAGGCCTAAAATTTTGATTCTTAAAAGCGTGTATAGATTTAGCCTCTTTGACTCCTCTCTTGACACAAGTTTGACCAAATTACGGGACTCAAATAGGTACCCTTTGTTCGGGCACAGATTCACTTTGAGAAAGATTAAGCTACCTGCAAAAGAACGAAACAACTCCCAACATTGTTGGGCCAACAAAGTTGTGAGTTGTTGCGTTCGTGTTGGCAGTGGTGTGCAAACGGATGCAACACCTCCCAACAATGTTAGGACCTGCAGTGCATCGGCGTGAGAAGGATACAGACCATAAGACCTCAATGCGCGTGTGTGGCCCCAACCATGTTGGAACAGCTATGCTTTACGGATCCAACATTGTTGGGCTACGCTTCGGCGATCACACAACAAAAGAAATTTTGAGAGTTGTTAGCTCAAAAGTTTTACTGGTGTCAAACTTTACGCAACAACTCCCAACAACACGCAATAACATGCAACAGAGTGTGCAAAAGGACGCAACATATGACAACCAACAATGTTGCATCCGTTTGCAAGGGGCTTATTATGTAAGAGATTTACGAACACAATGGGCGCAATTCAAGCACGACGTTTGTCTCAAGGCTGCACCAACCATGACGTAAACACGACAGAAATTGTCGAGTCCAATCACTTGTAATTCAAAGAGTTGTTGTACCATTGTGTCTAAATTCACAAGAAATATAAAACTGTCCCCTCATCAATCAAATTATAAGCCTTTAGACCATTCTTATAACATAAGAGAAATCATATAATTTCACGCTATATTCTTTAACTTTTTTCACCTCCCTAAAATTACATGAAGCTCCTTTGTGTACGGCCCTGGTTTTGTACATGTAAGGCCCGTTTCAAACGTCGTGCTACTGCCGTGCCGAACTAAACGATCGACGAATTAAGTTCGACTTTAGTACGGCAGTAGAGCGGCGTTTAAAACCAAGTCGTGCTGCTACCGTGCTGAACTCAATTCATAAATTATGCATACATTAGAATACATTTAAAAGTTTCCTAAATCGTTTCTTTATTTTTGTGTTTTGGTTTCGGCAACAACCTTTCTATTCGACTGAATTAAATTCGACGTCTAAAACCAAGTCGTGCTAGTGTTGTACTACAGTCGAGCCAGCTTAGCAAGGCAGTAGCACGACGTCTGAAACAGGCCTAATATTGTCAATATCAATAGCACACAAAGAACAAGGAAGTGAAATTTGATGCCTAAGATTTCCCTTTAGGTGAGTTTAGTTCGTTTTCCTGACATGAACTAAGAAGAACATCTATAAGCGTTCTCGTTTCGTAACTCCAAAGACACAACACGTCCGACATGACTCTGTTTACCCGCCTAAACTTGTTTTGTTCATAGATATCACGGCACCATATTAAATAGAAGCAATGGAATACCAACTATTCACGCATCCCTTCCACTTCCCCACTCTTTCGGTCGCCAAAGACTTACCGTTATGTTTAGTGCGTAACCCAAAAGTTTCGTCATTTCAATTTAAATGATTGGTCGAGCGTAAAGTTTCCCTTGACAAGGATTATGCATATCCTTTGCGATATCAATAACAATTTCACATACCTCCAGGTAGGGAGGGCTAATAAAGCTTGATTCGTTCATATAAAGGTAAATAGACACCTGCCCGATCATCATTTGACGGCTTTCCCCCAGGTACATTACCCAACTTTAGCGTCGATCGTATGAACTCTTACATGTAAATTTCGGCTTTTCAAATTATAACACTCGTCGACTGTCATATTAGTACACAAATCTGACCGCGGTCGCAAAATTAAACGCAAATTTTAAGGCCGTTCTTGAAATCTGCACACCTCATGAAAGTACAACAAATAAGAGCTTTTAAAAACGTCTCATATATAGGGGCGATAAAGATAAAGATAAAGACCTTGAAACTTACCGGACGACTGACCATTGAACCGTCTGGAGTCTTCGCTCAAGCAAGCTTACACCTTCCCCAAACGTAATATTTTGTAAAAGTTAAGTGGAAATGCTTAAAATGCTTGTGCTGCCTTAAACACATGACATTTTCTACGGAGAGAAAGGCTACGGAAAAGCTTGTATGCTGCCAGTTTTGTAGTATACGAGTATACTACAAAAAATATGCACCCACAGTACAGGAAACAAATTGAAACCTAGCTGGAGGGAAAATTCCCGAGGAACGATTAATTTCTGAGGGGGTAGTACATGGGAATTCATATTTAATTGTTTTCTCTCAGTTGTACTGAAGAGGGGAGTAAACTATGATATCACCCATTATCCATTTAAAACTGTTTTAAAATTGTGTGAAACTGATCGGTTATTAAATTGCAAACAAACAGCTTTGCGTCTACCTCTTTACGTCGCCCTGTCTCTTTAGGTTTGTGACATGCGCGTTGCTCAGCGACCCTTATGACAATCTTTGTACCTTATTATGAGTGTTTCTGTTTGCTTGCCCTTTCGCTAACTGAAATATTGGCCATGTACATGTAATACAAACGAAAACTCTTCTTTCCTTTCACGAATTCCTTTGCACTAGCTATGCATAGTTTTTCCACATCTAAATGAAAAGCCCGGGTTAGCAGGAAGTCGTGGCGCGTTTGGCTGAGTGTGTGCCCCAAGACTACTCTTTGCTTTTTTCTTATTGTATTGGATTCAATGTTGCATTCCAAATTAAAAACACCTGGACGTTTTATTCCTTTTATTGGTTAGTTATGTGAAACTTTTGCGCCTTTTAAAGACAACAATGTGGTGATTACGACCCTGATGTGCAGATCTAAAAAAAATCTGTAAAAGCGGCAAATTGAGCATTATAAAAGTCACCTCCAGTCTTTTCCGCGCGTTTTCGTTGTGTTCCCTTCGTCGGGGACGATTACTATAATAGACTTCTGCCTTTGCTGATTTTCACCTCGTTCTAGAAAAAAGGTTGGAAGCGTCTTCATTCTCCACGCTAGGTGCCCGCGCGCTCACGTCAGGCATGTGATTAGAGAAGAGAACTCGACAACAAATAACGGAATGTCATTCGTAAAGGTTTTGACCTTAATTTCGTTGTTTTCTCTTCAGTCATTAACTGTCTTTAACATTGGCGTTCCATTTTCCCTTGGTTTTTCCACTGCTCTCTAACTGGCCAGCCTGTCTGTCATTATGGAAAGGACCCTATACTTCTGTGATAGAAATTTTCTTCCAAGTTATGCCTAACAATTTTCGAATTTGAAGGTCTAGTTATGCACTAAACCAAGAGAGGATAAAGGGGACAGAGAAGGCATACCCCATACACACCCTAGTCCCAAGGTAATTCGCCTCGAGTTATTCTTAGAATCGGGATGAAGTTACCTCGCGCAAAGCGTGGATGTTTCGTGGAGGTTACGCATGACTAAACGCCGTGCAAAACATGTCGGGCGAAAGGCAATGAAAGCGTAAAGAGATCGAGAGCATTCCTGAATATTTACGCGAAATGAGTCGGCGCTCACCTGGGAAAAGGGAATCGCTAGACTCTTTGACAACCCGTGAAATCAGTTTAACTCGAAGTTGTCGTAACTTCAGTGCTTTAATAAAATGAGAAATTTCGCCGGTCTATTTAAACCGGTCGTTTGTATAATAAAGCAAGTAGGACACCAAGTGTTATTTTTGTTGAATAATGAAAGACTAATACAAGAATAAATATAAAACCAGAAATTGCTCTCTTCAAACTGTAAATTATAATGATCCTCAGAGAATATTCAGTGTGTTAAGGATTTCTCTACTGTACTGTTAGCTCTATACAAGAGAGGAAGGGCGATTCTTTTTAATTTCCGTTTCGCCGACACAGCTTTAGCAGAAATCTCTTTGTTTTCGTTTTCGTCAACAAAACGAATAGCAATATCGCTCTCCGCGTCTTCCGCCATTTTGTCCTGCGTCGATTCGTGAAGGACGCGTGGCTCTGAGTGTGGGTCATCCACGCGGAACACATTCGCGCTATGTGAGTGGCTGTTGTCTAATCCCCCTTGGGATCTGTGGTCTTAAAAATAACTCGAGACGAATTACTTATGGAATAGGGTGTGTATGAGGGATGCCTTCTCTGTCCTCTTTATCCTCTCTTGACTAAACAGATTCTTATTTGCTCTTTCCCTTTCAGCCTATCTATTTCTAAGTCTCTTGTGGTCACAGAAAGTTAATGTTTAATGGAAGAAGATTCAAATCCCTTCAAGATATACTAAAGAACAGAAATTCTGATAGAAGAGGAACTTCATCAATTAAAAGGCAGAGTTTAATCTCTTCTGAACAAGATCAAGTTTGAGCTATATACTGTAGGCTTTAATAAACTGTGCTCTCAAAAGTAGCATAACATGCTTCTAGTGCTCGTATATGCTAATAATTATGCTAGAATATTATAAGAGAATTTCTGGGAATAAACAAAAATAGGTACTAAAAATCTTGGGGATAAAAATGACTAAACCCCGAGTTTGTGTTGTGTCCTTTCTGTTTGCTTCTAGAGCCATTTCGAGGCCGTTTTGGTTATTTTGAGTTGTACATACCATATCAGACATACACGTGTTAAGGAAGTCGGGAGCCTTATTTCTCATTATTCTACATTGTACTCATTATCAGTCTTCTCATTGGCTAAGAGCCTATAGCTAATTTTGGAAATCAGCGCAACTTACAGATTAGTTAGTTCTCTGCTAGTAAGTGACTAATCTATAGGTTGCGCAAGCCGCAGTGCATGATTACCAATAACAATTATATCAATAGGTCATTTCCGAGTTCCAAAAAATCTCACTTTCAAAACGAGGCTAAGTGCGAAACCTTTGTTGTGAAAATGAGTTTTATTTGCATCACAATTAAAAATCATTTTCATATCAATGGCTTCACACTTAGCCTCTCTTTGAAAGTGAGATTTTTTGGAACTCGGAAATGGCCTATTCAGTTTCCTTACGACGGTGCGTTTGTCGTTGTTTTCTTCAGAACAATGTATAATAAACAAATATTAGATATTCAGTTTTTGTGATATCTTAAATAATTAAGGTCTCAGTAACAGTTATTCGCCTCGGCCTTCGGCTGGGCTGATAACACTTACCTTGACCTTGTTTAGTTCAGATATCACAAAAGTCGAATCTAATAACTGTTTATTGTGAGAACAGTAGCTCATGCCTCTCTCAAATTCATTATCATCCTAGACAAAAAGTTGAATAGACTTGCCCTTTCAAGAAGATTTGTAGAACAGAAATTTCAAGAAACAAAGAAATGTTTAAGTAAGAGGGAACAGTCAGTTTGCTCAACCTAGTCATTACTGAGTTTTCTGCGTTGGAGCACCTGTCAAACTGCAAAATCTCCAAAGTATCCACTGGGTTAATGTAGGATGAATTTAGGTTTGGGGCAACTATCCACCTACCCAATGTCAGCTTAGGGGAGGGGTAGGTGAGCAGTTTCCCAGAGACCTAAACTGATCCATCTTGTTCATAAGACATTCCTTTTTCAACATCGTATTTCTTCCTTGCTCTTCCTCGCGAAAGAAGGCGGCAACAATCGGGTGAGCATGAAGTCATGCTAAGTGAAAGGATTTTGACTGTTTGAGTTGTTAATCCGGTAAAGCCTTTAACAGCCCTAAGATTGATCAGCATCAAATTTCTCCTATCAATGGCTTATCTGAAACACATTCATCACGTGAAATAAGAACGCAACCACACAAGATGAATTCACCTGCTGCCTGCTTTAACTATTTCTCCCCTGCACAATGTTTTCTCTCTCCCCCTCGTCCCGCGCTCCACGCACGTCTCTCGCGCTTCTCGCTAGACTGTGTCTTCTCCATTAATCAGACCGGCGACAGGATTTTCATGGGCGAAAGTTCACAAAGAGAAATTCTCGTCTTACCGGTTAGTCGCCCATGTTTTTCGCTATCTTCGGCAAAAATTTTGACAGTTGACGAGATCCTGGCAGATATTGTTTGGAAGGGATGATATCAAGCTACTCCGCAGATCTCCTTGGGGCTTCGACGCTCGTGGGAGGCTAGCTACTCCTCGGATTGAAAATATCGAGTTTCAACAAACCGGGAAGGAACCCTGCCTTCCTCTTTTCTATTATCGTAAGCTTGGGTAGAAATACGGAAAATATTTTTCATGCAGAAGTGACCAATCCCTCCCAAACAATTTTTCATTTCCGGTCATTTGATTGTTCAGAGACTTTTATACAGACTTGGAAGATCGCATATGTGATAATGTGATCTCTCCCAAATTACTGACGAATCTTCTGCTATCCTTTACAGGTCAGTAAATCTTCCGGATAAACATTCTATTCACCATTTTCACATAGACCATAATGCATCTTGTTAGTCCCCCAAAATAGTGCATAACCATTGTTTCCAATTTCTCCTAGGTAACATGGGTATTATAGCCGTCCCAAGAGAAAATGAAAACAATGGTTATGCAACTTCCTTTTTGAAGGAGGGGGGTAAAGAGTAAACAAGATGCATTATAGCCTATGGGAAAATGGTGAACTCAGTATTTAGCGGTATTTGCCAGTAGGGTTTGGGGTCTTTCAGCATTGAAAAAAATATATACACTTTCCTTATTGTAGAGATGACTGCTGCTTACATCAACCTTCTACATCAACCATAAACACAATCATTTTGGGGCTGCGTCGAGTTGTGTTTTATGATGGCTCTAATTGGCTAATAGCGATGAGAGGAGGGGTTGGGCTACAAAAGGAAAGTCTACAGATTTCAGATTTATACCAGAGCTTGGTATCTCTCAGATTGCTTTCACGGCTCTTCTTCTGTTAAGGGTGCTTATCGCAAATTAACGCTAAAGGAAAGCCTTAACCTCGTTCCCAGGATTCTCTCCTACCCGTTCCTACGTCACTCCGTAGGGACGGGTAGGAGAAAACCCTGGCAATGAGGTTGGGAAAGTCTTTCTCCCTTTTACTTATACTTCGCCTATCAGCTCCCGTCTTACGGCTAAAGTTAGTGAATGATTTGGGCGAGATAAAAGGGCTAGGAGTTAAAACGAGCTAACGTTAGCTCACGCTTCAAGAAGACCTCTCCACTGTGGGTCATTGCTTGGAATTGGCGAATCCAGTTCAGATATTTTTTGACAGGTGCGAAGATAAGAAACGGTTTTCCTCCAGGGTTGTCGTTTCATTCACTGTGGTCTTTCGCTTTACCAAGGTAACAAGGAAAGCCGCAAACATTTAGAACAATCAGTTACCTTCCAAGTTGGAATGGAATCAATATGAAATCCTTTCAGTCAACTGATTTGTGTCTGGTTTCAGAGTCCCAAGGCATTGACCACACGCCATTTTCACACTAAAAATTGGTTGGTGCTCAAAACCCGAGCTTTTCAATCTCTTTATGGTGGTACCTCACCTGATAAAACAGATTTTGTGCGCTTTACTCTGCCAACGACACATCACTATACATATTTCGTAGGATGTTGCAAAAAGAGATTTGTATCCCTGTATCAGGGGTAAAAGGGCTAAAGAGAGAAAAGGGAGAACACTCTAAGGCTGACACTTGCTGGTACCAAAGGGCGGTCCTTCTTGAGAGATTTGACTGTTTCGTTAACAAATTGCACGGTATTTTATTTCTTTCCTTTTTCTTTTGAAGACTTAAAGAGTGAATTAAGGGATTAAATAAGCAACTCTTTCATGTTCAGCTGCATTCCACGCTCAAATCTCGAAATATGTTAGTTAACATCTTATGTTGCGTTGCGAAGTATACTATGAACCTTAATTTAAGACGTCTTTGCAATGCCGAAAGGAAGGAAGCTGAATTAGACCCGATCAAATTAGATGTACCATTGCAAGGAATTTTAACGTTTAGTTTTTAATCATTTATCTTTTTGTTTTGCTGCACGATAACAATCAGATACTGCTTAAAACTACAGATGAAACTAGCGTGCTGAGAAAACACCATCGCGACACTGCTCCTTTAACATTTAAGGCCTCGTTGCTTTCTATAGTAGCAGAAAAACTCACAGATTTCAGCCTTGTAATTAGTTTTCTCTACAAATTTTAGGGAACAATTGTATAGTGGGACATAGATATAATGAACCTCTATATAACGAAGTCCTTGGTATAAAGAATGATTTTCTTTACCCGGTAATAGTAAAATATATGCATGGAAAAGAACTTCAACAAAACGAAACCGCGTGAAAGCGAAAAAATTTTGCCAGTCCCTTGGCTCTTTGTTTTGTAGGTTCCACAGTACTTTATTTGTCCGAAAAATGAAACACAACATGATACATGAGATTGACCTTGCTACAGTTTATCATAGAAATAAATTGTCCACTTGCTTAGCACCGCCGTAGCCAGTATGAGGCGAACCGAGGCACTCGCCTCGGTAAAATTTTACCAAATACTGTCGATTTTTATTTTTTTTATCAGACTGATAATATTAGAAGATTTCATACGGCTGATTTCGTACAACGGACCGTGTGTTCGCCTCGGTTGTAGTTTCTTCCTGGCTACGGCCCTGCTTAGACTGCTAGTCTCCCACGCAGCCGTGAGTTGTTTCTTCGCGGAAGAGAATTAAAATACCGCTTCTTTTACTCAAACGGGCATTATTTGGGTGACTTCAGGCAGGCGATATCTAAGTCTCATTTACTTTGCTCACAGTCAGATGAAGTTGTAGAAAGATCGACAAGACTTTGTTTCATACCATCTCTCTGCCTTTTGGGGACATAGTTTCTTAATTAATTTACGAGACCCTGATTTCTTCTTGTTTGTCGAGAGTGACGTCATCGCCTATAAGCGTAAAAGACGCCCAGTATTTTACATCGCTGAAAGTCTCGGATTCTCTTAGACATTTCATTGCGTGGTTAAGAGACTCGCTCGCACTTCGCCCTTTAACTAGGTTATGGTAGAAGCTTTTCATGAACTCCAACGTGGCCTTGTCATCGATGGCCCAAAGGGACACCAGAACAGAACGAGCACCAGCACCAATAAAGGCACGTGCAATACCGACCACGCCTTCAGCTTTGATGTCTCCTCGACCACTGTGACAGCAACTAAGTACAACTAGCTTGGCTCGCAGCTTCACACTCATCACATCTGCCATTGTCAACATGTAATCCTCTTCTGCAGGGGTCTGCGATTTCCTTTCAGGATTCGGGCTCAACGCTATCTCTCCGGTTTTCATGTGTCCATGTGCAGCAATGTGTACTACGGCAACCGAACTAATCTGTTTTAGCACTTCACATTTGGTGGCTAATTTTCCAATGAAAGGTGCCGTATTAAGAATCTGCCCGATCATCTGTGCTTCTTGTCTGGCAAAAGGAAGCTGCTCCAGGATCTGATCTCCTTGGCTGTTAGTAACTTCACTCATGTCTGGATCTCCTACAACTAGAGCTCCACTTCTGCTGTGGAATTTTGGACAATGAGAAATAATTTTCAAACTTGTCAGGGAAGGAATTAATCTGACTTTGAAGGATTCACACAGGTATTTGGAAAAAGGATTCAGTAATGCAGCAAACGGAGCAAGCCATAATGGACCATCTGGGACAATGATTATTTCATCGCCATCAATTAGATCTAATATCGGGGCAATCACATAGCTGTACAAAGCTGACAAGGGATGAATATCTTCTTGGAGAATGGGCTGTGAGTTCTTTTTGGATGACCGCTCCACACCAGAGCAGTCTTCGCGTAACACATCTAAAGACCGATTCTCGCAGTTAACATTACCACGAACACCAATGTTTTCGTAGGCTAATTGAATTAAGGACTGTAATGTTTCAGCTGCAAACTTTGCACAATGATGGCCTATTGTCTTCCCCCGGTGAAGAACAGGTTTCTCTTTCGAAAGTAACCAGATATTTACTTTGTTTTCGTGCACGTTTACAGCTAAGAATACGGTGCTTGATGAAGTGCTGTTCATGACGCCAAATTCCTGTTCTTCTAGAGGTTTTCCTCTGTAATGGCAGTATTGACATTCTTTTAAACCATACTGAGAAATCATAAGATCAGCTAGTGACTGGGCCCGACCTTCTTCGGCAGCAGCCAGAGCTTCACTAATCTTTTCTTGTTTTAACAGGCATCTCCACAGATTTATGTAAGCAATGTTACATTCGTTGCGAAAACCAATCTTCCATTGATCTTCAGACTGGAGAAGCCCTCTTATTTCATTAAACACTTTAACGCTTGATCGGTAATTTTCGACTGCTGTAGGAAGACTTCCCATCAACTCGTAGCATTGGCCAAGACCATGGTACGCAATAGCAGTCCCCATTTTATTTTCAAGCTCTTCATAAATTCTAAGCTGTTGTTTGAAAAGTTCTTCAGCTTTTTTCCAATTTCCAAAACACAGGAAAACTCCACCTAAACTGCCATAGGCATCCCCTCTCCCAGCCTTGTCTCCCAGATCTTCAGCAATACGGAGACGAAGGGTGTAATATTCAAAAGCTTTACCATAATGACCAAGTTTTTCATAAGTTTTGCCGAGATGAAAATACGCGCGTCCTTCCCCAGCCTTGTCTCCCAGACCGTTTGCAATACTAAGGCGCTGTTTGTAGTAGTGGAGGGCTTTCTCGAAATTTTGAAGACCGGTATGAGCGTTTCCCAGATTGCCATTTGCAACTGCCTCACCAACTTTGTCTCCAGTAGTTTTAGCAATCCTAAGTTGTTGGCTATGGTAATAAATGGCTTTTTCGAAATCCCCGAAACTGTCATAAGTAATGCCAAGACCACCATACGCCTCGCTTTCTATGACCACGTCTCCGACATCTTTGGCAATATCAAGGGAACTTTTGTGGTGCTCTATGGACGCCTTATAGTCTCCAAGGTTGTGAAAAATTTGGCCAATCATGTTGTATGTTTTTCCTATCTCACTTTTGTTTCCGATTTTTTTGGCATAGTCAAGACTCCGTTCCAGGTAGCTGATCGCGGTTTTAGTATGTCCAAGAGCATGAGAAGCATTTCCTAGTCCTCCATATGCAATGGCTATTTTTTCCTTGTCGTTCAGATCTTCGGCATTGCTCAGGGCACATTTGTAATAATCCAGGGACTCTTTGAAATCACCAAGGCGTAACAAAGCGTCACCAAGACCTGCATACGCATTTCCTTCCTCAAGCTTGTCCCCTAAGCTTTTAGCAGCGCTAAGAAGTAGGTTGTAGTTGACCACGGCTTTTTTATAATCACTAAGACCGGCATAAGCACGAGCAAGATAGCTATAGGTTTTTTCCTCCAAAACTTTTTCTCCCATTTCTTTGACATCACCAAGAACAATGTTGAGATATTCTATGGCTTTGTTGAAATCATCTGGACGTTTAAAAGCAATGCCCGATCTCATGTAAGCCTCGGCTTCCAAGAACTTCATGATCCATGAATGCTTTATATTTAAGAGCGTCTTGTCAAACTTGTCAATCTTAGGATAGTCAAGACATGTAACAAGGTTTGTTTGAAGTTAAAAAAAGAATGGGACGGATGACTTTGCCAGAGGTTATTTAGGAAAGGACCATTAGAAAACTGATGGGGGGCAGGGGGGTTGGGGGTGTGTCAAGGTTTTTTTCTTATAGTGACACGCGCGAAAAGTGAGTTTTTTTGCTTCGCTGCTCGCGGCTTCGGTGTCTGTTCGACAACGAATCCCGCCATACGCGAGAAAAAACCTCTGGTACCCTGGGTATTAGAATGACCACGTGTTTTGGTAGGAGGGAAAAACTTCAGCCTGAACTAGAGAAGAGAAGAGAAAACAAATTTAGAAACTGATCAATAGCTCTTAAAATAACAAAGTATATTAAGATATTTGACTTTATAGCTTATAAACACAGCTGAGTTTTTAGCTCCGATATTCTCGAAGAAGATAATCAAATATTCAGACTTGGACTTTTTGCGCTAGGAGTTAACGCCATTCTGCAATATTTTCTTATGTTTTGATCATTTCTCAAATTTAAAATGTTCCTAAATCACTAGTGAGATACAAATAACTTTCACTTATAGTCAGTTGCATAGTTTAAGCTGTAGTGTCTGGACACCAGCGTTTCTATCAAGACATTGCACATGAGTACGCTCTGTGTAAGACGTTAATAAAAGGATTTACACAGTGTTCTGTGAAATGCAGGCATCTCAGCATACGATTTTCATGAAAAAAAAACTTACATTCCCTGCCTAGTGGTGGCATAAGAGCAAAAGAAAGGCGCCATGCCGTCTAGGACAGTCATCGTGTAAGTTACATCAATTAAACTTTAGTATTGTGAGTCATAAGTGTAAACTTGAACAGTGAAAGTCACGTTTAAAGAACAACCTCTGTAATAAAACGAAACAGCGTCATTTTCATTTATCTTAATGACTAAAACGTGTGAATGAAATTTTCCGAAAAAAATTCCTACAAAGGGTTGCACTTAAAAAAAAATTCTTGCACAGGCAATCGGCCAGTAAAAAGTTCTTGCAAGGCAAAAAACCCCACCCCTCCCCCATAATGGTCTGTCCCTTAACAATTTAATTAGGAGCTTGAAGCTTTCCAGGAAGAAATATTAATAGCAAAAAAGAAAACATCAATTTATGAATTATCCTGGATCACAGCACGAGATTCTCGCGCTATGCAAATCCTTATTAATTAAAGATTGAACAGGTGTCGTTTACTGCGCTACCAGTTGCTCTCTAGATGTGATTATAAGGATTTAGTTGATATAATTGGTAGAATTGGGCTGTTTTCCTCATAGATGCAGGCTTTTTCTTTATTAGCGGAGAAAAATCAGGTTTAACATTTGATACTTACAAATTATGAGCATTGTAAATGGTGGACGGCGTCATGGAACCGACCGCAATTTGGTAGTTGGACGCGGTTGATAATAATAATTTAACATCAGAGACAAAAAACCACAGGATGAACTAAGCCTTTTACGTTTCCTTTAGGAAACAGTATAAGTAAAATTCTTTACAGTGAAACTTAAAGGATCTACCCTTATTTGAGAAAGGAGAATGTCATTATGGGCAAAAATGGACAATATAATAGAAATACGGTTGAAGTAGTTTTAAAGATCAATTGCAGGCAGTAAAGGATACTGAAAGCCCTTGCTCACACCATTTCTTAGCCTCTTCAAACTTCTTCAACTTCACACAGGTAGTCGCTCCTACGTGAAATTGAGACATGCCACTGAATTCTATCTTACACGTCTTTATAACTCATCAGCAGTCCTTTAGAAAGCTACATGTTTTAATTGTTTCTAAGGGTTTTAGTAAAATACGATCATGGCTACGAAGTTTTTGGAACCCGGCCATGAGATATATCTTGTATTCTTAACTCACATGGAGATGGACGAGCCCTGTCCTCCTTTGTTTCCTGACCTTGTACTGATTTCAGGTTAACTTGAACTATGGTGGTCCTATTCTGAACGTGAGTTCCAAATGCCCATATTTTTTAAAACAAATTTTAATGTATAAAGAATTCAAGATTTAAATGGTAGTGATGTTATCTCCATTTAAATCAGGGGTATAAAAGGTTTGGTGTAAAGAAAGTTTTGGGTTATAAGACTTCTCATTGTGTAGCGTGATAAACTGTGTTATAATCTATTCTCACCTCTGACTATAGCCTTTAAGTAAGTGGGATGTAATGATACTGCAACCTTGTAGTCACTAAGTGAATCCTCATAATTTCCTGGAAATAAAAAAAAAACAATAATAAAAAATAATAATAATTTTCACCTATGAAAGAATGTATCTGTATACGTTATTCACTTCAGAAGTTTGTAAAAGAAGAACTGGTGTGTCGGGAAAAAGAGAGTCACAAGAGTCATGTTAATCACATTTCCTGGCTTGATCTCACCTGCATCATGATAGGCGTGGAGAGGGGAGGGGGAAGGAGGGAAAAGGGAGTTATTATGCAAAATAACTGGCTTCGTATAGCACGCACTCCTTTCCCTTTTCCATTTTTTCTCTCCCTCCCTCTCTGTATTTTGCGCCTGCCACGCAGGACATGCTTGGACTACCGGTCACTGAGAACTCGCTGGAATTAAGTTTCAGATCAGTTAATGCACAAGATCCTATGTGCTAAATTGTCATCAGATACCGTAGTGTTCAAGAGGGTAATGACTGTGTTGAGGTCCATATCATTTTTTAAAATTACAATATTTCATCACTCCTTTTAATTTAATCTTCTATGATCATTTTTGTTTTATTTTGTTTTGTTTATTGTTCTTTTCATTCCTTAAGGTTGAAATTAGTTTTTACAAGAAAACAAAAATACTCTACCCGCATAAAAGTGTGCGGTCGCCCTGTTGTGGTAAAGCTTGGCGTTTAGTTCGTCATCCTGGCTGTTCACATTGATTCCTTCCGTAGAAGTAAACGGCTTGAACAAAATCATGTTTACCGAAACCTTTGTTACCAGCACCCTTGTGCACTTCTGCTACTGTTGAAAAAAAAAAATTAAACCAGGATAAGAAATCTGCGAATCAATAAACAGTAAGTACATTTGTGAAGTTGAAAGTATGCAAAAGGTAACGAGTACTTACATGTCCTCTTCATTTCCAAAAGATCCTTATTGCCATCGTCAATCTTAAAAGAATTAAGGTGCTTAAAATGTATATTTGCTGTGGAATCCAAGCGTGGAATCCAAAATCTAAGACTCTCTTGGATTCCCTTGCATGGAACGATTGGAGAGATCTCACTGTCTCATCAAAAAATTGTACGGTCTTTTATCTCTTGCCTTTTTCTTTTGGTGACTTAGGAAGTGAATTATATTAAAGAATTAAATAAGCACCTTAAAACTAATTTTGTGACAGTTAAGTCTACTAAAAAAGGATATAATTATCAGTGAATATTCAGCTTAGAAACATGGATGGAACGTACTATATACTCTCTCGTTCGCAAAGACCAGATAGAAATATCATATCTCATGTATTTGCACACGAATTTCCAGAAATATCGGGATCGTATAGAAGTTAAGGCAGTTTTTATTTGTGAAGATCAAGGTCGTTGAACAGTCAGGTGCAACAATAAAGAGCGTATTACAAAGGTCAGATCCTTTCAGAGAGAAAACATGCCCAAACGTTGAATACTTCGTCTGCCGAAATAGCGGAAAGGGATCTTGCCGCAGTACTGGTTGGAGTTATTTATGAGCTAGTATGTCAAGACTGCAAGAATAAGTATGTTGGGGAAACATCATGAAGCGCCTATACCCGCGGGAAAGAGCACCTGAATGCACTGGAAAGACGGGAGGAGAGTTCGGTAATGTGGAGACACTCATGTCACAGGCATGACGGAAACATTCCTGACTTTGTAATGAATGTAACGGGGACATTTCATGACGACGCGATGTTAAGACAAATCACAGAGTCTGTTGTGATTAGTAAAATCTAATGAACTCAAAAAGTGAATGGAACTACAACCCTGGTCAAAACGTCTTGGGACACTTGAGGAAATTAGACAAAAAGACGCACTTTGCTAAATTAACTCATATTCTACCTCTTAAAAAAGCTGTAGGATGTTGTTATAAGGGGCTATTTCTGCTGTCCCCCTCTCCCCCAAGCAGTGTTGATTGTGTTGAATTAAAACTTGAATGCATAACATCAACATTGCACCGAGGGGGAAGGGGGGAGGGAAGATGCCTCAATTTGACAAGCTATTGCGTTAGTGTCCCAAGAGTTTTGACCAGGGTTGTCTGAAAACCCCTTCTATAGGAAAACGAGTTTTAAACATTACGAAACTTAGAGAAAAGTTGTGGATTTGTAGGTATAGCGATCTTAAAAAAGTTACCAGGTGTTACCTTGTAAGTAATATTTATTGCGAGATCGGAGGCGAATAGATCAACGGTTTCGAATGCATGCTTAAGTATCAAGTACTCAAGGGCAAGAAACTGTGAAAACATTACAGCAAAAAGCATCGTGGAGCAGAGTGGGTTTAGCTTTGAAATGGCAAGTACAAAACATTTCCACATTATCTAAATGAAAATGGTTACGCATATTTACAAGCAGAGAAAAATGGGCTTCTAAGTGAAAACAATCGCAAGTTGAGTGTACGATTCGGTGCTCGCAAAAACCTGAAACGTCCAGTTGCGAAAAATCCTCTATTTTGGACGAATGAATCGAAGTGGCCTTTTATTTAGATGCCGTGTCCTTCGTCCACAAATACAACGAAACGTAAAAAATTCATTGATATGGCGTCAGAAGGGAGAAGGCCTTTGGTTTTTATTAGGTGATACTAATTAAGGTCCTAAGGACTTGGCTGACGCCCTCGCTTGTAGAAAAGGGGTAACACTAACTGTACCTTATGAGAAAATGAACGCCAATTTCTTCGCTCAGTTGAATAAGGAACCATTTTAATACAGCATTTGGTCAGGCAAGGCCGAAAAGAAACGCAAGAAGACTCTTTTTAATGGACAACGACCCAGACAAGCAAGCGTGCGAAGAAGGCCCAAGAGGATATACTGAGACTGATATGCGTCCATAATTATTTGCATAGAAAATTTAGATAACCAGATCAAATGTTACTTAGATGAAGAGGCTGTAACACAGATTTTGACAAAGGATTCATTTGAACTTGCATAAGTTTAGGAGTATTTGATGATTGATTATTTTCTATCCAGAGAATATCGATATTCTCATGTCAAGTGTGACTCACAGAATTGAAACTGTACTTGTGTCTAGAGGTCACCGAACAAAATATTAACTTCGAGTGCACTGTTACAGAAGTCCTCACTTTTTATTGTATTCCCCATGACTTCGTCAGTTGTTACTTTGCCTGAAGGGCAACTTCGTAGCCCTAAAGAAACTTTGATGTCGGTAGAATTCTTCTGTAAGTTACTTTTAGGAAACAAGGAATTGCGTGACAGTTGCTCTGAACAGTTCTCGCATCATTTCTCACTTGTTTTATTGGCCGTCTTGTATGAAATGCAACTCATAGGCAGCTCTATTCCTTAAAATACCCTCTTGGTAAAACTTCTCACTGTCTTAAGTTTCTTTTCCCTTCGTTTCTTGTACACAATAAGCAAGTTATGGGGCTTTTTAAAGATTTCTCACCTAAATGACTGTAAAAGATTAATTAAAACTCATTCCTTTTTTGTTAATTCTGAGGTGAGAAATGTTGAAATTTGTACATATTTCCTGGAAAGCGCGAAAAAAATGCCCGTTTAGAGGAAATGGGATCACACTGACTATATTTTCGCCATGATCGCGGTGCGAATCTCACATAATACGTTTGAAAATCACTTTTCTTTAGTGAGAAATGTTACTGAGAAATGTGTCAGTGTCTCAACGGTAGCGCCCATGACCAACGACTATAGGTTATGACATGTACCATTCTTTGCCTTGAATTTTCCAAGGATTCTACCTCTAAAATAAATTGATGAGCAGGTCGTTACTGTACCGAAATCACTAAACTGCTAGCACCCCTAAGAAAAACGATCGTTTGCATTTGAATTTTTGAATAGATCGTGTGACCATTCCGAGCGTCCCGTTTGGTCATGTGACCTGCCCTAATCAGTTTAAGTGAGTCGATAACAACTAAAATCAACTTCTTTTACTAAATTGTAGCACTATCTTTTCAAGTCGGAGTTCACTGTAAAACAAAACAAGCCTACGTAAATAACATGAAAACACTTTTACGTAGTTTTCCCCACAAATACACACACAAACCGTCTCACACATTTGCGTATACTACTGTTGCAGTTATAAAACCTTCCAAAATAACGCACAATTTAAGCAGAAAGTAAAGACATGGACTTTTGGGCAGTTATATGAAAACAGGAATAATTTGAGAACACGGAAAATGGTATAAGTCTGAATTTTTATTGTAAACCCATTTTCAGACAACCCTGGTCAAAACGTCTTGGGACACTTGAGGAAATTAGACAAAAAGACGCACTTTGCTAAATTAACTCATATTCTACCTCTTAAAAAAGCTGTAGGATGTTGTTATAAGGGGCTATTTCTGCTGTCGCCCTCTCCCCCAAGCAGTGTTGATTGTGTTGAATTAAAACTTGAATGCATAACATCAACATTGCACCGAGGGGGAAGGGGGGAGGGAAGATGCCTCAATTTGACAAGCTATTGCGTTAGTGTCCCAAGAGTTTTGACCAGGGTTGTACGTCTGCATCCCAAGGTCTGTTGTAACCCAAGAGCCTCATTACTAGGGGTCGTTAAAGTGTCTGTTATTTTGAATACTGTGGCGATCAACTGAAGGGGTCGTTAGACGAAACTAGTTTTGTGAATCGCCATATAAATTTAATAGAGTGTTGAAAGTGGAAACAAATTAGATTTTTTTTCTTTTGTTTACTGAAATATCTGTTAAGCAACTAAAGCAATTTACTACAAGTTAATTTATCCTTACATCTCATATGCAATTTTGGCTTGGGTTAGCTCCTATAGCTCGCACCTAAAAAAAGTGCAGATTAAGCAAAATCTTGTAGGTAGATTGATATTCTTTGTAAACACACATGGTAAATATACCGAGAGTGCTTTCCCATTGCTGAATTTGCTAGACATACTCACACATCGTTTATTCTCTGCATTCTTTAAAATTTACCGATCTCTGGCATAAAGGTTTACTACCCGACATATTTCTTGACTCCTTTCTTCATGCTCGCGATATCCATAACTATTGAACAATACTAGACATGCAACCAATCAAAACTCATATAAACCTCGTGTAAGAAAGAATACTGGCAAGAAGAATTCATTTAAGGCAATCGGTCGTTGGAAAAGCATTCCACAATACCTTAAAGAATTGAATGAGTACTGCACAGTACCGCAAATGATCCCGAGACCGCAAATGATCCCCAAAATGGACCGCAAATGATCCTCGACCGCAAGTGATCCCCAAAAATGACCGCAAATGATCCCGTGAAAATTTGAGGAATGGAATGGATTTTATGGGACTCATTACAAAAAAACTTTTTTCTCGCGCCTTCTAAAGAAAAAGGGAAGGAGGACGCTACATGCCAGGTCAATTTATACAAGGCGAAAAAAAAAAAAGCAGAATAAATCTGAAAAGGATATGGTATAATTTTCTTTCAAGAACTGTTTCGTCGCTGAAAATTTAAGACAGGCAGGAGGTTACGCAGAAAAAACTCATTATTTGAACGCCCAAGCTCAACTTGTCTACTGAGGAATACAAAGTCGGGCATCCTCTACATTACAAGAGCTTTATTGACTTTACTGATTTTTTTAGAAGTGTCGAATTAATTTTCAGAATATTTAGTTTTGATTTTTCTCTGAAGTGTTAATTTTACGTGATAAAGAGCAAGACATTGGTTCGTAACTTAGGATTGCCCCAGGCCTGGGAGTGCCCGTTACGAAACAAGACATGATTTGAAATAAACACACGTCAAAATGCCCCCGGACTTATCAATGTCCACAGGTTTCGGTTTATTTCGAAAGGGCAACTTGCTTACAGCTCATGAACATCTTGCGAATAGTTATATTGGCGCATGTATATCCATTTGTTGTGCCTTTGCTGGAGACAGTTACGAGGCAAGCGGTAGTTATCGCGTGACAAAACATCGCAGGAACCGTCACATTCACGGACTAAAAGAAAGTCGCTTATAATCATTCGGATTAATGAGGCTTTTTAAAGAAAATTAAACAACCTAAAACCCTTATTTAGCCGCAATGAAAAGCATTGCATTTCAAAAGAGGTCAAAAAGGAAATGCACTTGCATTAAAGGACAAATCATGCCGACCAGAAACAACAATAACCGCAGAAATGCGTGTCATGACCTGTCAGTATGAAATAAGCGGCAAAAATCAAATTTGCTCGGAAAAAAAGTTTTCCTTCAGAGGTATAATCTACCCACCAGAGAAAAAATTCATTGGAACAAGCATCATTTTAGCATGAGGTAAAAGTCGTGTGTTGCCTACCGACTTCGCTTTTACACTTCAATGATTTTTTCATTTAGTTTTTATTCATGTATTTATTTAAGAACTAAAATTTAGCGTTTAATCTTACTTTTTGTAATAATAATAAAATCGACACGATGATCCGCTAACTCGAGTCTAAACCATTCCAAATTTTTCTTTCGGGATCATTTGCGGTCGACTTTGGGCATCACTTGCGGTCGAGGATCATTTGCGGTCCATTTTGGGGATCATTTGCGGTCTCGGGATCATTTGCGGTACTGTACAGTACGCTTTTTTCAAAAAAAAAAAAATCAAACATCATCTAATGTTCGAGTAATACTTGTCTAAACCTAGCACTACCTAGTTCTGCCTAAACTCCCTTCTTTTAAAACTTATCTGTATTTATACGTTTGTATTTTGCTTAATTGTTATCAATTGTTGTTCGTTCTTTTCTTTTCTATTATTATGTTATCACTTACTTATTTACTTCAATTTTGATCTTTCTGGTTCATCGCCTGTATTTATTAATTGGCATTTATGGTGGCCAATTAGAAAACCTAATGGTTCACTTGGCCATCATACTCAAACTTTCAAATTAATTCTGTAGCAACATCTTCCCGTAAACATCAATCAAAGTCTCTAAACTAGCATTAGTCAAAATATTGAGGGAAAATAAGGTGAACTGAACTGAACTGAAGAAACCCCTCCATGTTCAGTAGCAGATAAAACAGACAATGCCGTGCCCGCCCAAGTCTAGAAGTTTTGTCAGTCTTTTCTTATGTTTCATCATCAAGTAAAGTCGAGTGTTCGAGTATCTACTAACAGCCACGGTCTCTACAACGGCCAATATTTTTTTTTTTGGCGGGCAAGCCAAACATTGACTCTTCTTTACACCTCTCGACGAAAGCCCCCCTCTCTACGACGGCCACTTTCTTCTTTCCCCAAGGTGGCTGTTGTGGAGAGGTTCAACTGTATACAACTTAATTTAAGGTGGCTGAACACAGTTTTGGCAGTTTTTGAGTGTATGTCATTTGCCAAATCGTGGCAAGAGAAAGGTTGAAGCTCACAAGCTGAAACTTGGCAAGTGAAAAATATACTAATGAAAGATTTTGAGTGACAGGCAAAATTTGATGTTTTCGTAGTTTACATGGCAACATGAACAACTGTATACAACCTTAAAATCAGATTACACAATATTCGCTCATTAGATTTTCCTATAAACTTGCACAAAGCTTACTATAATTAATCATTACCATTTGAAACTTATTTGACCAAATTTGAACAGACGGGTTTTCGTCTGTTCAACTTTCATTTTAAAGTCCTCATTATTTAGAATACGATAAAAACAAAAATTCTGCCAAATATCAAAAAATGGTAATGAGTAGATTTTGAGAAATCGTCTTCTGTGTACTAATGGCTTTTTCGCCGCCATTTTTGTTTGTCTAATTAAAAACACGCGCCTTCACGCGAGTTACCGCTGACCGCCTGCAAAACTGTGTTCAGCCACCTTAAAGGATCTCTGCCATGCGGAAATGAAGGAAGTGAATTAAAGCCCAACAAATTAAATGTAATATTGCAGTGTACCTTTTTGTTTCCTTGTTTTGTCTTCAGCTTTTCTACTGTTGCACAATATTGCTCAAAATTAAGCTGAAACTAGGCTAGTGTACTAAAAAAACACGATAAATCTGTCGGGACACTGCTCCTTCAACATTTAAGTCCTCGTTGCTTTCTATCGTAGCAAAAAACTCACAGTTTTCAGCCTCGTAATTAGTTTCTCTACAATTTTGACGGCCAATCACAAATTCTATGTTAGTATACTCCATTTGTGCAAAAGCTAAAACAGAACGTTATACATGAGATAGACCTTGATACAGGATATTATTGAAACATATTGTTTGTTTTCTTAGACTACTAGTCTCCTCGCAGCAGTGACTTGTCTCTTCAAGGAAGAAAAGGGATACCGCTTCGTGTAATTAAACCTGTATTACTCGGGCAACTTCAGGCGATATCTAATTCTCATTTACGTTGTCCACAGTTTGATAAACTTGGCGGAAGAGCGGCCAAAGAAAAGCATAAGATCGGATCATCTATCTGTCTCTTGAGTTTCTCTGGGAGCGTCTGATTTCTTGTTGTTTGTCGAGAGAGTGACATCATCGCCAATAAGTGTAAAAGGTGCCCAGTATTTTACATCGCTGAACTTCTCAGATTCTTTGAGAAATTTCATGGCGTGGTTAACGGACTCGCTCGCACTTCGCCCTTCAACAAGGTTGTGGTAGAAGTTTTTCATGAACTCCAACGTGGCCTCGTCATCTATGGCCCAAAGCGTTACCAGAACAGAACGAGCACCAGCACCCATAAAGACACGAGCAATACCTACCACGCCTTCAGCTTTGATCTCTCCTCGACCACTGTAACAGCAACTGAGAACTACCAGCTTGGCTCGCAACTTCACACTCATGACGTCGGACATTGTCAAGATGTAATCTTCTTCTGCAGGGATCTGTGATCTCCGTTTAGGATTCGGGCTCAAGGCGATTTCTCCAGTTTCCATGCACCCATGTGCAGCAATGTGTATTACCGCAACCGAACTAATCTGTTTTAGCACTTCACATTTGGTGGCTAATTTTCCAGTGAGAGGTGCCGTATTAAGAATCTGCCCGATCATCTGTGCTTCTTGTCTGGCAAAACGAAGCTGCTCCAGGATCGGATCTCCTAGGCTGTTGGTAACTTCACTCATGTCTGGATCTCCTACTACTAGAGCTCCACTACTGCTGTGGAATTCTGGACAATGAGCAATAATTTTCAAACTTGTCAGTGAAGGAATTAATCTGACTTTGAAGGATTCACACAGGTATTTGGAAAAAGGATTCAGCAATGCAGCAAAAGGAGCAAGCCACAATGGACCATCTGGGACAATGATTATTTCATCACCATGAATCAGATCTAATGTCGGTGCAATCACATAGCTGTACAAGGCAGACAAGGGGTCAATACCTTCTTGGGGAATGGGCTGTGAGCTCTTTTTGGATGACCGCTCCACAGCAGAGGAGCTTTTGCGTAACACATCTAAAGACCGATTCTCACAGTTAACATTAGCACGAACACCAATGTTTTTGTAGGCAAATTGAATTAAGGACTGCAATGTTTCAACTGCATTCTTTACAAAATGATGGCGGAGTGTCTTCTCCCGGTGAACAACAGGTTTCTCTTTAAAGAGTAACCAGATATTTACTTTGTTTTCGAGTACGTTTACAGCTAAGAATATGCGGCTTGATGAAGTGCGGTTTAACATGCCAAATTCCTGTTCTTCTAGTCGTTTTCCTCTGTATTGACATTTTTGTAAACCATATTGCGAAATCATAAGATCAGCCAGTGATTGGGCCCGACCTTCTTCGGCAGCAGCCAGAGCTTCACCAATCTTTTCTTGTTTTAACAAACATCCCCAGAGACGTATGTACGCAATGTTATATTCGTTGCGAAAACCAATCTTCCATTGATCTTCCGACTGGAGAAGCCTTATTTCATTTAACACGTTAACGCTCGATTGGTAATTTTCGACTGCTATGGGCAGACGTCCCATTAACTCAAAGCATTGGCCAAGACCATGGTGAGCAAGAGCTACATGGCGTTTGTTTCCAAGTTCTTCAAAAATTCTAAGCTTTTTTTCGTAAAATTCTTCAGCTTTTTCCCAATTTCCAAAATGCAGGAAAACCCCACCTAAACCGCCACAGGCATACCCTGTCCTAGCCTTGTCTCCCAAATCTTCAGCAATAAGGAGGCAACGGTTGTAGTAATTCTTGGCTTTCGTGTAGTTGTTAAAAGTTTCACAAATTTCGCCGAGATGAAGATATGCACCTCCTTCCCCAGCCTTATCGCCCAACTCTAAAGCAATGCGAAGGTGCTGCTCATAGTGGTGGAGGGCTTTCTTGAAGTTATTAAGGCTGAAATAAGCGTTGCCAAGATTTGCATTTGCAACTGCCTCACCAACTTTGTCTCCAGCTTTTTTAGCAATACCAAGTTGTTGGCCATGGTAACCAATGGCCTTTTCGAAATCCCCGAGACTGTCAAAAGCATTGCCAAGACCACCATATGCCTCACTTTGTCCGACCACGTCTCCGACTTCTTTTGCAATATCAAGGTGTCTGTTATGATATTCTATGGACTTCTTGAAGTCACCAAGGCTGTTAAAAATATAGCCAAGAGTGCTGTATGTTTTTCCCATCTCAATTTTGTTTCCTATATCTTTTGCGTAGTCAAGACTTAGTTCAAGGTAGCTGATCGCGGTTTCAGTATGTCCAAGAGCTTGGGAAGCATTTCCTAGTCCTCCATAGGCAATGGCTATTTTTAACTTGTCTGTCAGATCTTCGGCATTGCTCAGGGCACATTTGTAATAATCCAGGGACTTTCTGAAATCACCAAGGCGGAACCAAGTGTTACCAAGACCTGCATACGCGATTCCTTCCTCACGCTTGTCCTCTAAGCTTTCAGCAACGGTAAGAAGTAGGTTGTAGTAGACAACGGCATTTTTATAATCACTAAAATGGGCATAAGCAAGAGCGAGATAGCTATAGGTATTTTGCTCCAAAACTTTCATGATCCATAACTGCTTTATATTCAAGAGCGTCTCGTCAAACTTGTCAATCTTAGGATAGTCAAGACATGTAACAAGGTTTGAAGTTGCCGAAGAATGGGACGGATTACTTTGCTGAAGACTTGAGGGATGCACTATTAGAAAAGTGACGGGAGGCAAGGAAAAATGTCCCCACAAAATGCAAAGTGAAACCCAAAGCAAAAAAAATTTATGGACGGACGGACCCGCTATTTCTCATAAAAAAAGAAGATTTCCTGTGTGCCAGATACTTTTCTTGCCGTGTTTCCGGTTAACGTTTGTGACAAGTCTTTTTTATATGGTGACACCCACGAAAAGTGCCTTTTTTTGCGTCGCCGCTTGTGGCTTCGGCCTCTGGCCGACACCGAAGATTCCCGCGGTACGTGAGAAAAGAGTAAGAGCAAAAGAAAGGCTTCATGCCTTTTAGGACAGTCTTTGTGTAAGTTACATTAACTAAACATTATTATTGTTAGTCATAACTGCTCATAACTGTAAACTTGAATTGTGAAAGTCACGTTTAAAGTTAGCCTGAATTTCATCCGATTGCTTCGAGTCATTATTACTCCCTCAGTAACGTCTGAATCGACCGGCTGTTAATGCCGTCTCACTACCCGAAAAGCGGGTAGTGATTTTGATTGGTTGATTGTCTAAACATTCGCATAATTATGTATAATTATGAAAAATTTTCACGGGATTGTCGCTTGATATTCAGCGGATCGCATCCCTGGCATTCTTTTGTGCAGTTGAAGCATTTCGATGAGCTTAAAATTGCCCTTGTCTTCGAAACTGAAATGCTAAATTGAACTGCGAATGAAGAATCACTGCGGTAAATAAAAAGTGACAGGCCATTCACAGATCCCGCAAGCGTGTAGCCTCCCACGCAGGCGTTTTTAGGGGAGCTCGTATTTCTTCCCTCCCCACAAACGCCTGCTCAACAGAGGACAACATTCCTTTCCCACGCTTAGCCAATCACGTTGTACTTTCCAAATTCTGGAAAGTTGACCTTGACCGCAGGGTAACCCTATAATCACGCGATCTGCATGAAACGTTAAGAAACCTTCATGACCTCTAATAAATGTTAGTCTCAGAGCGGCAAAAGTAAGATTTACTCAGTCAGATTTTAGAATTCTCTGTGCACTGCATAACCTTAGCGAACGAAAGAAAAGAAGGAAAAAGGTAACTCTAGGGTCACGTTCTGGGCCACGTTTTTTCACTATCACGAGCTTATGAGTCATGTTTAGCCTGTCAACACTTTATTTAAAAACTGTTGATTGGTCACGTACCACGCGAATGCAACAATGGGAAAGGAATGTTGTCCTCTGTTGAGCAGGCGTTTGTGGGGAGGGAAGAAATACGAGCTCCCCTAAAAACGCCTGCGTGGGAGGCTAGCAAGCGTGTCGCATGAATGTAATTACTTATCTACACGTAGTGTGAAAGAGATTAGCTACAGTTTGGTTCTAACCAGTATATCTCTTAATGAAATGCCTCTCTTATAAGAAATAATTGGATTGGGTAATTTTTTTCAGTTACGGTTAACAAAAAAGTTAAAAATTAATTTCTTTTGTTTCAAAGAGTTAAATATTAATAAACCTGATTTTTTTTCTATCTTCAAAAGAACAATAAAGGTCTTTGGATCAACTCGGGATGAAATAAGCTATTCTTTTGAAAAATTTTAACATTTGATAGATCATACTTTTAATTTTATGAAGTATTTCACTTCTAATATTATTATACGCATAGAAATGTCAATAGTCAATTTAAAAGAATCTCTGTAAAAAGCAAAAGCAGACACGCGAACGCCCAACTTAAGGCCGGGGCGCGACATTCATTTTTAACAGAAATGGCTGTTTTAACACTAGAGACGGATTATTCGTTTGAGACGGGTTATCAATTTGATAATTCGGAGAGGGGTTTCTGTGGGGGAGGGGGCAACTTTACAAAGGCTGGTCTCAGACGGATAATCCATTTCTAGGCCGGTATAGTGTGAAAACGGCCAATGACAAAATTCCCGTGTCGAGTGTTTCTCATGATAGCGAAGGACTGTACAGAAGGACCGTCTGCCGTTGCCTTATCCATAGGCCTCTTTATTCCGCGCGGCTAATGCGTTTTGGGTCACGTGGTCCGAGCGAGTTTTTCTCTCAGCTACCCCACCGAAATGCCTTGACCGAGAAGGCTTGGGAAGACACCGTACAGGGACTAGGCATGACAATGTCTACCTTGGCGTCAGAGAAAAACGGGGAATTGTTGTTTATCGGCAACGTGTTTTACAAACAGTGACATCTCTGCGTGTTGTTTCACTAGTATTTCGAGGGCACGACCTCCTGAAAATCACAAATATTATTCCCCAGTGAGAAGCCAGATTTTCTTTATGGAAAAAGCATGGTTCTTCGAGAGAGAGGCGGAAATGCAGCATAGGTCTAGGTCAACACCTAAAAGGTGCTTGGCCTAACGTGCGTACGGAGTCAAAGTAGCCGGGAAATAAAAAACACAACCATAAGTGAGTTTAGCACCTTCCTTAAAATCAATCAAGAAATCTAGGGAACAATTTCTTTTACGGTTACCTCTTTCTTTCCCTATTTACGGATAACGGTTAAAATTTTTCAATTTTTACGGCTATCGAATAAATTTTTGGCCGTTTTACGCCTATCGGTTAACCCCATTAAGACCCTCTTGAGAGCTTTCTTTCTGTCAGAGAATTTTACTTCCGAGAGTGTTTTGTCTATAAGGTTGTTCGGGTAGCCTCTCGCTCGAAGGCGTAGTTTGAATATTCTTATGTTTTCTACTAAAGTCTCCTCTGAAGAGTTAGTTCTTAGTAGTCTCAGGCCTTCACCTTTTACGAAGCCTTTTTTGACTCCGGGTGAGTGACAGGATTTAAAGTGCGTGTACTGGAATGTCTCAGTAGGCTTGAAATAAGGACGCGTGTCAAGGATAGATTCCTTTTCAAATCTTGCTTCTTTGTAGATGCATGTATCAAGAAAGATGATTTCTTTATCAGAAATATCAGCAGCGAATTTTATTGTAGGGTGATAGTTGTTTGCATGTTCAATGAAGTTGTTAATTTCCTCTCTATTAGTGTCCCATAGGGAAAACACGTCATCGATATATCTCTTCCATAACAACGGCCTTGTACTGTGCTGATCGATAATTGTTGTCTCAATCTCAGCGACCGCGGAGCAAGGTGAAAAGTGGGAGGGCTGACAATTGAAAATATTTTTTTCATATTGAAAATCGAAAAAAGGAATAAAATCATAGTATTTGATTTGTTTCTGTCGCGTGACTTTGCATACTTTATCCAGTATTTGTTGCTCTTTATAGGTCGGCATTAGTGAAGATACCGAAATTCTTTATACGATTTTCATTCCGTCCAGCAAATGTGTATGCTAAATTACAGGACTCGGCTGACAATAAGTAGAATACTATAAATAGAATGAATATATAACCCATCACCAAAAATCCAATTGCACTTAACGAATATTAGTCAGAAACAAATAGCACTTCCAAAAAATGAAACTTTTAACAATATATTGAGATGATTACTGGTCAAACTCAAACTCACCATTTTCACTGCAAGTAGTTGTCGTCTTTTCTGCAGAGCTTACAGACTTTGACGAAGTCCCAGATAACTCTAATAAACGACCAACATACACGCTCCGTTCAGATTCAATGCAAGAAAAGACGCGATTACAATTTTAGCGTAGAAAATACTACACTGAAGTGATCTGAAAAATTTCTAACTATGGCCGTTGACTGTTCAAGTAATATAATTCTTCTTGCCATCGAATATTTCATTGATTCGAAAGGAGAAAGACAAAATACAAAACTTTTATCAACTCAAAACAACTACTCATCTTCGTTTGGCTTAAAAAAGCTAGCAATTTTCTTCATTTCGTCTGATAAAACTGATAAAAAACTCTGCCGGAGCTGGAAGTACAAAACACGCTGCCGAACGAAGCTCTCTGCTAACCTTCGCTCAGTGGGGACGGGTAGGCGAGAACCCTGGGAAAGAGGTAAGTGGAATCGCTCGAACCGATCCAGTCTTAAAAACTTGGCACGTTTTCTCCACATCATGAAATTTTCGATAAGAAAAACAAGATTACAATAAAACGAACAACGCAAAACTTCACGAACGTGAAAGTAAAGCAAAAACCAGTCAGGGTATTTCAGCCGGATAACGAATCTGGAAAGGGTGTTGACGAAAATGAAAGTGTAACAACTGACAGACTCTCCTCTCCCTGTCACCAGGAGGGACATGAGTCCGTTTTCAGGCCTCGCTGACTAAGAAGGACGGTCAAGAGCAAGAAAGGGGATCTGGGGAGAATGTTACTCTCCCAGGTCTTCCGTGTACGAACGGCCTATCTGATATGACCCATCTGACCCAAATGACCCATCTGACCCAAACGACCCATATGACCCATATGACCCAAATGACCCATCTGACCCATTTGACCCACATGACCCATATGACCCAAATGACCCATATGACCCATGTGACGGGTACTTTAGCGGGAGGGAGCCATTATTGTTGCGATAGTTTATGACGTCAGTTGTGGGTTTTTACACCGAGGATAAGCCAGGTTTTTCACTTAGAGCGCTGCTTTGTGGTTTCGGCGGTCGGTGATTTTGTTTATGCGAAGTTTTCTGAGATCAATGGTCGTCTTTACACTAGGCTGTTAAGTAAGACTTAAGAGCCGCTACGTTTTACTTAACCAAAAATTCGTGTGTGAAGGCCTAAGTAAGATCTCAAGTAACTTTTGCATCTCATTAAAGTCGGAAAGTTGAAACGATGCAAGAAAGTTTCAAGCGACTTGAAAACCATCCTCATGACCGACTTAGCTGACTTGCGGTTTTGCGGTTTCTTGAGCTTTGAGAAAGGCGAGAAATGTCAATCAATCTTAATTTTGTTGCGTGGGAAAATAACCTGAAGTAAAAAAGAATCGGTTGTGTGTGAAGCTTTATTTTACTTGAAGTAATTAAAATTTACTTGT